GGGTGATTTAATTGGGTAGTAGAGTACAGATGTTGAGGGCTGTAGGTGGTGATAGATGTGCTGGAGTAGAATAAGCCCCACTCCTACAGGTTTGTCCAGAAGTGGGGGCAGTGGAGTGATTTGATTGGCTAATAGAGCAAAAGCTCACTCTACCCCCAAACCAACGGTACGGAAAAAGGCCTATAATACTATCAAGGCTACGATATCGCTCTCAACAGCAAACCACTCCACCCAAGTCTCCAAGACTCCAAAACACTTCAACAGTCTTTTAACTTCTCAACTTTCTTTCTTTCTTTTTCTTTCTTTTTCTTTCTTTACTTACTTTACCTGTACTTTGGGTAGTTATTTAGAGTAGTATAACTTTGCTAGAATAAATAGAGACCTTTACCACCCTACTCCTCGCACGAACTGCTGGCCGAAAAATGGAATGACCAAACTTCGGAGGTGTTCAAATTGGGACAAAGGAAATGCAAGTGCGTCTAGGCAACAGCAGCACCTTGATGTAGTCCCCGATGCGCTACCTCCACAGCTGACTTGACTAGTAATGTAGGTCGTAGTAAGTTGGCATTCAGCTCGTGTAAAAGATCCTAAACGGTCGGTCCTCGATTCCTAGACAAAGCGACGAGCAGCAGGACGCGTTCCAGTCAATGGGCTTGGAAACGAACCTTTTTCGCATGGTGTCGAGAGGGCCACTTGAAATCGAGAGCCTCCCATTGCGCTGACCCAGTCACAGTCTACGCCATTCCCTGGAGAAGGGTGGTTTGAACTTGTGTAGTTTGTGAACGCTTTCTGCGTTGAAACCTCGAAAAGCGGGCAAGAGAGAGTGAGGTATGAGCTTGGGATCTCAACCGAAGTGTTTCCTGCCGGCGGTAGCTGAGACACTGGCAGACCGACCAAAGAAGTATATGAGTTATTAGTGGCTTTGTCGTCTCCAAAAGGTGGAAGAGCTGACGGTCGGACATTGCCCCAAAGGTCCTGATCGCGCCCATTGAGCAGTGGCGCAGCTACTAATGAAGCAACTATGGCCGGCTTCAGAAAACTATCGGTTTCGATCAGCGAGTTGGAAAAGTCGTACGCATATTTAGCAAATGTATCCAGGGTGGCCACTTGATGTGAGGTCTGTGTTTGCGGGGAGACAATGTCCACCACACGGAGCGAGGCCTGGCTTCCAAATGGCGACAAGCACCAGAGCAAAATCGAGGCGAACCCGAAGACGCTGAAAGTGCCTTGCGCCAACTGCATCGCAAATGCGCGGCCCATAGTCTGGCTGCCGAGAAAGTCGTGTACTTGGCCTATTGTCGCTCCTCGTTTAGACTAGACAAGACATGCTGCCAAACTTCTCATAGTACCTCCAACAATAGCCGCAAAAAGTACTGGGAAAACAGTTGGTGCCTACCGGGGATGGTTAGAGATTTTATCTGAAGAAAAAATTGGTTCGCCGCGCTCGACTTACAAATCGGGATACTTGAAAAAGCTTGACCGATGTCGACCCAGGCATGGCAGGACTGCCGTCATGTGCCAGCACCATAAATCCAAAGATTAAATACAGAATCGCAACAAGGATTACCAGCAAATCGACTACTGCTCGAAGCACGATGCTAGTTCGCGAGTTGTGCAGGCGGTACGATTCAGGCAGTGCAGCCGCAGCGTCACCTATAGTGTGACTCGTATTAGCTGCATCTTCAGTGTTGATGGCATTGTCAGTATATGTGCTGGCTACTGGCTTTCTCTTTAGTCCGGATTGCAAATCGTCAAGGTAGTGGTAAGACGCTATCGTTGTGACAAGAGACAAGATATTAATCCGTCTATTTTTCCCCTGAAACGGCTCGCAGTCTATATAGATACGGCCCCCGCAGATCACCCGCTCTCAGCCGCACCTAATGCCCCTTTTACCATGCATATAGAAAGTGTCGTGCGTGGGAGCGAATATGTCTGCCTAACATGGGTTCTGAAACGCGCCACGTCGATGAGGCTATAGGGGCCTCGAGTGCGCACTGACCTCCCAGCAACAAACACCACCGTCCACCAAAATCCCCGAGAAGCCCCAGTTGCGCCGCTACAAACACGAATGCCGTTGAGTTGAATGTAGAAGAGAAGTGGAGTACAACAAACTTAGAGAGCGGCAATCGCTGGGGAATAGTCTCTGAACCCTTAACGCCCCCGCAACCACTGAATGGCGTACCTCAAAAATCAAGCTTATCTTGAAATATTTATGCTCATCTTGAAATAGCTATCTTGAAATTTTATCTGCAACTATATATCTTAAATTGCAGATTGTATTTAACATCACTAATAAGAGCTCATTGCATCACTCAAAAAGAGCCTACACGTTACTTTAGAGGTCAACTTGCAGAACAAGTGGCTTATACAAATACAAGTAGAATGGTTATGCGCAAACAAATTTATTTCCATCTAACTAACTCAAAATACCTAGGCTATATGTATGAACTATGTTGGATAGTTTCTACTTTATATGTTGGGCGAAATACTTGTCGTACTTGTCGCTCTCTAAGTGCGGATTCTGAAAGAGTCGTAGGGGTGGCTGTTGGCAGGCGTAACGCAAGTAGCTCCACGGAAGTCAACATGGAACTTGACGCCTCCAGAGCAGAATGCTGGAGAGGCATTCTTGTAAAAGTCGGCATGGCCGGCGGTGCAGGCATCTCCTATGGGTCGAATAATGAACGAGCCGCGACGGTTGCCAGAAAGCTCCTGGCAGTCATCGCTGGACGCCTGGAATTGAGGGTCGCTGTTTCCAGTGCAGCTTTTGCCCTCGAACTCTTGAACGAAGTAGCGGCAACCACCGTTTGCGGAGAATGGCTCAACGCCCTCGGGAATGGCCCAGTCAGTCTCGATAGGAAAAGACTCAATAACGTTGTCTTGCGCGAGCTGCGCATCAGCGGCGGGAGCTGCGCTAACAGAGGCAGCAAGCGCAGCGGTAATGATAGCAATAGAGATTTGCATATTGATAGTGATTTCGAGAATTTGAAACGAAGAAGTAGTAGTGATTGGGCTGTGGTGATATTCAAGCAAGTGATGATGCTGTGGATGAAGATTGATGCGTTTCTAGGAACTATTGACGCCTTATATACTTTCTAGAAAGCCTTGTACGTCTGATATGTTCAATTACCGAAGAGTACATCCATATTGGCGTTCTAGCTATATCAAATGGTACCATACTATTTTCCAGAGCGCAACTTGGTATCAGCATCAGATTTGTCCCCGAGTTCGAAAAACGTCACTGGTCTCGTGTCAAACTACGTCAGCCGGCCTACTTATCCCCGAGAGCGGCGTAGAGACCTCGATTTGATGCCGCCTGTAATGATATGAGGCTCTGCAGGGCTCAATTGACACGTACACCACGGCCTGTCAAAGTCCTTTTACGGCTTTGTTCTGCATTACAAGACTTATTCTTGCCTGATTAAGCATAAGTGGGCGCCGATCCAAGGCTGCGGGTTCGTTAAGTTGCCGAAGTAAGGCTTGGTGGCAAAGCTGTCTGTAACGGTCTCAACTGAGTATATTGACAACTAGCTGAGCGACTACTACGAGTATCCGAAGATGAAGAAGAAGGGATCGAAAAGGGGCTATTCCAGCTAGCTGGAATAGCCTTTTATATGACTTACATGGGTCCCTTGCCTAGATGGTCGAGGGCTACCCGAGACCTCCACGGGCCTAGCCCGTTACACTGTCCGAGCAAGCCGAAAATTTAACTTATTTTGTGTATAGCATGGCTGAAACAATCAGGTACGTACTCAGATTATTGGATGAGGCTCACTAGGCTGAAGCAGTGAGCCTGCACGGGGGCTTAGTGAGCGTTGACGGACCGCATCGGCCAATAGAGTGTCAATGTTAGCGACTGGAGGATTGACAAAGTACGTTCTGTGGTATTTGTAATACATTATATCATTCAAAATACCCTGTCTAATGATTAAATTGAACGAAAGATTTTAGCGGAGAATATGTCAAACGAGCAAAGCGAGTCTTTGTAATGCTTACATGCGAGCCTCGTTGACGACATGATCACCTATTTATGCTGGAGTTTGACTCGATAAGGACTTGAAGTCATATAATCCTGTGCTAGCAGATATTCTCGTAAACTAAGCAGACTGTAGGTCTGTATGGAGTGGAATTAGTCATCTAGTATTCAGTAGCATCGTTAACATGTACCTGACATTTACAGACAGCCAATGAGTGTAATTTGATATAATCGAAACACCTTTAAAGCAGTTTTTTGAAAATCAACTACATACATTCCAAACACTTGCTACTTCATATACCTTCTAAAGACGTCTCACTTGTTAGCCTGCAGCAATGCAGTATTTACATTAGTACTCTTTTTCACCGCAAGTGCAGCGAGAGCAGAAAGCGAGGCACCCTGCATTACGTCAAAGTCAGAGACCTGTGACTCAAGTGGTGTGGTGGGCCACGTTCAAAGCTCAACTACAACCAGCGAATCAATGACATAGTCCACAAGCGAGCGCGACGGAACTATGCTGTACATCAACACGGCGCTGGGGAGTGTGCGTGGCAGGCTGCGGGAACGGAAGGCTGTATGGTTGCTTGGAGCAGGTAAACGGGGAGTTCTGGTCCACCTGCGAATGTACCCGAATGCCTGGAAAGCGTGAAAAGCGTAAAGCGGATAAAGGTGGAAAGTAAAAAAAGAGAATTAAAAGGGGGGTGAAGCTGGGGAGGGCAGGCCTCGCACTTGAGAGCTGCATGACAGCAGCAGCTCCATGACGCTTTAAACATTGCGGTTTAAACTACAAAGTATGTTCTTTGCTTTTGTCTACTCTGTAAACTTGCGAAATCACCAGCATGGAGTTTCGAGTCATATTTTACTACATATTCGCGAGACAATGGCGCTCAACACACCCGCCCGCCCTGGCCCGCGCTTGTCCGGGGACTTGCCTGATTAGGCAATTATCACCATGATTTACTCGAGAGGCGCTCCGGACTAGGTCATCGCCAGGCCAATTTCGCGGCTGCTCGAGAACGAGCTCCTCTGATCTACACACCATCGCCTCACACGGCCAAAGATCAGCTAACGAGGACTCCTCATCGCAGCAGCGCTCGAACTGCTGCTTAATTCGATCAGGCATCTCGGGATATAGATGCAGCGCGTCTCTGTATCTCAAGTCATCTTCATTCACCTCCTTAAGCTCAAGTTGCTCTCTTAGTGCCTCATCCGTCCAGCTCGCCAACGAAGCCAACCAGAGTGGAGTTGATGAAGATAGTACGTTGTACATCTAAATACATTTTTTGCATTAAGTCTTTAAAAATAATATAATAAAATAAAATCTTTAGTAACGATTGTAGAACGAGGGGTAGCACAAGATCGGTGGGTAGGACAAGGGTTGTACAAACGATAAATAAATGGGCGACGAAGTAGGCACATGGATAAGCGATCTTAGAGCTCCCAAGTCTTACAAGATTCCGTCAGCCGCCTTGGCTTGTTGCTAACCTTCCAAGCGCTTCATATCCAAATCTAACAATATGTTTAGTACAGTCACTCATACCTCCCGCCCACCCACCACAAGACGCAACCGTGCTGCAAGTTTTACGGTTGAGCGGCTACTTAGTTGCTGTGATTCGCTAAGCTCAAATTCTCGGAAGGGAACAGTGGTCTTTAATATACTTGTATCTTCTCTTACAAGGTAGCTAGCTAGCCAGCCTATAGTATCTTTGCTAGTTTCACTGCATGCAGGCGCAAATTGTTGCATGTAGAATTTGACCGTTGTCACGGTCGGTGCGGGCGTTGCCTCGGCGGTTACGTGCTTTCGTTGCTCACCTTTTTCTTCCTTTCCAGTCGCTCTCTATCTATCTATTGAACCCTTTATCTCGTTATATCAAATAAACATTGGCATATCTTAGACATCACTGACAGACGACAATGTCCCTGCGAAAAGTTACGCCAACAATGAGGCCAGCCACCGCCGTGCGATCGGTCGACACCCCGCTGCTTGCCAGAACTGGCGACGATGAAGCTCTACGCACGACGTGGTTCAAGACGCCAAAGCTGCTCTTTTTCCATGAGATTCCATCGTGGCAGCAAGACAATGAGCATATTTTGTCAGGATACAGGTACGTCGGTTGCATAGGGGAGCGGTGTAATCTTTATTGCCACCTATTAGCTGTCTGCCAGTAACTAAACAGATGCTCAATAGACCGACGTCGGGTTCTGCCTGGGCGTCATTTACGTCTCTGTCTTATCTAAACAATCAGACCGTTAGCACCTATTCCCACCTCATCGGATCTCTCTTATTTCTAGCGCTCCCGTTTTATTTTTACAACGACATTTTCTTGCCACAGGCAAACGGGCAGCGCGTAGATGTGCTGGTGGTTTCGATATATTGCGTAGGAGTCGCTGTTTGCTTCGCTTTTTCTACGATGTAAGTGCAGCTTATCTCGAGACTACGAAGGCTAAACGAAGCTATTGGTGTCGCTAACATTATGCAGCTTTCACACATTGTGGAATCACAGTCACGATGTGTCTCGCTACTGCAACAAGCTCGATTATCTAGGTATTCTCATTCTCATGTGGGGAGCCGGTATTCCCACCATCTACTACGGTTTTATTTGCAATAATAACCTAAGACTGCTATACTGGACAATGGTGTATAATTCTTGTTTTCCACCCATCATCCAGCAACTAACGGGTTGTAGACTACCAGCACAGCCCTCTGCTGCACCATTATCACGCTCACACCCCGCTTCGTCACCCCCGAATTCCGGAAATGGCGAGCAGGGTTTTACGCCGGCTTTGGCCTGAGCTCCATCATTTTCGTCATCCATGGCATACTCCTTCATGGATGGGAGGTACAAAAATCACGAATGTCGCTGGTGTGGATGGGGTGGATGGCGACGGCCAACCTCGTCGGCGCGACCATCTACGCTGCCCGGGTATGTTGCTCAGAATCTAGGTGCCACGTTTTGCCCTGCTAATTCTTTACAGATTCCGGAGCGCTGGGTTCCGTATACATTTGACATGTTTGGGGCCAGTCATCAGATACTGCATGTTGCTGTCATGGTCGCAGCTTGGATTCATTTCCAGGGCCTTGTGGAGGCATTTCATATTATCCGCTCGCAAGCTAGTATCTGCGGCATAGAATCATGATGTAGTGGGCATCTCAACACCTGTTGTGAATGCTCGCAAAAATACGCAACGCTAAGAATCTACTCGTAGAAAATTAGACCAAAGTTTTGTTTCCTTGTCTTTCTCTCTCTATATATATATTTCCTTTCAACAATTCCATCAACATGATTTCCTATTCACCAACTACCGGTTTCTTTCGCCTAATCTAGGGTAGGACGCTTAGCAGCGACACGACAAGTTTAAGCGTCGGTGTAAATAGCCCAGCTTAGTTAGCTAGCTGGCCGGTGGCGAAAGCCTGGGATCGCTATATAATAGTAAGTAGCGAGACTTCGCTGTAATTCCTGTAAATTGCGATCCTCTCCGTTGACTCGTGCCATCGTACGATATGTAGCGCACACAACCCCGTGGGGATGAAGCCTACATCAACTTACTCGGTACACTGTCCAATGCAAGTATGCCAGGTTCCTTTGTTTGGCTTAATGGGGCAGGCAATTGAACCGAGAGGAGAGTGGCACGAAATAGCCTGCATAAAATTGGGCATCGGTGGAAATCCGAGGTTGGATGGTACTTTTTTTTTCACACTAAGGCCTCTCTGCTTGTCGCTGACTCGCACCATATTTTGGTACTGCATCTCGTACTTTGGATCTGCAGGTACCTTTGAAATGTATATTCGCGCAAGATAAGTTTCTTTGTAAGGCGAAACATAGTAAGTACCTGGACATAGTTGATAAAAGTTCATGAAAATTAACCTTGTCAAGTTGAAATCGTCATCGAAGACTAACTCTGTACGTATCAGATACAAGATTATTAGGGGTACTTTGACAGGCAAGCAACAATCACACTTACCCCCACCATCTCCGCACTAACCCCAAAATTTCTCAATGTCGGCTATTGGATAAGCTGGGGTCTTCGCTGTGGGCTTCTTTTGGAAGGTCAGGCCGTCAGTACCTGGCCTAGGACGAATAAGGCAGTTGACGAAGAGATGCTTGCTCGCTGCTACCAAAGGAAATGACTTGATATACCCGGTTTAAATATGTCCTCAGGTGGCACTCTTTTTTCGTTTTCACCTAGCAGAGAATTCAGTTTTCTTTCTTACTTGATAGCTCTTTTATCTCGTTGTATCGAACGAGTGCGCGAATCATCTATCATGAAGCATTCTGTGTCGAAGTGGGTGGTTGCCACCGCCGTTACCGCCGCCAGCCTGGTCGCAGCCACTCCCGCACCCACCACTGAGGCTGTTACTGGCTCCCAAGCCAAGGCAGCTTGCGCACAAGTAAGCGACGCCTGGAGCAAAGGTATGTACAAACGTGCATTGTGATGCGACAAGGCACAAAGAGCCGCGACGGCTCTTGATGGAAGCCAGTCAGAGTGCTAATTGGAAACAGGCGCTACTGAAGTTACTGCTGCCCAAGCGTACGCTTGTCTGACTTCCGTCGCTTTGGACCGCAAGGCGGCCATCGCATGGGTTGACTCCATCCGTCCCTACTTGGAGTGGCAGAGTGATCCCACATACAAGGCCAACCCACCAGCCGATTACGACTATGCTGGACACGATATTTTCAAGGCAATCGACCATATCCGCTCAAAGCTCACCAGCGGCGAGTATGCCAATGAGTACGAGTTCCAAGCGGATCTACTCGGCTCCGTCTTTCTCCCCGGGCACGATGGTCATATGTACCTTTACCCTGACCTCTTGGCCCGTGCCAGTACCTTTTCTCGCAGCGCTGATCAAGCCCTTGTTTCTGTTTCTGATGATGGGTCGGCTACTCCCTCCATCAAGTTCTACACCGACGTCGCCAACAACCTCAAAACAGCGAGTGTTGTCACCAAGATCAATGGTGTCGACGCAAGCACCTATTTGCTCAACTATGTCATCAAGACTTCAAGCTCTCAGACAAAGGACGCTGGCTACAACCAAATGTTCTACCAAAGAGCACAGGCCGCATTCAACTCACCTTGGGGCAACCACGTCAGTGGTGGTCGCGGAAATCTGCTCTACCAGGGCGCCAACACCACGTACACGTTTAAAAATGGCACAACCCGAACATTTGAGAACCGCGCCAAGCTACGAGGCGATTTTAGCGGCGTTGTTGACGGTCCAAGTTTCTACAAGAAGTTTTGCAGCCCAAGAACGCCCCCCGAGGCCGCACCAGTTTCGAAACCACCAATGACCAATGTCCCAGGATATCCTGCCCCAGTCGTCTTAACCCACGATGGTATTGTATCCGGATACTACTTGGATGGCGACAAGTACGCCGATACTGCTGTTTTGTCCCTTCTTGCATTCCAGAGCGCTAGCATGGCAGAATTCCAAGACGTCATTACACAATTCTTTGCCAAGGCGCGCCGTGATGGCAAAACGAAGCTTATCATCGATTTTCAGGCCAACCCTGGAGGTCTCGTTCTCCACGGCTTCGACCTCTTCCGCCAGCTCTTCCCCAGCATCATTGAAGAAAACCAGTCTCGTTTTAGAGCTGGCAAAATTGTCCTTGATGTTTCCCACGAGATAAGCGATGACTACAAGAGGAACAGCAGCGATGTGGGTGCCTACATACCCTTTGCTTGGCAAAATGATTACGATGAGAACTGGCAGCGCTTCTCCGACTTTGAGAGCAAATTTGGACCCTTCAATGTTAACCACAACCCTTACACCGCGTTGATGCGCTACGACTTTCAGTCCAATGACTGGGGATTCAATGTTACTGGTTACGGTAACCGCACCGGATTTATTCAGCCTTTCGAAGCTGAAAACATCGTTCTCTTGTACGACGGTTACTGTGCATCCACTTGTACCATTGCTTCACAACTCCTCAAGGATCAGACTGGCATCAAATCGGTTGCCATTGGTGGACTTCCCAACAAGAAGGCAATGCAGGGAGTCGGTGGCATCAAGGGTTCTAACGACTACGAGCTGTCATACATCAACAATCTCATCCAAGCATCCAAGGGCCTATCCAGCAACCCCAGGCACATCGCTGATTTCAACCGATACACGCCTTTAGCGTTCGAAAGGGCCTATGCTTCTGCCCTCAACGTCCGTGACCAGATCCGCACAGTTGACATCGATAGTGGTTTGCCTGCTCAGTATGCTCATGAGGATTCAGATTGCCGCCTCTATTGGACAGCGCCTATGCTCAATGACATTACCAGCGTCTGGAAAGCCACTCATGATGCCGCATTCAACAACGGCCGGTGTGTTAATGGCGGTATTTCCCATCGAAGACGTCGTGCCACTCATGCCGCCGATAAGTACACGGCTCCTGTGCCCGACTTGACGCAACAGGGAACACCTCTCCTTAAGGGTTCCTACCCAGCAGACAACTACGATAGCAAATTCCGCAACGAGTTGATCCCCAAAGTGTTTACGCTTGAGTAGTCGCGAAGAAGCAGACGCTTGTTCTTTTCTTCATGCTCTTCTTACTACTTCACAGCCAAGACTTTATTTTCCATGCTATGGACCTAGAATATGTAGATAATTGTCACATATGTAAAACAGTATATGGAACACGATTATATTTTAATGCATTGTATCAAAAGTATACTAGCATATACGCATGGTTCGCAAACAGCCTCTGAATAACAAACTCGGCGATTGAAGTTTTATTCTTCTAATTCTTCTTCTAAAATAGAGATTTCGAATTGCTAAAGTCAGGAATGCGACCAAGTAGAGCTTGCAGTAGTCGATATCCACCTGACAATGAATGCCCAGGTACTCCATGACCAGCCAGAGTGATTTCATAAAATGTTAAACCACGTCCTTTTACATACACACCAAGATGGCCATGCAGACCCTGGGCACCCCGGTTCTCGATGGGATGTTCTGGTACGAACAATTCTGTTTGTGGGTATGAGTGAAATCCTTGGTAACCATTCCATGTGAGGTTTTGTAGCACAAACAATGTACCGTTCGTAACAATAGCCGAGTCGAGAGCGCCACTGCCAATGATAGTATTATTGGTCTTTGCAATAACGTTGCGGAGAACATTGTTGAGTGCTGGCGCTGGCGCAGGAATCCTTGCGGGAGAACCAGTTTCGATGGGGTGCAGTGCTGCCACTTCTTGCCGAAGGAAGTCGAGGCGCTGCTCGAAGCAACGGCGGAGTCCATCCGCAGCCACACCAGCAACAACAGCGGAGGCTCACTCAATAGTGCTGAGAAAAGCATCTTCGTAAAACAGAGATAGTTTGACGAGGAGGTGTAATGGGTCCTGTGCTTAGAGTCCAACAAAGTGCGACTTTTGTCAAATTCGTCCAATGCTTGGCGCTTTAGACGCTCGGGTCCGTTGTGATTACTGCAATTTTTGGGTTGCGAGGGTACGTGTAGATCTGTGTGAAGTGTGACAAAGGTCAATTAGGCTTGTGTATGGCCACTTCGTAACCACGAATAAAAAGATCCGTGAGAAAAACAAAAGAATGGCAACCCAATTCGGGCAGAAAACGTCGACAATTTATTTCCCGAGGTTCTACACACGTGCGGCTTGACCTGACTCAAACAGCGCGAGTCGCGTATTTTTATTGGATGAACAGCCGCTACCATCGTCCCAAAATGATCAATGTTCATTTAACTTTTTAGCGCAAAGTTCAGACGATAGCTCCACTGAGCTGGAATAGGTGGGTGTATAGTACAAGACCGGCCGGCCGGAAGACTCACTCAATCCCACCCGGTGTACAGTACCCTCAGCCAGAGATTCCTCCTTTGTATAGCATAGACGCTGTTTACACTTTGATATACATAATTTCTAGTTACGGGTAATCTATAAAACCTGCCGATAATCCATCACGATTTGTCATATATTGAAAACGCTCTTTCTCTTTCATCACTAGCGGAGGCATATCGATGTTGCCTTCAATCCTAGTAAATGTGTCATGGGCTCTCCCCCAGAGATCCCTTCCTTCCCTCACTGCATCTGCAATCTTGTCACTACCCCGGTATTCCTCCGCATTCATCCATCCATGAGAGAAGCTCGCCATTTTATTTAGAAATTGTTCAATTGTTGCAAAGCAGCTGCTGCAATGCCACCCGGCGTTGTTCAACATCCCCTTTTCACGATCACGGAACAAGGGAAACCCACCATCGCCGTTTCGTAGGTTGGTAGGTTTGAGAGTGTTCGAACCTTCGTAGTAGGTTGCTTGCGGGTGCGGCCATTCGGGTCCGGTGTGGAGAAATTGGAATGAATAATAGTAGAAGATAGAAGCGAGAGTCAGGCGGCGGGGGTAGTTGCAGGAACGGAGTACAAGCAGAGATTGTGGGCGGGGGATCTCATCAACGTCGGCCACAATAATAACGTCCATTGGAAGAGGAGCCCTGGCCCCTTCTAGTCGAGTCATGACCTGGTCGTATGTGGCATCCCGTTGCAAGTCTTCATAGTCCCATGCACGAGATGGATTAAATGTCGCTGGGTACGTCAACTCGTGATATATCATCTTGTCATGGTAGCGGCCAAAATTTTCCCAGTTCTCTTTGATGATAAGAGGCTTCGTCGCATTCTGGAATGTTTTGGGCGCTTCCACGATAATGAAATAGTCGACATAGTCGTAGAGTGTGTTGAGTCGAATCTCGAGGAAGTCCAACTCGGAATTCACCATTACAAGGTCGTATACTCTGCGCTCCCTGCGAGGCGTAAAAACGGAGTATCCATGTGCAGCACAAAACTCCTGTATTGCTTTAGAGGTGTAGTATTCAGCATGTTTCTTGCTTCGATCGGTGGTGTCGGTTAAGAAACCCAACGGCGGGAGTGGTACACTCGTAATTTGGTGGAAGCCATCACTGTGGGCACCCCGAGGGAGAGCCCAGTAGACCAAAGAGAAGAACCCTATGCCAAGGAGGATTCTAGCTCGCATTTTGGGCGCCATTATTATAATGTAAACCTGGAAATGTCAAATTCTTCGTCATAGCAATATGCAGAAGAAGGCCGCGTGTTATTGTCGTATAACTGGCTGACTAAAGACTCCTCGCTGGCAAACCTTGCGCTTGGATCACGCCAGCCCGATTGCTCCTTCAATGCGTCACCCTATTCGAACTTTCCTAGAAACTAGTCTCTACCTTATGATACTATTTAATACCACTCTAATACGAGTACTTCATCTTGATGGTGGTTTTGTGAACGCTTGCTCAATGCACTATGGTATGTAATCCCTGGCACTGGATAGTCTCTAAGCGGCTTTGCTGAGCGACATCGCCACCTCCGCCTTACCAACATCGTGTTGAGGCCGTGCGTCACTCCTATGTGTCGTTCAGTATGACAACAATCACTAGCTAGTATATATTAAATTCTGGGCATGTCTTCTTTCCTACAGTCAGTTTGTTGGACATGATAGACTCGCATAACATACTCGTTCAATTTCAAAAGCAGGGCAAGCTACTCCTCAAAAATAATATTATAAACTCTTTGATCTGCTTTACTTTTTCATCTGTTCTGCTACCCAGTCACCGCCGTCGGCATCCATTCGAGCATAAATTGTATACCAATCCTATGTGCTTTTGCTCCAAGACTCGACACCAGCAATAGCTCCATCAACAATGAGCGGACCGCCAGAATCGCCAGGCAAGGCTGTGACGGGCCGTCCTCTTGATGTTCCAGTACATATGTGGTGAGCTGGAATAACCTTCAGCTCCTGCCCACTTTGATTGCATGTGTCTGCATTCACCGTGGGTATGTTACCAGAATGAAGTTCTACATTCTTTAATGTCCTTCATTCCATATCCCAAAGCAAATGCACTCATCCCATCCTTAACGTGGCCTTTATCCGCGGATGTAAGAACCTTTGGGAACTTACCACCCGTGATGGGGATATCTTCTTTTGTCGTCGCAACAGCGACGTCGTATCCCTTTACATAGTCGGTGTATTTTGGGTGTTTGATGAAGCTAACGAGTTCGAGTTTCTTGATCTTGCCCTTGTTCAGATCGTCCAGTCCGTAGGCAAATGTTTTCTTTCCTCCGGCATCGACAAAGCGAGCAGCACTGAGGATCTTTCGTGGTGCGATGACTGCGCCCGTAGCCCTGCACAGCTCTGCGTCTGTGGCCGCGCACCACTCTCACGTAACATTGCAATAGCATATGGAAAATCTTTGAATAACCGCTGAAAAATCACCTAAAGACATACTTACATCCAAATTACCCATTTGTTTTATTTTACAAGTATATGTCGTATTTATTGGTACTAGCAAGGTGTTAGTCGCCGAACCACAGACTAGTCAATAGCAAGACATAGTCTCACAAAAGGCATACAGCCGATTTATTTGATGAGCAGCTCTGTTAAAAATGGACCGCACTTCGTACGAACGAAGACAGCAGTATGTCACGCGTTTGAATTTAAACGTTTTCAATTTGGTACCCTTCAATATTCATGATTTAATCCTGGTACTTAAACTCAATTGTTGCTTGCCACCAAGTAATCATGGACATGGAGACATTCCGACATACTTCGCTGTCTGTGAGTTTAAAAGTGCTGGGTTAGCGCCGTAATACTAGCTACCAAATAAAGAATTGAAACGAGCCCCAAATGACTGTCCACATATATTAGTCGTTCGATCTATTACAAATGAGAGTCGTTAGCTTATTAAGTACCTTCGACATGTTTTAAAGTGTATGCGAGTTAACAAAACAAGTCTCTCTATCTAATAATAGTGATGTAGCTCTACTGTATAGGTTACCACAAATATATATAGGACGACGCCGATTATACAGATCGTATGCCAACGCCCCAATCTCTCCATTCCGCCTGCCTTGACACCAGAGTTTATCAATATGAGAATCACCTTTGCTGCTTCGCTACTTGCGCTGGCTACCTCAGCCGCGGCGATGCCCGCCAAGGACATCCAAAAGATGTCTCCTGCCGAGCGCATGGCTTACATCAAGGCTGAGAAGATCAGATTAGATGATGAACGTACTGCAGCTGGAGTTTTCGACCTGGATCGTTATGAAGCACATGGCCCCGCCAAATGCGAGGGTAGCAAGGCTGGCGAATACAGTTGCAAGGCCATGGATATGATGGGCTTTATCCGCCACCAGGACCTGGGTTCCAAGTCTCGTAAAGGAAATGACGTTTGGGGTTAGTCTTCATGATTTTCCTTGTTAAATTCTGCTAACAATCTTTCAAGGATGGACCTCCAAGGATGGTCGTGAATTTGGCGTCGTTTGCCAGACTGACGGAGCAGCTTTTATTGAGGTGCTTAAAGATGGTAGTATGGTCTACCTCGGACGTATTAACACGGCCAGCTCTAGTGCCTTGTGGCGCGATGCCAAAGTTATTGGTGACATGGTGTACATTGTTGCTGATGTTTCCAAGCATGGCATGCAAGTCTTTGACATGAAGAAACTACTTGAGGCAGACCCCAAGAGCCCTAAGGTCTATGCCAAGGAGGATCTTGTCACCCATTTTACCGGATTCGGTAAGGCACATAATATTGTTGCCAATGAAAAAACAAATCTTGTCTTTAACGTCGGTGGTGACGGCAAATGCAGTGGTAAGCTCTGGGCCTTTGATGTCAAGGACCCCGCGAACCCCAAGGACCTTGGCTGCAGCGCTGGAGGCAGCTATGTCCATGATGCGCAGTGCGTCAACTACGACGGACCGGACTCTAAATACAAGGGCAAGGAAGTCTGCTTCGACTTCAATGTCAATGTTCTCGTCACTGTTGACAACTCGGATCCTGCAAAGGCTACCCAAATCGGTTCTGCAAAGTACAAAGGTTCGGCATACACGCACCAGGGCTGGGTGACAAAGGGAATGACGCATCTGCTTCTTGGCGACGAGCAAGATGAAGGCAGCAATGGCGGCAACACAAGAACCTTCATTTTTGACATTAAAGACCTTGCCAACCCCAAGCACACTGGTACCTACGTTTCTAAGAGCAAGGCTATTGATCACAACCTTTACATTATCGACAATATTGCCTACCAGTCCAATTATGCCACCGGACTCCGAGTTCTGGATGTTGATTCCGTTGATAAGGACAACACTGGTGGCGGTTTCCAAGAGATTGCGTACTTTGACGTTTACCCTGAGGATGACAACAAGAACCCCTCCATCAGCTACGTTGGAAGCTGGTCAAACTATCCTTACTTTAAGAGTGGCTACATTCTGGTCAACTCTATGGAACGGGGTATCTTTTCTGTCAAGATGCACAAATCTGCACTTGCCCATCGCAACGGCACAAACTTCGAGTAGAGATAGTACCTCAGTCCACGAAGACAACATTATGCACGCGCCATTCGTTCACAGATACGATAAGACAGATTTCTAGTTCGTATAATATATTATCGGTTGCATATCAACATTAGAAAACCTGTTAAATATAAATGCTTTTATCCGGAATGTTCAAGCTATTTGTTATATAGTTTTAGCCTAACCGATCGAGATTTCAGTCTTTTTTGTTGTTCAATGTTAACATGAAATTGAAAGCAATGAAATCCACGTTCTTTTTAACAATATGTACGTAATCCACTGACGCAGTTCAGTTACTCCAAAGACATGGGTTTGGGCGGCTTGCCCGCCAGGACCTCTTCAACGAGCCCCAACGCAGTCTCAGCGCAACCAAACGACAGACTCCAGCCTGCACCACCTTGTCCGTAGGAGTGAACAATTTTGCTGGCAGTGCCAACATTGTCACCAGCACTTGCCTGACTGTTAGTAGTGTTGGTTCCGTCCTCTTGTGTTGGTGTCTGGTGATATCTCAACTCCCGCTCAACGCGGACATTTCTTTGCCTGAACGGTCGCAGTCCTTGCGCAAGGGGGTAATCTTCGTCGAGGCGAGCATTTTGAAGCCTTGGTAAGAATTCTTGGCATCTGGCCTTCATGCGCTGAACAACTGGAGATTCAAGAGTCAAATCCAGTTTCCACTCGTGCGGTTGGCTTATGCCGCCGAGTAGCAAGACTCGGTCACTTCTGGGCACAATAAACACAATCTCATTGGGTGTGTGGTTCTCGTGGCGAGCATCGGCAGAAATGCTCAGTGCGGCATCAACTTTTGGAAAATCGCTTCCGTCGTTGATGACGCGGACAAGAGCACCGCGAATCGGGTAGCAGGAGTTGTCGCTGGCAATTTGGAATCCAGCGAGACCTGTGGCATTTACAATAACGTCGCTGTTGAATCGCTTAAGGAGCTCCTCTTCCTGTGCAAAGATGTCGCCCTCGATAGTCTCAGTAACAAAGGTGGCACCTTTGCTGGCTGTGAGCTGCATCAACCACGTCATAGCGGTATCAGTATCGATGATGGGAGCTGTTAGCTCGTAGGCATCTTTGCATCCATATTTTGGGTCAACACCGTAGTGCTCTACCAAGTTTACAGAGTGCTGGAATCCTCGAACTCCACTAGCCTCGATATCAAGCATCTTTTGGTGTTGCTCTGCGTCATCTTCGATCTTGAATGGGAAGAAGAACGCCGATTGCTTCATCTGAACGCCAGAGGTGCGTGACAGCTCCGGATCTGAGGCAATGGCGTCCCAGATTCTGTACGCAAGCATACACCATCGTCTTGAATGGTGCAGTGAGATTGTATCAGTGTGCTGGCCGCAGACCGCAGGGGGGTATTCCCACAGGGCACCAGCGATTTGAGAGGTGAGGCGCTGTTCCTTGGTATATGATGCCCACTGCTTAGACATAATGGTGACTTTGAAACCTCTATCAAGGAGAGCCCAAGATGTAACCAAGCCAGTAACACCGCCACCAATGACCAAGACATGCTTGGCATCGGGGCCGGGTCGCACCAGTGGTTCGGGCTCAAATGATATGCGATCTTGCATTGTGTAAGACGTCAAAGACGGATGAAAGAGATATTAGAAAGGTGAAGAAAGGCGACGTGTGATAGGCAAGTTTAGTTTAAACGGCATCTACGAAAGGGACCTTGGATGGGAGGGCTGGTTTATATCTGGTCCGGTTTCGTACAATGTTTCCGAGTTGGTGTATCGTATGAGAGGCTGAAAGTGCGAAAAACTAGCCTCAGCCACTGGAACTGTTAACCCAGCCGCCGTATTTCCTCAAGATGGGAAGACTCCATGGCTCCTGCAAACCCTCGCTGCCTGCCGGCAGACAAGGATCGAGCGTCAGCCTCACGGGAACGCAAAGTCACTTTAGACAGGGCAAACCGCAGCCCGCGTATACACATGCATTGCTTAGCTCAAAGGATTGGCCAGTAGGGGGCCAGAACGAGCTCAGCCTCCAGATCAGCTCCTTCTCGGGCTTAAATTATTAGCAAATGGGGGCGATTCTAAATACCGTGTTCAGCTGCTTACGCGCATTGCATCAAGCGTTCCAATGGGCTAGCGGCTCGGAGCTGAATATGGGCGGCTCCTGCTTTATTAGGCCGCCTACGCGAAAATTCTCTATCCGAATCCGAAATTTCTATTAGTTTGTTCGTCCTTTTGGCGTTGCATTGCAGCACATTGTGGGTTCAAAGGAGTAAGGCGTTATTTACGAGGCCGAAAACACATATCGCAAAGGGACCAGCTTCCTGCCCCCTCTCAATTCTTTTCCAAAGCAACGGCTTTTTTTGTCTAATCAATCATCACACATACACCAGCATCTGCAACGAAGACGATAAGCCATGGCAAAAATTACTCTTGACACCACTTTGGCCGACCTCTACCGCGAGCATGGCATCAAAGGGCCTTTCATCACAACGACCCATTGTGTATTTGGCCACATGGACCTACATCCCGAGATTCCAAGGGAGCTTGTGTTTCCTGAAGACGAGGAGCCCGTGCCGTATAGCGACGACGAAAATGAGAAGGCGCGCTTGCGTCAAATCATTCTAAACTATAAGCCTCTTCGCAGAGTCTTTGGTGTTGGCGATATGGAAGTCATCTTCTTTTCCCCCAGTGTCTCTCCCGAGAAGATGGAGCGGGACGTGAACCAGCTACCAGAAAATCAGCGTCATCGTGCCCGAATGATTGATCTTACCAAAGGCAACGTCCCCGATCAGCTACTGGAGGCTACCAAGGGGAAAACACTTGTCTTTTGGCGCCCACAAGGCTGGATGCGCGACCACAAGTGTCTGGTTGATCCCACGCTCGCATACCACATCAACTCCAAAGACTATCTTATTACCTCTGGTATGCACACACCACCATCGGAGGTAGTAAGTTTGGAAGATATTAGCAGGCAGTCAATTTTTGGCACACGCCCGCTTCCTTTTGCGGTCAAGCTGCTCAAAGCTGGATGTAGCTTTGGCACCTTTCTGGTGACATCGGAGCAGAAGCGCGATGATTTACTTGCTGCGCTCCCCGTATACAAAAAGAGAGGCACTACCGTTGTTGTTCTTTCTGATTATATTAGCCCGAAGCTCGACCTGGCTGTGCACTTTTTCATTGGCGCCCCTGATAGCGAGCGAAACCGGAGCAACCCGCTCATTCTGGCCACGACGGTGCAACGCTTGACGCCTGACGGCAAGTGGGTTGGTGGGCATGTTGACTACAGGGTGCAGGAAGACCTCAGAAAATTGGTTTGGGACACTGTGGTTGACACCACAAAGCGCATTCCCGAGGAGTTTGTTGGTTGGGCTGGAGTCGATATTATTGTGGATGATCAAGGAAGCCAGTGGGTGGTTGACCTGAATGCTAGATACACAGGTTCTCTGCCCATTTGTTTCATGTCTGGTCACTTTTGGAAAGAGCGTGGTTTGCCTCTTGTCGAGTTTGGAACATTTGAATACCCTGGGGAAACTGACGGCATCTACAGTCGTCTTGGACCTATGTTGGAGTCGGGGCAGATCATTGTCACCGCTACCGCCAGCATTGGAGAGACAAACATGGCCGATATTGTCTGGGGCGCAAAGGGTGAGATAGAGCTTGCCGAAATTGGAACCTTTATTAAAACCTCTATTGGCTCCTCTGCTTCTCAAAAGCAGCAAGAATAGCCCGTATTTCGAGTTGACCGTGGATAGATCAATAATTAGACTAGAAAAGTAGACATATAAAATGGAAATTGATGCTTCAAGATCAACATTTAATCGTCTAATCACCTCTATATCTCTAGTGGACCGCTGGCTTGACTCGTAATTGGCACATCCTGGTACTAGCCACAGCCTGTTGTACAACATCGGCTACTGGCGATCATTGTCTCGCAGATGGACGCCATCCGATATAGTGGCGCGAAAGAACCCATCAAGGGTGGCGGTCAGACAAAACCCGATTGTGTGACTCTTTTCTGGCTGCGAAGAGGCCACGGGTCCGTTGAGGAATTACTGCGAGAATACCAGTTCCGCATTCCCAAGGGAAACAAACTTCGGCATTTTACCCAGTTCACCTATTCTTCCCTGGCTCTTCCGCGTACATGCCGGGTTTGCCAGCCACGTGCCCGCTCTAAGATGGTTTCAAATTGTGCCCGCGGCGGCCGGGGCGTTCCTTTAGTCAAGCGCCACCGTTGTGCGCCCGAGCTGCGCGTACCGGGGCAATCTGCTGAAAATGATGTGCTCGTATGCTTCGAAACATGCTAAGATCGCATCGACGCCTCTGCCTGCCCCGAGCATAACCGTCTCTTGGCACGCCATTCACGGCTTAGACCCAGCGCATCGAACCCGCTTGCTCCTTTTTTTTCCTTTTCAGCTTTGCAACGCTATACCCGATACGAAGGATTTGCGGCTGACATGGGTGGCCTGAATACTACATGGCTTTTAATTGGCTATACCAAGTAAGGCACGCTGGAGGCAGAGAAGAATGACCGCCAGCCGAGAACGGCCTGAGGAAAAAAAAAAGGTTCGGCGTCATACCAATCTGTCTTCTCGAATAGAGTGAAGCAAGAAGTATTGGGCAGAAGCCCGTTTCTGTTTATGTTTTGATCGTCCAACGTCACACTCCTCCAATGTACGACTCCCAACCGACCACGGGTGCTGGGACGCCACTGAGCGACGGCGACAAGCGCGTTGGAACGCCGCTCGATGAAGAACTCCTTTCAGAGCCACCGGCTTCAAATAACCCGACAAAACAAATGGATGCAAACACGCAATCATCACCTTCGCCTCCCCCAGATGGTGGCCTGACAGCATGGCTTCAGGTAGTCGCTGGACACCTCGTCGTCTTCAATGCCTTTGGATACATCATCAGCTTTGGCATCTTCCAACCTCACTACGAACGAGTGCTCTCTATGCCGCCATCAGCTATATCTTGGATCGGCAGCATTCAGATATGCCTAGTCTATTTTGTTGGAGTCTTTTCAGGCCGGGCATTTGATGCAGGCCATTATAAAATTGTGCTCCTTGCTGGATGCCTTTTACAGATTATTGGTATCTTCATGACAAGCATCGCGTCGCAGTATTGGCAGCTGTTTCTGGCCCAGGGGCTCTGTCAAGGCCTGGGATGTGGTCTTGCTTTTGCTCCGATGGTTGCAAACCTCTCGACGTATTTCGCAAAGAACCGCACAATGGCGCTGTCTTCGGCGGCTTGTGGTGGCGCGACTGGTGGCATGGTATTCCCTTTGATAGCGCAGCAGCTGCTTCCACGCATTGGATTCGCCTGGACGGTACGTGTCATGGGCTTGGTTGTACTGGTCGCATCTGCCATTATCATGGCTCTGGTGCGGACGAGATTACCGCCGCGGAAGGCCGGCCCGCTCGTCGATGTAACTGCATTCAAAGATCCGACTTATGTCCTCTTTGCAATGAGCATGTTCTTTACGCTCTGGGCAACATACTTTGCCTATTTTTATGTAAGTTGGAGCTTGGTTTCAGATGACAAATGTTGGCGAGCTAATGCCGGAACTAGGCTCGAGTATATGCTTTAGTGCGCCTCGATGGTTCACAGTCGACGTCCTTCACCATGCTTCTAGTCATAAATGCGGTTGGTATTCCCGGTCGCCTCGTTCCTGCCTATTTAGCGGACAAATACATTGGCGCTGTCAATACATTTATCCCCGTCGTGCTTTGCGCTGCCATCTGTCAATTCGCCTGGATAGGTGTAAACAACATTGGCGGTGACTTTGCTTGGGTTGCGATATATGGGTTTTTCGGTGCGGCTATTCAAGGCATGTTTCCTGCTACCTCGGCCGCTCTGTCGAAGGATCTCAGCAAAAGCGGCACGCGTATAGGCATGATGTTTACCATTGTGAGCATCGCTGCACTTACTGGGCCGCCTGTGGCGGGTAAACTGATAGAGGTATGCAACGGCAGCTTCTTGGCCGCCGAAATTTGGGGAGGATCGTGTCTCGTGTTGGGGTGTGCACTATTAATTGGTGCCAGTAGAGCGAGCATGCTAGAGGATAAAGCGCGCGTCGAAAAGTGAAGAGGTGGTTGAGTGCAAATTGAGACATATGCTCTGAATAAAGAACCATTCACACGCTTGGGCTGTCGATACATTAGAGATTAAGACGTTACTACCTGTATGATTGACTATATAATTTTAATATTTAATCAAGATTTTAAACACACCTTTAGTAGCTTTGAACAGTCCAAAAGATGCCGTCATGAGCTGCTAACCTGTAGTCTCAAACGCCAACTCCGCTACGCGTAGCGCGGATGCCTCGGGCAACAGTATGCGCCGTTGTTATATACTCCCGTACAATTTTTGCGCAACATATATGCGCGTGACATGGGTTCGTACGTCTCCATCATCATCATCAATTCGCACAATGTCATCAATGACGAGATATGTCCTCGGCTTTCAGTCGATTCCCGTGATGATAGCGGGCATCCAAGCCATCTTCTTTCGCAATGCAGCTACAGCACCCGGCCAAGTCTTGGAGGCTGTGCCTCAAACAGGGCTTCATATCTTTGGGTAAGACGTCGTGAGCCTCACGTGGGCTATGCAATTACTAAAATTTTATCCATTAGTCTTAGTTCCCTCACACTTGGTCTCATCCAGCTTGTCTTAGCTCTGCGAGCACCTCCCAGTACACAGCGAGATGTGCTGTACGCCATGGCGCCGACAAAGGCTTTGGCGACGTACCTCATGTGGAGCGATGGACATGTAGGTGTTGCCACATGGGAAGCTATTAGCGGCATCGTTTATTGTATTTTATAGAGAAATGGAGATTTGTAGTATTAAGAAACCATTTTTGTAGACTATTGAGCAGAGCCCTCTTCATTCCAACACCGATATAACAGCATTGTGCTTAATGACGCGTAAATCCACCGCCACTAGAATATATTGACCCATATTTGTACGTTGTTCAACTCTTGCTATATAATATTGTACCATGGATTTTTTTGGCAGTAATCCATTTTAGCATGGCCAGGCATGGCTGTCATCAGCCTCAAAGTGTGCAGTTCCGACCTTGGAGGATGCGTCGTAGCCAAGATAGCGTGTTGACATGCAGCTGCAGAATCCAGTGCGGCAGAACTTGAGCGTGTCGTGAGGATAGACAAAGATGTCAGCGTCACCCTTGGCAGTACGGCAGTGCGCATGGGCATTGGCAATCTGGCCATCGCCATTTCCGTGGCATTCGTTTGTTGCAGGGCAATCTGCCCAGCCAAGGACGTCGTCATTGATGGTGAACGTAGCGCTGCATGGTCCATCTGACCCAACAGCCGCTCTTTCAATATCGACGTAGGCATGGAAGCGCGCAGCGGATAAGCCTATCAAGGCAGAAACGACGAGTTGAGACTTCATAATAACGAGCTGTAAGAGTTGGGTTGGGTGTCTTCTTTGTTTCTTTTTTAATTAACATATAAGTGTGCGCCAAACAACGGGAATCTGGTCTGCTTTTATGTATTTATCGGCTTCCCCAAACGGGTTAACCCAAGCTACGTGGGCTCTCCAACGCCGGCATCGCTAGAACAGTTAACCGTTCAGTTGTAGCGGCTGGCACTAATACGAAATCTAAGAATTTTCGCGAGGTTTCCGACATGTTTCCCAAAGTAGTGTTTCCGTCTTGCAGAAACATCGGCCGCCTTGGAAGAGCCACAAAAGGCCCATTTTGCCGCCGTTGCAAGATGAGGCTGCGGGCTGCTAGACGCTAGGGTGAGTATGGTGCCGCACTTCCGAGAGAAAACGCGTGGCCTGGCGCAGGTCGTTGTGTTCCTCATCCTGGGTTATTCAAACTGACCTGCTTCTCACGTCACTCTATGAACCCTGGGCCCATGTTAAAATGGTACCTTCAGAAGAATATGTCGCGAAATTTCTCGCTATTGCGCCTGGCGCAGGCGATGGAAAGGCGTTTGTTTTCCTAGAAGTAAGTTTGGCGCTGAGTTATGAAGTAGACAAAAGGACTTACCGAGATCGTTGTAAAGGGCGCAAATAGTCTCGAAGAGGCAATTGATCAATATTATGAGAATCCCGACAAGTACGGCACCGGTACGACGCCCGTAACTCAACCCCTAGCCAACAACACGCATGTGGCACACCACACCAACGCAGTCATTAAGGCTGGGGTCATTCGCGCGCAGGATGAGGTTTGTCTCTACCTGACTAATATTCTTAGCATTACTAAAAGCGTTAATATGATATTAACTTCTTCTTCTAGCAAGAGATGCAGAATCAGCTGCAAACCTTGCAATTAAGGTATAGGATTTATAACCCAGACCTTGAACCAGAGCATGAGGTTGACGGATATTGTTCCTGTCCCATACACCAATATAAACAACTGAAGTGGAACCGCCTTGGTGTGCAGAACATGTGGTCCCAGGCCGTGATGTATCCCGGTGCGTACGGCTCATCCGGCATCCGACTCATTTTGCTGATATATCTCTGCAGGCGAAAAGGCATACCACGACTGTATCCAGCCAACAATCGGCCTCTTTAGTAGCAATCCCTATGCATTGAGCTCAATCTCACCATTCTCGCGGTACGGCTCGACCTGGTCTGGTATCCCGTCTATCAGTCCTCGAAACTACACGCTCTGGGTACAGCAGACCATTGAGCTTAACGCTCATCTTAATGCGAAGGCTCAGACTAAGGTAGATGCGCTAGAGCCTACCATGAACATCTGGAATGATGAACAGTTGGCAGTACCTCAGCAGGCGACAGGCTCATTGCATATAGGCGCGCAAAAAAACAAACCGTCGGGGACAGAAAATTCTACAGATGCGCCATCACCAGTTAGAGCGGCAAGTGCATCCCAGAGCTCTAAAGCGCCATGGTATGGCAGCATTAAAAAGGCCTTGTCAATCAAATCATCAGAAGAAAGGGCAATGGAAAAGAAGATTAAAATGAGGGCTCATGGCATTGAGTTGCGCAATTCGATAGTTCAGGAAGAGACCGGTCGTTGGCCAACTCCAGAATGGCGACAGCTGGTCATGAATTATCAAGAAAAGGTGGGGATGCGAACAAAGATCTCAGACCTGCGGGAGCGCTCACCTATTCAATACCTTCACCTTCTCCGAGCAGGATATTTCGAGCCGATCCCTGTGGCCTGGGCTGATCAAATTTCCAACCCGCTGAAATTCTCTATCGAGGCTGCTGGTGGATGGAGGGGCATCACTCCTGCTTGGAGGGGATATGAAGACACGGCAGAAGAGCGACTCTACTGGGTGCTTAACCATAGGGATGGGAGCACCGGTGCGAGACTGAAACCTGACCAAATATCTGCTTTGAATATGGCTCGGGCGAGAATGGCATCTGCAGTCGAACCGCCACCTCAATACTTTTCAGCGAATGATATTTGTCATGTTCAGCATACCTCGGAAGGATATTCAAAGCAGGTAATGGCCCCTCCTTTTATTCCCATGGATGGGCCAGAAACAGCGAGGGACGATACAATGATTCTGTTGGATGTGTCGGGGTCTATGGAGTTTGACCCAGTGCGACCTGTTTATGATCAGTATTTTATTACAGGATATGTAACTTCCCAACAACCGAAAAACAAGGGTATGTACTCTCTTCAATTGCTTCGTTGATGAGCAAGAGCTAACTACAGACGTTGCCGTCTATCCAGCGGTAGCAAAAGCAATTGTCCGCCGCTTTGTCGACGCCATGATTAATCACAGCAGGAATGGTCACGGCTATGACTTGATCACATTTGCTAACCACTCAAATTATATCGGCGTTATAAACCACCGCAATTTTGACCGAGTGTGGAATGCTGTTCGCCTCGGAGGCGGTACCCGTGTTATGTCGGGTTGGCAAAAGGTGAAGCAATTACATTTTGAGAAGCATCGTCAGTCGGCTTTTCATCATCCCGTGTACGGTTGGCAAGCCGGCCCTGAAACGCCTATCCTAAGGCTACTTCTTTTACTGGATGGAGAGGCTACAGATATGGATGAATTTGAGTTGGACCTGTTGGGATGCTCGTGGGCTCATGTAACTGTCTTCTTGATTGGCGTTGACGGATGCCCTCATCATCACCGCCATGCCAACGAGCTCCAACGGATTAGCGAAGTCAATCACCATGTTTCATTTGTCGACGCTCAGGGCAATACTCCCGAGCGATTTGTCACACACGAGCTTTTGAAGCGGCATTTGGGCTATAACGTTTCCATGCAAGAATTTGAGGAACTAGAGCAGCCGCCTCCATATAGTGAGACTTGAACAATTTGTTTAATAGCCTGATTTAGCCAATGATTTTAAACTGCGTTACCGGCTTCTTCACTCTTCTCATGTGTCGCTGTTGTATGACTACCATCTAACAGAGCCAACAGACCAACCTCTTCCTGCGCCTCGCGTAGCAACTCTGCATCTCGCTGTCCCGTGTGGCTATTGAAAATGCGATCCATTTCCTCCAAACTGGCATTTTTGGTCTCTGGTAAGAAGAACCAAACCCAGAAGATGCCGGTAGTCAAGAAGACGGCGAAAAAGATGTAGGTTCCCCAGGCCCATGCTTCAAGCATTGGTGGCACAAAAAATGCGATGGCAAAGTTGTTCACCCAGTTGCTTGAGGCACCAATGGAGGCACCCTTTGCTCGGATAGAGAGAGGGAAGATTTCAGAAACGAGCGTCCAGGACACAGGGCCCCATGTGGCACCGAATCCAGCAATGTAGACCCAGATTAGCGCTGCAAAATGTATGGTTAGCTTTGTCATTTGGGTAAAACAACCGGAGTCTCATTTGTACTTACCGACTGCAGTCCAGCCGGCATCGGCGTGCGATGGCCAGTCGTGTCTAAATTTGGCGACAATAATACCCACGATAACCATACTGACACCCATGACAATGGATCCAACCTGAAGCATTGGCTTTCGACCAACCTTGTCAATGATAAGCTGAGGGCATGTTAGTTGATAATTACGGTATATATAACACTGGGGTTGATCTTACCATGGCGGGAACTGTACTAATCAAAAAGACAACACCCGTTACACCAGTCGCAAGCAAGGCTGTCGTGCCTCCAGTCAAGCCGAGGCTCTGGAAAATGTTGGTGGCATAGTAGATTATGGCATCGATTCCGCTCCATTGCTGAAAGAACATGATGAGCCATGCTGTTGCCACGCGCTTCAAATTATCCATAGTTCGGAAACAGCTAACGTATTGGGCAATCTGCTCGCGGAATGAGCTCTTTTGTCCCTGTTCTGCCATTTTGGGGAATTCTCGAGCAAAGACTTTGTTTTCAAAGACGGACTCGGCCTTGATTTCGAGATATTCCGCTTGGATAAGCTGATCATCGACAGGCAGTTTGCGCATCCAGGCGAGAGTAGTCTTTGCCTCTTCATCTCGACCAACTTTGACAAGCCAGCGAGGGGAGTATGGCATAAACCAGATGCCAATGGCAAGGGCCACAGCAGGGATTCCCTGAATGATGGATGGGAGGCGCCAGGCCAGGTCAGATTGCGAATCGCCAATACCACCAATGTAGTTGCTAGCGTAACCGATCCAAAACGACAGCATGATGCCAAGAATGGTAGCAAACTGGTAAAACGAAACCAGGAAGCCACGCATGTCAGGCGCCGAGAGCTCGGCATTGTACAGAGGCCCAACACCACTGAACAGTCCAACTCCCAGTCCGGTGAAGAAGCGACCGGCGTAGAGAAGAGCCGGCTCACCAGCTTTGGCGCCAATGTAGAGATAGCTGCCGAGAATGACCCAAAGACAAGCAATAAACATAGTACGCTTGCGAGAAATAAGCTCGCTCAGAACACCTGCAGAGAGGGAACCAACAATACCACCGAGCTGAAGAACTGAAGTCAGCCACCCTGTGGCGGAGGAAGACTGGACGACCGAGGGGAAGTTGGTTACGAAGCGCGTCATGACCAGCGATTGGCCAAGCACGCCCTGTTGGTAGCCATATTCAAATCCACCGAGACTAACAGAGACGATGTTAGGCTTTTTTTTTCAAGAGGACTACGAGTTAAAGATGGCCCTAGGCGCGCACTTACGAGGCGAAAAAGGCAATAAAGACAACCTTGGGGTTGGCGCGGATGTTGGCCCAGATGGACCTAGTCGGGGATAGGGTTCGCTGCGCAGACTCCATCGTGGCTGTCGCGTGGCGCCTGGGCAAACTCGAACAAGCGATGCGAGGCGTTGTGATGTTTCAACAGAGTTTGTATGATTGAGGATGCAAGCGGCTGATGTTTGTTTCAAATGTCAGGAGTCAAAGAAGTGCGGGCTGGAAACCGAACGTCCAAGACCAAACAGCGCGGTCTCGTCGGCGGACAATAAGCCGAAGGGAAAACATATTAGCCAGGCAAAATTTTAGGACCCCAGGTTCCCCCATCTTTGACAAGTGGGCTTCTCCAAACCGGAGTCTGCCGAAGGGTCTTTGTCTCTGTTGGCTAACCCCCACGTTGAGTGTAGCAGCGTAGCGGTGCAGCAGGGAATAAGTTTAAGGTTGTTTGGGATAAATATATGCTGGCGACCGTAGATTTGAGAAATTGAAGTTTAAATAGCCATAAATCACCTACGAACACGCCATCATCACTCTTTTAGCATTGTGAGAGCTAGTGAGCCACACACTATGGCTTCCCCATGACAGGTGGGCCAGCCATTGCGCGGCTAGAGGAATGGCTAAAATAAAAGCGAATACGCTACTGTGACGTGACCTGATGGATGCGACCGATGATGTTGACAAGATGCACTCCGGCAGAAAAGATGTTCGAAATCACTTCACGCTGCCCTGAATAGCACTATCTAAACACTACGTCATACCAGTTCGCGTTATTGGTATTAAAAACCACCCACCGGACCTCGCACCGCATCGGCCAATAGCATCTTCGGTTTGTGGTCGTCAGCTAGCACAGCCCCCGAGTCGGAGGAATACCACGGCCGGTGAAGCAGTCCCACCACGGGCCCGTTGACCACCGGACCCATCGGTACAGGAACCCGTAGAGGCCCGAATCTCGAGTCAGACGTCTTTTGCCCTTCTCTTTGTTCGTCCGGCTCGTGAGGCTTAGTAGAGGATTCGTCCGAACTAACATTGTATTCCTCCGTGAGGCTAGCTGTAACGACGTCGTGTAAATGACAACAACGAGTATAAAGCAAGTAGAAAGAACGGCTGATTATCACGAAGAAAATTAAAATCAAGCCTTATAATTCATACTTATACTAAACATTCTACATCAACACCTTTATACAAAACCCTGATACAATCGAAGAACAGAAATGCTCTCACGTGTACTTCTTTCCTCTTTGCTGGCCTCTGGGGCCATGGCCCAAGCCCAACAAGCAGCCAACTTCAACATCACGGCCGACATGGCTGCGCAGGCCCATTGTGGCCAGAAATGCCAGGACCTACTTCTACAGACCCAAGCCATCGACATTGCCACTGTTGGTCAAGATTTCGACTTTGACTTTTATGCCACATCAAGCAACTTTACATCGTCATCCAAGCCTGGCGATCTTCTCAAGATGCAGGCCGTGGACCCCAACACGAGAGACATCAAAGCTGGTACGACGGTATACCGCATACAGTATGCATCCAAGCGATTTGATGGCTCCACTAGTGTTTCCACGGGCTATGTTGCCATCCCATTCAATGCGGCACTGACAGATCCATCCAACGGTGCTGGGGGTACTTTCAAGGTGGCGGCCATCGCACCAGGCACGATTGGCATCTATCGCGGCTGTGCACCGTCCAACGGGCCCAACTTTTTCGACTATGACACCTGGAAGCCGTTGGTCGAACGGGGCTACATGGTGGTCAGCACCGACTATGCTGGTATTGGTAACAACCACACCGGATTCCAGTACGGTAGCTTTCCTGCCCATGCCAACGACGTCTTTTATGCGGTGCAAGCCGCGCGCAAGGCCTTTGGACAGGTCATGAGCAAACAGTGGATGAGCCTGGGCCACTCTCTTGGTGGCGCGGCTGCGTGGAAGCTGGCTGAGAGCGAGCATGTCCGCCATGATGCCAACTATCTTGGAACGGTTGCACTGGGCCCAACAACATATCTAGTAGATATGATCCTGGACAGCATTGATCAACGAGAACTGGCCGGTCACATTCCACTTGTCGCCACAACACTTGCCAACACGCTTCCATCCTACCGTGAGACTATTCTCTCCGATGAGACTCGTCTGCGTATGCAACTTGCAGAAAAGACACAGATGTGTGCCGTGAGCATGCTCAGCGTGACTCGTGATATGGAGATCCCCGCCATCTACAACCATACTGGTCTGCAGGTAGACGGGCAAATCATGCGCAAATGGCAAAACGAGTCCTCCCCTGCGCTCGGTGATATTTCTCCTGCCCCTATCCTTGTTGTTCATGGTCTGGCGGACACTACAGTGGTGCCCGACATTGTTGAAAAGGCTTGGAAGCGATCCTGCGACGCTGGCAACAAGGTGCAGCTGTCCCTGTATCGCCTAATGGACCATACGCCCGTTGTATCGGCCGCCGGTGCCGAGTGGATTGGCTTCATGGACAAGCAGTTCGCCAAGAAGAAGCGAAACTCCAGCCATTCCGATCGTCAGCGCTGCACCAAGGTTGTACGTGAGCCGTTTGACGAAAAGTTTGTCAAGGCGCCCAAGGAATTTAGTCTTTGAGGCGTTGGTGTACCCTCTGTCGTCGATGGTGACGGGTCCTGTCTAGCATTAATGTCCTTTGATCGCGTGCCGTTGCATACAGTATAATACTTAATAATTAATAGATTTCTCTTTCCGCTAAGCAAGTTCCACATGTCCTTAGCATTGTCATAAATTTCAACCAAGTAACTTACAAAATAACCCTGTCTGGCATATACAGTAGTCCCCGCACTGTCAGTACAACGGTCCCCTATTCTTCTCCAACTGTCAAATCGGCGGTGCAACGCTGCACAGCACAGACAATGGACTCGAGGGGAAAGGATGGACAAACTTTAAAATTGGGACCAGCGCGGTAAGCAGCCACCACGACAGCTTGGGAATAGCAAGTCGCGTCACGCCTGCAGCACAGAGTCACACTGTTATGGTTTGCAAATTAGCTTTCGCTTCCGCCACCGACTCATAGCGTTCATGCTGGATTATGCCAGTTCCACGCACTTTGTAGGCGGCAGGGGGCCTAAATATGCTCTCTTGCATTACTAGCGGAAAGTAGGCCAAGCAGTGGACTCCTCCTCCTCTTCGGGGGAGGCGCTGCTTCGGAGAGATAGCATCTCTGGGCACAAGCCAGCACTCGGCAATGGAACTGCCAAGACATGGGGGCAATAACAAGAGGCCTTTTGTGTCAGCATCCATCCATACTGGTAAAAGGGCCTGCCTGTTGTGTCCAGAGAAGCTGCAGCAGCCACTATGCCGCTAATTGGGTGGCGTCCCCCAAGTGCCACAGCCCCCATAGCGTTAGTACATTACACTATCAAGTCTGAAGGGCTGATGGGCACATTTTCTGGGGGCCGAGCCCCTGGCAGGCACAAAGACAGAGATCGCGCCACCTTAATCTCCTCCCGCCTTGGCCCAAAGTAGATAGTGTCGCCAAAAGGACCATGCGAAAAGAACCCTCACAGCGCCCATTCTGTCAGCTCCAGCACGCAAGTATGGAGAAAAGATTCACTAGACTTGGGGCTAGTCTTCCCAGTTTGGCAGGTGTCTAGCAATTTCGGCTGGATCAACAAGTTGCGCAATAATGTTGACCCAGCATTCCACAGCGACGGTTGCACCACCCACTCGGCCTTTGCCTGAGGCGCGTGCTTTAAAAGAAGCTTGCCGCCCTGTCTCTGTGAAGATCTTCTTGTCTCTCTCTCTCTCAGCATTCTAATTGACTCTTGTTTGTTGCCAATTAGCTTCTTCTCACGATGGCTTTCCTCTTTACTGCCCTCGTCGCCGGCCTGGCTACTGCCTCGCCCGTCAGCGATCTCATCACCAAGCAGGCCTTGAGCGCCGTCCCCCACGGCTGGGAGCTCAAGTCTGCTGCCAAGGACGATCACAAGATTGACCTGTTCATCCGCCTCAAGGAGGAGAATCAGGACAAGCTGGAGAAGCGCGTCATCGAGATTAGCACCCCTGACCACCCCGACTACGGCAAGCACCTTTCCAAGGACGAGGTAGATGCTCTCGTTGCGCCCACCAAGGCCAACGTCGATGCCGTCTCCAAGTGGCTGTCTTCCCACGGCCTCGATGCCGGCAAGGTCGACGGCGGCTACTTGACTGTCACTGTCACCGCCGCCAAGGCCAAGGAGCTGCTCAATGCCGACTACGGTGTTTATGCTCACCCTAAGACTGGTCGCCAGACGGTTCGCGCTACCAGCTACAGCGTGCCCAAGAACCTCGAGGACGCCATTCAGATGATTCAGCCCACCACCATGTTCTCTGACCTTGGTGTTGGCTCCAACAGAATGATCGACATTGTCCCTGCGTCCGAGATTGATACCCGCGGCGACGATGTTTGCGCCACTGAGAAGACCTCGGCCCGCTGCCTGCGCCAAAACTACAACATTCACGGCTATACGCCCCGTGCTGGCAAGTCTACACTTGGCATCGCCGGTTTCCTCGACGAGGTCCCCAGCTACAACGACCTTTCTTTGTACCTGACCAAATACACGCCCGAGATCCCCACCAACACGACAACTCCCATCACCTCCATCAACGGTGGTCTCTCTGACCCCAAGGGCTCTGGTGAGGGCGAGGCCAACCTCGACACCCAAATCACCGTCCCGTTGACATACCCCATCAACAACATCTACTGGTCCACTGGCGGCATGCCTCCTTTCCAACCCGCCGGTAGCAGCGTCAACAACACCAACGAGCCCTACTTTGAGTGGCTCCAGTACGTCAGCGGCCAGCACAAGCTTCCCACGACCATCTCCATCTCGTACGGTGATGACGAGAGAACCGTCCCTGTCGACTACGCCCGCGCCGTCTGCTTCCAGTTCCTCAAGCTCGGAGCTCGCGGTGTCAGTGTTTTCGTCTCTGCTGGCGATGCCGGTCCCGGTGGCTCTGATTCTTGCACTGTTGATGCCAACGGCAAGAAGACTGTCAAGGAATACCTCCCCGATTTCCCTGCCTCGTGCCCCTGGGTTACCACTGTTGGTGGCACCACCCACTACGGCGACGACGAGCAGTCCGAGCCCGATGGTGGCAGCGGCTTCTCCAACATCTTCACCCGTCCCTGGTACCAGTGGTCCGATGTCGAGGACTACCTCGATGGTCTTCCCGAAGAGTTTGAGAAGATCAAGTTCAACAGACGCGGCCGTGCGTACCCCGATGTCTCCGCCCTCTACCGCGGCTACCCCATCTACTTCCAGGGCAAGCTCGGATACAGCGGCGGCACCAGCGCTTCGTGCCCTACCACTGCCTCCATCTTTGCTCTGCTCAGCGACTACCTCCTCTCCCAGGGCCGTCCCCCCATGGGCTTTGTGAACCCTTGGCTCTACCGCCGCGGTACTGATGGCCTCCGCGACTTGAAGAAGGGCCACAACAACGTCTGCAAGACTGAACCTGCTTTTCCTTCTGTTGAGGGTTGGGATGCTACCACTGGTCTCGGCGTTCCCGACTTTGGCAAGCTTTTGGATCTCATCCGCGACTAGAAGATTTTCTCTAGAATATACTTTTAATACTACCTAATTTTCTTTTTTTCTTGTCATCAAGACTGGCCTCTGCGTAGATATTCTTAATATTAGGGTCTTCTTATTTCTTATGAATAACATTTATATCTACAGATATTCCGTCAACTGAACAGATACCGTACGAGCTCTTCTTACTCTGTACATACATACAGTGTGTCACTCCATAGAGTGACTGAGTCAGGAGGTACACGCTGCGGCGCAACCCGTCCGGGATAGGGAGGAATGTTGCGCTAAATTAACCACCAACGGGTCAGTCAGCATGCAAGCAAGATGCGTCCCGTGTTAAAATTGGTCGTGCACCCAATAGGAGCGACGATCTGTCTGACAACGACCAGACGGGGATCGCTTCGCTAAAAATACAGCAGGCAAGGGGAGCCTTGTCCCATGTTGGTTGGTTAGCGAGAAAACTTGACACAATGGAGCTAAGTTAGCTCGCTAGCGAAGCTGGCTGTCGGGATATCGGTTTGCAGACGGCTAATTCACATTACGGGACCCAAAGTTTAAAAGCGGCAAAAGGCCCTCACATGATATTCATAATGCATTACGTGCTGGTAGTAGTAGCAGTTGCTCCTTTGGGCTCCCATCCCGGCTCGGCCATTTCAAACCCCTCAAACTCAAAACCGGGAGCCACGGAACAACCCACCAAAGTCCAATCTCCCAGGGACTGCGCGTGCTGCCACTCCCCTCGCTCGATGATAATCTGCGGGCGCTGGCCGTTCCAGAGGTCCGTGCCTAGGACAACATCGCGGACAGGCGTTCCGTCATTCTTGGAAAGTGAAAGCTGCAGAGGTGCGCCGGCATAGTAGTGCCAGACCTCGACGGCGTCCAGCACACGGTGCCAGTGCGATAAGCCGGACTCGCCTTCGAGCAAGTAGTAGATGTTGGTGCTGGGCGCACGGCCACCGGTAGAAGAGGTGTGGGAGTCTCGGAATGTCTCGACGTAGTAGCCCTTTTCGGGGTGAGGAGTAAGCTTGAGCGCCTCAATGACCTCCTTGGCCGTGCGAGTAGTGGTAGAAGTCATGGCTGTTTTGGAATACTGGGTAAAATGAGAGAAATGTGAGTAGTGAAATGATGTACAGAGTATAATGAAGAGAGAGATACGGGTCGCGGTTAAACGCAAACATATGCGATACTTCCTTCCCTTTTCTTTTTCCCTTGTCTCGTGCATGGAGGGGCCACTCGGCGGAAGACCTCGATGCAGCGGAACATAGAAACCACATTGCGCAACGGGCCAGCAGGACCGGTGCAACCATCCAACCACGGTTCGGTGTGTGGCTGGACGCTCATCATGATTGGGCAGTTGGGCCAACAAGGCGTCGATCTCTCAGGTTTCCGCCGACGCAGCGCACAGCCCCTAACTTTGGAATCTCCAGCAGCCCACATCCGCTGTAACGACACAGTACTGTAGGCCCTCCCTTTGGCGTCCAATTTGGGGTGGTAAGCGACAGCAAGACCAACAGCCGGGAGATGCATACTCCGCTCGGGGCGGCAAGCCCCCAGCGACTCCTCTAGGCCCACGGCATCACCAATAAGACACCAAGCAAGCCCGCGCCGCCACTTCGATTTCCATCTTCGCCCCCTCATCTCTGCTACACCGCGTCGCCGTACGCGCCCCTTCCACCGTATGCCCTGCTGCTCCCGGCTTCCGCCCATCGTATAATCGTCTGGCATGGCCGCCTCTTGCTTCGAATAGACATCTTATAACATCTGCCTGACACCATGGAGGACCTCAAGAGCAACCTGCCCATGGCCATGGTGATTGCCGCCTTCACCGGCATCTCGTGGTACATTGGCGTCGAAATCAACATCTCCCTCTTCCTCCTCTTTAAGCGTCGCCGCGGTCTCTACTTTTGGTCCTGTGCTCTGACATCTTGGGGCGTAATACTCCAGCCTCTATTTATTATTCTCGCCGACTTTGGCGTCTGGAAGGACCCGGTTCCTGCGGTCGTCATGATTTACTTGACCTGGCTCATTATGGTCGTGCCGCAGAGCTGGGTTCTGTATTCGCGACTGCATCTTCTCGTTCATACACCCAAAACGTTACGAATTCTGCGCTACATTCTCATTTTCGTCTCAATTGTTTTTTCTGTGCCAACAATCATCATCGGCACAATAGCAGTAAGTCCAGTCGCTCGTGCCGTTGCGCCCGTGACACCACTCATCCTCCAACCAACCCCCCAACCCGCTAACAAACCAAACTTTGCAGCAAGCGACAAATATCCATCCAGGCTTGGCTTCATTTAATATTGTATGGGATCGCGTGCAACTTGCCGTGTTCTTTGTGCAAGAGACCATGCTTAGTCTGCTCTACATTTACCACACTCGAAAATACCTGCTGGCGCGATCGCCTCTCATCGAACGAACATGGTCTGTTGCCGAAAGCGACCACGGCGAGCGAGTGCAGTCTCAGGAGCAAAACTCTGTCTTGTGGCAGCTGGTATATTCCAATCTTCTCATCATTGCCCTCGACATTACGCTTCTCGGTATTCAATGCGCAGACTTGTTCTATCTACAAGGCGCATTCAAGCCATGCGTCTACGGCGTCAAGCTCAAGATTGAATTCGCCATTCTCAACCGCCTCATTGCCACTGTACAACAAGCAGCACGAGAAGAAATTTATCTAGGCAGCGCACCAGACAGCCTTGGCCTTGGGCCCAATCTCAGTTCCGCGCAGTCCGCTCAAGAGCGAGAAAGACGCAAGAGGTCTACCCCCGATCCGACAGAGACCTTGGATGCTTTGGATGATGAAGAGTCGGATATTGTGCCACCAGGTCATCTACGAAGCCCAGAGAGCCAGAAACCAATTCGCTATGAAACGCATGAATCATAGTTCTGCTACAGACTATCAAACTCAAAAAAACAAAACAAAAAAACGGGACCTTGAAAGAGGTTGACGACGACGTTACGATCTATATTGACTTATAATTCCCCTACCGAGCGTGATGCTACTGTTTATTGTTGGTCTTGCTTTCTTGCTTTTCTTGAAAGGAGTATGGGGAGATGGAATTCACGGAGCGTATTGAGCCACATACCAGTGTGCGTGTAAAAGAAGTACAAATATATTCATGAATGGCCGTAAAAATTGTGTACATAAACCCCCCGTTGTCCTGTGGCTCTTACCGTCTTACTTTGCAGTCGCCTTTAGGCCTCCAACCTTCGGGTTGTAGGTCACTGGTAAGGAATCCAGGAGCGACTATATAGATTATTTGGTTAGCATCATTGGTAATGGCGGGTATCGACTGGATGTTGGCCAGCAGACTTACCAGTATTTCCAACCAATGTCCAATTTCCGCTTGAGCGAGCGCTTTGCCACATGCCCTTTGGAATTACGACAAATGGAGCCTGGTTGTTAAATACATCCGGTCCTAGGACGTGCTTTTCTGTAGGCGTGCCGTCGTCGTGAGAGAGTGAGAGGGTGAGAGGCGCGCCGGCGTAATAGTGCCAGATCTCCGTCGCATCGGGGACGCGATGCCATCTCGAGTTGCCAGCCGAGCCTTCCAGCAAATAGTAGATGAGGGTGCTAACAGATCGGTTATTCACCCGGTCGGGGTCCTCAAAGGTTTGCAGATAATAGCCCTTCTCTGGGTTAGGAAGAAGCTTGAGCTTATCCACCACCTCTTGTGCGGTGCGCTGGTTAATAGGTTTGCCTTCCGCGAGACAGGTCGGCAGTGCAGTGAGCGCCGCCACTAGGGCGAAGCCAGAGCGAAAGAGCATAGCAGCGACGGAGAATCTTTTGAAAGCCAGGCAACAGCCTAATAGGAGGGAGAGCTTGTAGGCTTAGCGATGCTTCAAACAAGATCTCAGCGGCAGCAAAACGCCTTGGCTATGGGGTGGTGGACATTCAAATAAGCGTTCGGGGATGCCACAACAAATAGCGAGCACTGGCGTCAACTTGCGAACATCGGGGGTCGCCCCGGCTTTGAAAAAGATGGGTTTGTAAAATTGTCCGCAGATCCACTAGGACCGCCTGCGGTCTTATTGTCCAACTGCAGGGTTGTACCATGTACATTGCATGGGCGCTGTTGTCAGCGCTGGGCCATATCTTGGGGTGGCTAAAACACAGGCCCACGGCGGCGGTATGCGAGGAAAAGGAACGCAATTTGCTTTTTGGCGAACCCACATCATGCTGTCCCCTTGCTGGAGCACCTACGTACTTGCTACTTGGTCATCCAAGCCAGAGGGGGACAGACAGCTGGATGAATAAAGGCCAAGGTTGCATCCGGGCGGGGTCTCTTGGGTTCGCGAACGCATAGAAGTCTGCCAGAACCAGTAGTTTTGTGTGCCAATCGCGTGTTTCAAGGCCTAGCAAACCGAGCTAACGCCCGCCATGGAACACTTGTGGAAGCCAGTGACCAACCACTACAGTTGACCAACACCAGAAAATGGGAAAGGCTTGCAGACGAGCTGAAAAAGCATCTCTGTCGCTCCTCATCTCTCCGCTCATTTTGGCTGTCAGTTTTAGTGATGACAGGCCGTAATAAATGCCTGTCGTTAAGCTTTGAGTCTATTAGCCAGTGTAAGACGGCTTAGCCGGGACGTGTTGAAAAAAAAGACACAGGCTGAATGGTGATCAATGTCGTCAAAATGAAAAACATGGTATTGCATCAAAGTCGTAAATGGGTATAAAATGATGATTCCTGCAATAACACCTGCAATAGCAGAATAGCCTCCCATGCGCCGTTCTCCATCCATGTGTATTTCGTCTATGCCGCCGCCGCCTCTTTCCAGCGGTATTCCTTTTCAATGCCCTGCTGCTCCTTTGCCGTGTCGCAGAGCCTCATATCACCGCAGTTGCACACTCCTCCAGGCCGCAGCCACCTATATGTAATGCTCCACCTATCCTGTCGTAAGCGAACTGTGCCGTCGGACAGAGGGTCGGTCTTCCGGGCACGAATGGAGTGCGTCCAGTGCAGGCGGACATCGCCGCTGAATTGGGCCATGCTGCGCGCTGGTAAGTCGATGTCGAGCTTCTCTCCCGTTTCTGGGTGCGCAAACTGCATCAGGACAGGCGAGCCTAGTGACAGGGAGTAGAGCTGATCAAAGGCGCTGTGCGTATCCGCATGTGGCGGAATGCCAGCTCCCGGCGGATAGTGCTGGATGCACACTTGATCTGGAAGCTCAGTCTCGCCTGGCGGCAGAAGCTGGTTAAGCCACGGTGGAAACGGTTCGTATGGGATGTCTCGGTCTATCTTGAACGTCTTGTAGCAGAATGTGTAGCCATAGTGAAGAGATCGTCGGCCATTACGATCTGGCCACTCGAGCTCGCTGAGAAACGTTTCCAAGACTTTCTTTTCGAATTCTTCTGTGACAAAGTCGGTAGTCAACACTAAACCCGGAGGTTGTTTGGAAACATGTGTCATTGTTTTGTGTGGTTTGGTGATATTACATATGTCATCGTAGAATCTGGGAGACAAGTGCTATAAAATTTGTCCACAGCTTGACACTGTCACGTGTCTCCATCAGCACGCCGGTAGCCAACTACATGCGAAACGACATAATTTATCCAAAGTTGTTGATAGAAAAGGTTTATATCCTTTATTAGTTATTCTTTTGGTACGAATCTCCTTGCAAATGCTTGCCAAAAAGCCGTGAGCCGACTTCGGGTTCTCACTGCCGGGTAGTGCGGGGGATGGGCGTCCTCAACCTCGGGCGGCGTCTTCCGCTGTAACCTACTTTAAATACAACACATCTTCATCAACACTGTATTTCGGCATCACAATACAAAAAAATGTCGAATGACGAACCCGAATCAGTACTATTCCGTCGAGGCACAGATGGCATCACATTGATTGCCATAAATAGAGTACAACGCCGCAATGCCGTGAATCCAGCAACCGCTCTGAAGTTAGCCCAAGCATTCACCTCATTCGAAGAGGACGAAACACAAAAGATTTGCGTCTTTCACAGCACACACGGCTCATTTTGCGCCGGTTTCGACCTTGTAGAACTGGCACAGACGGCTGCGTCCAACAAAACGCCGCCATCCGTCCAGACACTCAATGGCCGTGAACTGGGACCTATGGGCCCGTCGCGGATGCAAGTCAAGAAGCCCGTCATCTGTGCTGTCGAGGGATACGCGGTGGCTGGAGGACTGGAGCTGTCACTGCTGGGAGATATTCGAGTTGCTGCTGAAGATGCCGTCTTTGGTGTCTTTTGCCGTCGCTTTGGCGTACCACTCATCGATGGCGGCACGGTGCGTCTACAAGCCATTGTCGGTCTTGGACGGGCGATGGATATGATCTTGACAGGCCGACCTGTTACAGCACCAGAAGCACTGCAAATGGGATTGGTGAATCGAGTGGTAGCAAAGGGTCGGGCGTTGGATGAAGCCATGAAGATTGCGAAACAGTTGCTCACCTTTCCGCAAGCATGCATGAATGTCGACCGAACAAACTGCTACTACTCGGCGTACAATGCCAAATCATTTGAAGATGCTTTGCAGCAAGAGTACAATTCTGGCGTGCAAGTGGTTTCGACAGAGAGCATCGCCGGTGCAACCGAGTTTAGCCAAGGCAAGGGGAGACATGGGGATTTCAAAACCTCAAAACTTTGATGGACCATTTGGAAGTAAGTCATGATAAATTATTTTCATTTCTGGATATCATTGGCTTGGGCACTTTGCCAAGATTGTGCCCTCTTTGTCAAAGAGGCGACGGCGAGCCAGCTATCTGTTCTGTCCAAACTAGATGGATTGCCTTTCGAGCCCTGCTCGGTTTGAAAAAAAAAAGAAATAACAGAAAAATAAACAGTAGCGTCATGTGGATATATTTTATTATGCCTATTCCTGGCCCGGGTCATTACATGCTTTCCCATATGTACAATGCATTTCGTTCAGCCGCTGTTGCTGAAGCTAATAAAAAAAAGAGAAGACAAAGAGAATCATCGAGAGGCTTGAACCGCCATAGGTCTCAGCTTATGAGGCAGGGGCAGTAGCAGCAGCCTCGCCAGGGTTCTCGGTGGTGCGGACAACGCCCTGGAGCTTGGCGATGGACTTGTCGAGAGAGGCCTGCTCAGTCTCGTTGAGGATGAGGTCGAAGGATCGGATGATGCCGCGGCGGCCGACGAGAGCAGGGCGGTTGTAGGAGATGCCCTTCTCCTCGCTGATGTGGCTGATGGGGAGGATGTGGCGCTCGTCGAGGAGAACGGATGTGCAAATGTTGGAGATGCAGGCGCCGACACCCCACGAGGTCTCGCCCTTGACCTTGTTGAGGCGGTCAGCCTTGAAGCGGATGAACTCGGCAATCTCGCTGCGCTCCTCGTCGTTAAGGGGCATGACCTGGTCGACGGGGATGCCGCCAATAGCCATGTTGGACCAGGCAATGGTCTGGGAGTCGCCGTGCTCGCCGACAATGTAGGCGTGGACGTCGCGGGGAGCAACCTCGGCGCGCTGGGCAATAGTGTCCTTGAGACGGGTGGTGTCGAGGACAGTACCGCTGCCAAAGACCTGGTTGGCGGGGAGGCCAGAGTACTGGACGGCAAAGTAGGTCATGACATCGACGGGGTTGGTGACGACGACGATGATGGCATCCTCCTTGAAGGGCTTCATCTGCTCGAAGCCATCACGGATGACACCAATGTTGCGCTGGACAAGGGCAAGTCTGGACTCGCCGGGCTTCTGGTTGGTACCAGCAGTGAAGACAATGACATCGCACTGACCACACTCCTTCAAGGTGGCGGCACGAACACGGGGGGAGATGCCGAAGCTGGTAGAGTCGCGGAGATCCTGAACCTGGGCGTCGAGGTAGTCGGCGTTGATGTCGTAGATGAGGACTTCGCTGGCAATCTGCTTGTGGATGATGGAGTAGGTAGCGGCGGCACCAACCTTGCCAACACCAACCATGGCAATTCGGGGACCACGGAAATCAGCCATTGTGTGAGATGTGTGTGTGTATGAGTGAGTAGTGAGAAGAGGTTGTTGTTAGCAGGGTGAGAGAGACAGCAAACAGCAACAGTGAGTGTTGGATGAGGCTGAAAGAGAAGAGGCAGGGATGATTATGGATCGAAGGATTATGGAATAGGGAAAAAAGCAGAATAGGAAATCTGTCACAGGGGAGGCGGGAATGTCAACGTTGATATACGTTGAAGAGGCAGCAGACTTTGAGCAGCCGCATGGAGGCGGCTCATCTTACCCCGTGGTGTATCAGTGCGACTTGCATGCTTACCGGGTGGATAAGCCAGGCAACCCATGGTTCATGGCCGGCGCGATAGTGCCTCCCAGCTGCAGAGCCTAAGCCCTTGGCAGTGGGTAAGGAACCATGGAAGTCAGCAATCTGACTCATATCGGGCACTGGATTGGGGGGAACGGTATGGAGGGCCCTGGTGTGTATTGGAATTTTTGCCTTTTTTCTTACAGGACACGCGGCTGCACGACACGACTCGAAACATGAAGAATGATAGCAGGATGAGTATATGGTGTGAGAGATCAACATGTCCCTCGTTTCAATTTCTTCCCGTCTCCAACGCAGCAGAAGTTCCCCCCTTCGCAACGTGAGCATGGCTAGATGGGTTACCTTGATGATACTCATCTGCTCCAGGTGTTGTGGGATGATCCCCCAAGAAGCCAAGACGGGCCTAAGCAAGGGTCAGAAGAGAAGAAAAAAGGCGTATTGGACGGCAAAAGCAAACCGAACAAGCCTGCCTAGTGATCGCAGATAAGCCCCCCTCCCCCCTTGTTCCCACGATTCCGCCAAGGGTTTTGGGGATTGCAGTAGCAGCGGCCAGTGGCAATCCATCATCCTACAGGCACTTAGTACAGTAGTTTGGTGGATGGAGGTTGGCGTGGCTTGGCTAGTGGTGGTGTGATGGTGGGCGGTGGCGTGCATGAGCAACCAAGGGCGTTCCTTTCCGAAGATCGTTTCCGCCGTGCCACTGGCCACTCAAATGCGGTCGTCTACCCAACCTAATCGAAAGGTTATCCATATTTTCTAGTCAGCCTTAGTACAATGCCCCCGCCTTGGCGCTGCACCTCACGTCAGACTCTGCTCCAGCACAAGCTTCAAGGTAGGTAATATAGTGGGCCGCTAACATGGCCATGTTAAACTATACGAAAATATAACGGCTCGGGATTAGCTACGTGCATTGCAAAAGGTCAAACGGAAAGCAGGGTCGTCGTCGCATCGCTGTCGCCGTTGGTCGCTAAGTAGCCGACGCCTTGAGGAAGGACAAAAAAACACACACACGATACAGGCGAGGTGCCGACGGTTCGCGATCGATGCGTCCAGCTAGTTCAAGGCAGCTAGTTTTTACCATGAGCCGCTTAAGCAATGCACTGCCACTGTCCTAAGCATGGGCGGGCGTCCCCGAGTAGTATCCGCCATTTCACCCAGGGTTGCGATATCTCCTTTAGTGGCTTGGCGGCGACCTTTGGCTTTTTTGGGGGGTTAGGGGTGGAAGACGCGGGCCAGAGAATCTCCGGAGAGACGACTTGACTGGTTACATTGGCCTTTCTAGAACATTTACGTAACCTCGACGCAGCGCAACGACCAAGATGGCAAATCTGTAGACGAAGAAGGTGCTTTTTGTGTCTTTACTCAAGACAGCGGCAGCGGCAGAGACAGCAGCAGCAGCTTCTGGTGCCAGACAGAAAGATAAATTTGGGCGTTTTGATGTAAATTTACAAGGCAAGCAGTACATACTGTAAATAGTAATAGCCTTGCTCTCCAGTCACTTTAAAGGCCTCACATGTCCTCGTTGTAGCATGCTCGGTGTAGCTTATTTGCTCAAAGAAAGACAAGGCAGAGAGTATATACATCCGACATCATGAGATATCAGCTTCTTACGGCCGCTCTCTGCAGCCTGGCAGTGGCTCGCACACCTTTCCCCGGCATACCCCCCAGCGGGAGCTGGAGTCTTAGCGGGGGCCTCAACGGAGGTACCTTTAGCGAGTATAAGCCGTGTACGTTGGGTTGATTGGTCTCTTTGTTATTGCATTTTGACATTGTATAGTTGTGGAGAGCCGATCGGTAGTCGACCAGCAGTCCTGTGCCCTTCTTCAGAAGCCGCTCGAAGTCGCCTTTCAAGACTGCCGCACATATGCCAAAAAGGCCGAGCGCATCGCCTTGACGGCACCGAGCCCGCTGCTCCATAACTTCTTTGGCAAATCAGACGATGCTACTAGGCAAAAGATTGCCTCTGTGTTTCGGGCCGTGGAGCTGGAATGCTCCACCTTGGATCGTGGCTACATGAAGGTTTTTTGCAACGTCGAGCTCTGCTACTCGACCGAGATCACGCATATGGTGGCCTACAACGACGTTACCAAGACGACGTTTGTCCGCTACTGCCCGCTGCTCTTCTCGTCGTTTGATACACGAAGCCGAGGTGCTGAGTGCGAGCATCGCGATTGGCCGCTCATCGGTACTACTGTCATGCATAATGCCATGCTTACGGCTCAAGTATTTGACCCGATGGACTGGAACATGGGCAAATGGGCCGATTACATCAACTTTGCGGTTGGCAACTGCGAATTTGAGGATCCCCTCTAATCGTATAGCAAAATAAAAAGCCAATAGATAAGGCGGCCAATCCAAGGCTGCGTCCGGTACCTGATGCGTCCGGTATAAAAATAGAAAACATATACATTCTTAATCTACCGTATGGCTCATTTTCGTCTCTACAGCGTCATATATATGTGCTTTGAAGACTATGTCTCAAGTGTGTTCGCGTGATATCGTCAACATTTTGCTATTTAAAAAACGTTGTTGTACTCGCTAAGAAACGGATTCGCTTTACATGTCGTGATTGGGTGCTGCTGCAACTGATGCGTGGCATCCCGCGTCATCATGAACCCATTTCCGCCGAGACACAGCGAACCACTACTACTAGATCCATGACTGGCCATATATCTCGTAAGTAATTGTGCCATCTGTGATCGCCAAGCCTCTCCACGAACACAAACAATGTCAGCCGAACCACCACAGCTCCAAAACGGGAGCCGGTCCAAGACAGACCTACTCTGCTATATAAGAACTAGCTCATCTTTGTAGGGGTTCCCAACGTTGGGAGGCAAAGAAGCTGGTTTCTTCTACAAACACGCGTAGCCCGAAGCCCTTTACCACAATGCACGTCCGTTATCTATCTCTACTCGCCTCGCTGTCGTCTGCGGCACTCTTGTCCAGCGACGAGCGCTATGCTGCTCTCGGCCTTCCTCCCATCGAAGATGAAAACTACGGAATGGAGGCCATGTCGTGGCTGAAGCGCGAGAAGCTCAAGACCCACGAAATTATGAGCGCCGCCGGAGCCTACGATCTCGACCGATACTCTACTCTGAGCAAAGCTGCCTGCAACGGTGGCAAGGCCGCTGATTACTCCTGCAAGGCGCTTGACATGGTTGGTTTTGTCCGTCACCAGGACTTCGGTTCCAAGACCCGCAAGGGCAACGACGTCTGGGGTACGTACGACGATGAAGAATAGGATAAAATACCTATAGGAGGTGTACTAACGTTACTGATATAGGCTGGACCTCCAAGGATGGCCGTGAATTCGGCATTGTTTGCCAGACCGACGGCACTGGCTTTGTTGAGGTCTTGAAGGACGGCTCCATGGTTCCTCTTGGCCGTCTCCCTACTGCATCTTCATCGGCTCTCTGGCGTGACGCCAAGGTTGTCGATGACCACGCCTACATCGTTGCCGATGTTGGTGGCCACGGCATGCAGATCTTTGACATGAAGCTGTTGCTGGACATCAAGCACGGTTCGCCCAAGAACTTTACGCAGTCGGATCTCTCCAACCACTTCACCGGCTGGGGCAAGTGCCACAACGCCGTCCACAACGAGGCTACCAAGACCGTCTTTTGCTCAGGCGACGACAAGTGCGGCGGCAAGCTGCACGCCGTCGACGTCGCGGATCCCAAGAACCCCAAGGACTTGGGCTGCGTCGGCACCCACAGCTACAGCCACGACGCCCACTGTCTTATCTACAACGGTGTCGATTCCAAGTACAACGGCCGTGAAATCTGCTTTAGCTTCAACGAGAAGCAGATGGTCATCAACGACATTACCGACCGCAAGTCGCCTAAGGAGCTTTCGGTTCTCAAGTACAAGGGCGCCGGCTACACCCACCAAGGCTGGGTGGCCACCAAGGACATGAAGTACCTGCTGATGGGTGATGAGATGGACGAGCGTCTGCCAATGGGTGACAACAAGAACGGCAACACCATTACCTACATTGTCGACATCAGCAAGCTCGAGGCCCCCGCGATTACTGGCACCTACTTTAGCCCCGTCAAGGCTATTGACCACAACTTGTACGTCATTGACAACTTGGTGTACATGTCCAACTACAACACGGGTCTCCGTATTGTCGACATTAGCAGCATCAACTCGGACCCTACAGGCAAGGGCTTCAAGGAAATTGCCTTCTTTGACGTCTACCCCGAGGACGATGGAAAGGAGCAGCACGGCTTTGTCGGTGCCTGGTCCGTCTACCCTTTCTTCAAGAGCGGATACATTCTCATCAACTCCATGGAGCGTGGCATTTTCGCTGTTAAGCACCAGAAGTAAGTGAGTTACTAGATGCAGCATTAGTAGTAGAGCACAATAACTAGGGCGCCATCCGAGTACTAGCTTGAAGCAAGGCGCTGCTATGTTTATCCTATATATCGTCTTTGTTAGTATATTATACACTTTCACGACTACTTCACATAAATGCCGGAGCCGCAGTTTGCTTGTTCTTTGTTGTGTAAAATTAGATTGTTGTATTTTGCTTGCTGATATAAGCGGTGATATGTGCTTTTGCATTGATAGGTTTACAGTTCGTCCTTGATATCGCCCTGGCCAGCCTGGACGTCGTCGCAGGCAGCTGGGGTGCCAACTTCCATCTTGTAGACACACTTCTCGGCCTCGCTGACTCTCCAAACCTCCTCCTTGTCTGAACAGCCCAGCCAGACATCAGTGCGACGGTTTGGGCCGTTCCAGCAGGCCTGACCGTCCTCGTAACGCATAACCATGCGCTCTCCCTTGCCGAGACTCTTACCGTCCAGTCGCTCCTCATCATCCACCATTTCGCGATCAATGGAGCGGAAGTTGCCCATGTTGGTGTGGCCGTGGCCCTTCTTGGACTTTTGCATTGTCTTGTCCAACCAGCAGAGCTCGTAGGTGTACTCACCGGCATCAATCTCCGCACACTGTCCCTTGATGGAGCGGAAGATGTCACCCGGACCGTAATCCTTCTTCAAGTCTTCCTTTTCGCTTTCCAGGTCGCGCTTCTTATTTTCGATATCACGGTCGTTATTCTCCTTGGCCTCGCGAGCGGTACGAGCGGTCTGTGATTCGGAAGAGGCGTTGGAGTTATCGGCAAGGATGCCATTCTCCATGAGCCAGAGGCGGCTGGAGACGATGGCATCGTGGACAGTGGTGCGAAGGAAGCCGGGGAGGTAGGCCTCAAAGTTATAGACTAAGAATGGGTGGGTTAGCTAGTTACTTACGATTTGTGTTGCATCTGTGTGCATAGCTAAAGGGTTAATACTTACTGATATCAGTGTCGCTCTCGTCAGATTCAAACTCGGACCAGTTGACGCCATTGTTCTCATCATCTTCAGCCAGAACACTCGTGTGATCGTCGAATGTTCTATCGCCAATGGAGCCCTCGCGAGCGGCGTAGTCTTCGTAGCTCTTGACGGCGGCCTTGACACCCTCGTCGTTGAAGTTGGGGTTGTATTCCTCCTTGAACTTGCGCAAGATCGTCTCGAGTTCTTGCACCTGCGCGGCCGTCTTCATACGGTCGGCCACGGAAATGTCGAGTGCTGTGCGGAGTTCAGATACGCGAGCCTTGGCTTGGCTGAGCAAGACGCCAATCTTGCCGCCAGCTCCCTCGGACTTCACAGCACGTGTGCGGTCCTGGCGCTGTGCTTCGGCATGTGTCTTATCAAGCAACACCTTTTGCGCCTCGAGACGCTTGATTTCCCGCTCAAGCTGGGCAATCTTTGTTTGGCATTCTTCTCGGAGGCCCTGAGCCTTGGTGACCATTTCCTGCTTTTGCTTGCTTGCGCTCTCAGCCTTCTTGCGCTTCTCCTCGGCCAAGCGACGATGCTCCTTGCCAATCTCAGCACACTTGTTGGGGCACTTGACGCCTCCAACCTTGGCATATTCTTCGCTTCCATCACAGCACAGTTCGTAGTCGCAGATGCCGTCGTTGACGTAGATGAAGGGCAGGTAGCTACCAATGTGGCCCTTGTTGGCGCACCAGAAGCCGGGCAGTGAGTTTTTGGTTTGTGTGGTGCCAGAGCTGCTTCCTGCAAGAGGCTGGCCGGGAGAAAGGGGATCGATGTGTGCACAAGCAGCCGTGCCTGGTTCGTCAGAGCCGTCTGGGCAATCGCACGAGTTGTCGTTGACGCGGTCAAAGTGAATCTTGATGTCGGGGTTGGCAATGCAGGCGAATTCGGTCTTGGATTGGTAGTGGGATACGACTGCCAGATGGATTAGTACTTGTATTGACGAACTGTTGACGAATTGGAAGACCAACAGTCTGGGCCAACACCTCGAGGGGCAGTTGAAGCGGCGGCTGTGAGGGAGCCCATGGCACAGATGAGCGCCAACGACGATGTGGAGGGCATCTTGGAGAGAGTCAGCTTGCAGTTGCAACACGTGGCGGTGGCCAATGCTGCGTGCAATGGATGTCGTGGGGAGAAAGGACAATATGGAAAGATGGTGGTGAGAAGGAAGCTATCGTCAGGAGCTCTCTCAGGCTGGCTCCACGTGTGCTTAAAGTCGATGGGACCCACACCGCCGAGCCGCCGCCGTGGCCGTGGCCGCTCCGTGCTGCGGAACAAGGTGTATCACGTCAGTATAGCTGCTGTGCTGGAGAATAAAATTCTTGGAAACAAAGAATAATGACAGGCCTTATATAATTGGTAGAGATGATCTTGAATGAAACTGTACTGTAAAGTTGTAACTGAATACCTCTATACGGATACCCACATGGAAGCTGGATTCCATTTTGATGAAAGAATATTACTTTAACATGAAATACTTCTGTATTTTATCAAGTTATATTTAAATTGTGCAATTATTTTCATCACTACCGTCCATGCAATCCTTTTCACCATTACAAAATACCTCACTCGGCAAGCAAGTACCATCAGCACAAGCCATCTGTCCGTCCGTCTAACAGTTCAACGTTAGAATAATATTCATATAAATATCCTTGTACATGCTAAGACTTACACACTATACGACGATGTTAGAATTATAAATTATAGTGGGAATTTTGGTCGGCTTGCTTACTTGTGGTTCTGTATATGCCAATACAAGGCAAGTAATAGTAGCCCAAAGAATAAAAACCTTCATAGCAGATAAGTTATACTGTTATCTATATGAATACATACATGGATTGATACACTCGCAGAAGTGATGTCTTTGTACGGAGATGGGGCTCTATATATAGAGCGACGATACATTTTGCTACGTGTGCACTGTGTCTTAACAGTCTATCATTCCATTCCTTAATGTAGAGATATTATCGAGCCGTGTCTTGGTCTGATGTGTCTCGTTTTCTCATTCCAGGCCAACACACACCACAGACCACCTTGTCACATTGGTAAAACGACCGCTCAATTTCGTTATAAAAAAATTATAAGAAACTATAAAGTAAATTTCCTATTAGAAAATTTTTGCAGTTTTATTTTTGCATTATAAATGAATATTTTAATGCTGGTGAAGTCTATTGCTTGGGTCACGCTGTGCAGCTATACCCCTCCATGCTGCAGCTGGTAACCCCCGCCAGCGAAGTTGCCCCTCCATGAGTCAACCACCTAAAAAAAAATCAACTTTGAAAATTCCCAGCTTCACCAACAACCACTTCCACAGCCAACACAACCTCCAAAAACCCAAAATGGCCCCGGTAGTAGACCAGGCCTCGCTTGACGCTCTTTCTTCCCAAGTCGACAGCTGCCTCGCCATCACATCCCAGCTTGCCACCACTCTCGGCGACATCTACAAGAATCCATCCTCGACTTTTACAGCCGCCACAACATCTACTAGCACCCTCGACGCCGTTGCCCTCTCGCGCGATGCTTCCAACCTGGCCAAAGCACAAGCAACCAAGATTTCTCTCCTGATAATAAACGAACCCTTTACTCCGTCGGCCATCACCACTGTTGTGCGTGAGCTTGCAGCAGGTCCTGTCCCCGCCATTGCAGCAGCCGTCCAGGCATGCGACCCGGCTCTCTATACCAATGTCTTCCGAAAGGAAATGGCATGGCGATGCCAACGACTCCTAAAGGAAATCGTTGAGCTTGTGTCCAAGATCCCCAAGAACGGCCAAGTCGTGGCCGAGAAAGACCGAAAGGGCTTCTCTAAGCAAAAGGGCTCTCTTGCGTCCACTGGCTTGCTCTGGTCCGCCGCTGACGACGTTGTCAAGCTTGCGAATATCGGTGTAGCCGGCTACTTTATCCAGAAAATCAATACATGGCGCGATACACTACAAGACGTGCTAGAAGAGCTCAAGGAATGGAGCGAGCAGGAGCCGGATGCAGAGACGGACAGATCCGAAGCGTTTAGCGATGACGACGACGACGACGACATCGACGATGCACAGAAACTTGTCGACGATTTGATGAATTCACAAAAGACAATACCCGAGGACGACCCCGATGGCATCCGGCCTCGCGTAGAGTCGACACTCCGCCGCCTCCGCCTTACCCTCCACCTTTACCAAGCCATTTCGAAGCGCCGACTGAGCAAACTGCTGCAAGTTTTACCCTCGGATACAGCAGCAGATTCAGATATTCCTAAACGCCTCGACGATGCCAGCGTTATCCTTGATAGACTTCCCGACAACTTCAGCGACTTGGCCACACAATTTTACGACCTGGACAATGAAGGCATCGATAGCGGGATGAGCCAGTGCTTCGCGGACTCGTCTGCCGCAGGCGAGAGCTTCTCCAAGAACTGGCAAGATGAAACTGACGAATTCAGCACATGGGTAGAAAAATTCCATGCTGAGATGACTAAGGAATAGAGCTTGCGCTGATGGAGCTAGCAAGTATGCGTCCAGTCATAAGCATACACACTGTTGACATAGAAACGCTGGATCTTCCTTCATTAAATACACCCTATACACTATAAAATATTTCGCTTAATGGAACAAATAAAGAAGAATAATGCATTACAGAACACGCCCTCCCCCAAAAATAATAAAGCAGACGGGCTCTCACAACACCAAGAGTCTGTTCCTACACCACAGCCAGCAGCATCTATATGGAAGCTGGTGGGTCAACCGACAGCGTCAAGTTTCCAACCTTTTGCGTAGCCACCTGGGTGGGCTCACAAGTCTTGGTATGAGCAGCATCTGCCGTAAGCGTAGACTCTGTTGATAAGCTCACAGGAGCAAGCTTCTCCGCTTGTTGCTGTTTCTCCTCCTCTGGATGAGGAGGCTTGACGGCTGATGCTGCAACAATAGATGTGCTTGCGCGTGCAGGCTCGCCCTTACCCTCACTCTTGTCGGTGACAGGGGCAAGCTCCATGTGTTCAGCGCTGCCTGCCTCTTTGCTCTCTTCAGAGACGCGAGGCAATGGTTGAGATGATATCTCCTGCTGGACAGCAGTCAGGGAGGTGGGTGCCGTCGAGCCTTCAGCACTGAGTGGGAGTGGGCTACCGTCCTCAATGTTGACCCCAACCAGCTCTGCCAAGCTGCGGAAGTTGAACATGGGCTCCATCTGCTCTCCATCACTGTCTTCGCCTCGGCTTCTAGAACCATCAGGGCCAGCCAACCCAGGGCCGGAATAGCTGCCAGCGGGTGTATCGGCAAGGGAGGAGCCTATGGAAGACGCATTGCTCATCTGCCTCAGGTGAGAGTTTCCACGTGCGCTTACGGGAATTGGCAGCGACCCCGAAGCCATGGTTGGTTGTTCTCCGGCATTGACCTTAGCATCGATTGCAATGGCCTTACCCTTGTCCTGATTCTGGCCTTCTTCAGTGCTCTTCGCGGCGTTTTCAGGCGATGGGGGGTCGTCAACATTGGATTCTGATCGGAGATGGCTAGCACCACTGTTTCCGCGTCGACGTCCGAGGCCAAGAGACAAGCTGCTACCACTAGCGCCGCTATGACTGCCACCATATGGACCTTTACCAGCCTTCTTCGCAGCCTTCTTATCCGCCTCCTGTTGCTTCTTGGCTTCTTTTCGGAGAGCCTTGGACTCCTTACGCTTTCTCTCCTCCTCTGCGGCCAGCGACAGGCGTACAGCCTCCATCATCATCATGTCTTCCAGCTCATCCATACGTGTGCGTCTTGAACCGTCTGCGTTCCAACCAGTGGATTGTTGATTGTTCTCATCGGCCTGGTCAGGGCCATCAACAAGAATCTGCCCAGGCGTATTGCTACCAGAGCCCGTAAGGCGGCGCGCAAACCGCCCAGGTCGAAGGATCGATCGTTGCTCGCTCCCACCAACCAGGAAGGCAGCCGTATGCAAGGCAGTGGCTGCAGCAGCACGGCGTGCTTGATGCGCGCGTGCTGCTGCAAGTTTTGTCGACCAGTCAGGTCGAATTCGGTCAGTCGTAATCACGTTGGGCGCTGTCGCCGACAAACTATGACCACGACGTCTACCGGTTTGTGGCGCTGGGGGGGCTTGGGGAGTCGAAGGGGATGGCGAATGTAACGAGCTTTGTGAGGACATGGGTGTACTAGAGCCAAGATGTGCTGATGCTGCTCCAGCGTAGCTGAGGCCGCGTCGAAAGGTTGGGCTCACGTATGTAACGCCGAATTCGGGTTGCTGGCAGTACGGGCAAGCGGAGGGTTCTGATATTAACATCTCAGGAGGATCGTCAGCAGTGAGTCCTTCATTGGGGTCTCTGGCCTGGCCATCAGGATGGTGCTCAGGAAGATGGGGATCCGCTCGTTTGATTTGCACAAAGCACTCTGTGCAGATTGGTTGATCGCAGCAGCGGGTTTGGTTGAGATAGGGGGGGTAGGAGAGGAAGCAGATGGGGCAATCCATGGCGTCCTTATAAAGATGTACTTCAATAGCTTGACCATTGACAAAGGGATCATGTGGGAGGCGGACTTCTTGCTGGCTAAGATCCGTCGACGACTGCTCGCGTGACGATCCGGCTAGGGCAAGTGCAAGAGCCTTGGCGCGGGGCTTAAATGAGCTGCTCTTAGGAGTGCCCGCCGCAGGAGAGGCGTTTCCAGAGCCACTCTTGTCCGAAGCGGCCGACATGGTTCTAGGGCCCAACGGTACGGTAAGGCTGGCTAGGCTTGACGGCCCGTCTCGAGCTGGTGGCGGCTGGGGAACGAGCTCTGGCGCGGGAGGATCATCTGCTGCGGGTATGGGAAGCCCTCTAGCAGCAGCAATAAGCTGGTGTTCGGCCCAATTGTCGGACCAGTCGGGGAGGCCGCGCCAAAACGGTGCTAGGCGACGTTCAATCTGGGTAGGCAAAATAGTTAGTAATGCATATGGTGGTGGTGGTGGTGGTGATAGTGCAGCAGCACATGGTGCGATTGCTTACCTGCAACTGTCTTACAACGCTCTTGTTGAAATCTTCTGTGCCAGTATAGGTACCCAGCGTGACTAGATAGCCGCCATCAACGTGCTCCTCTCGTAAACTGACTTCACGATCCTTGGCTCGTTGCACGCGTTCGCGCTCCAGCCGTCTCGCCTCACGCTCGGCCCTTGTCTCACGATGTTCAAAGGGCGCATCGGGGTCTCGCGCTCGTCGGGCTCGATCTCTGCTGGAATTTGACATCATGGCCAGTGTTGCCATGTCGCCGCGTGACATGCGGTTGCGTACTCTGGCATAGTCGGGTTCTTCGTACCGTGAACGGGGGCTCCCTCCCTCTTGTGCCCCCGCGCGGGATTCCTTAGTGCTGGAATTACCCATTTTGTGTTTTCTGTTGCGTTTGATGAAATAACGCAGCCGGAGTTTGTAGGAAGGCTGCGGCGCGGGCCCAAACAGTGCTCGAGATTCGCTAGCAGCGGTACCGGAGGGGCCGGGTACTGAGCTTGACAGCCACTCGTTGGCTCTTTGATAATTTTACGGCGACTATTGGATATGTAAAGGCAATGGGGGCATTTCGTGATAGTGTTTGTGAGCTCTCAGGTGATGCAGAATGCCTGGATGATGGGATCGGTGGGATCGGTAGCACGAGGCGTATGACGTTTGGCTGTTGGCGGCTTCCGAGGGTAGCAGGTTTGATATTTATGACGATGCTATCGGGAGAAGCCACGAGACTTGCAGCTGGCAAGCAGTCGATTCGGCGAATTATGGTGCGTTGGGGCGGGCTATCGATTAACCGGGAGCAGGCGAGGTTGGTGACGAATACCGTTGAGGTAGTGGTGGTGACGGTGATGCTGGTGGGCAGCGGCGAAAAGAATGACAGCGTCGGAGACAAAAGAATAAATGAGGTAAGCGAGAAGACACCAAGAAAATAAAATAAGGAGAAACCAGAGGCCCTGCGATGGCAAACGATGGCGCGGAAGCGGTGGGATGTGGTCAAGGCGGGTGTTTGGTAGAAGAGGAGGCGGGAATCTTGCTGGTGTTGGTAGTGCTACTTGCTTTGGCGAACTGCACGGGGAAGAGGCTCCGCAGGGGCCACCTTTTGTCACTGCAAAGCTGAAGCTTACAAGGCGCCCGCCCGCTAAAAAAGCAAGCACGCAGGCCGCTTTCAACCCCGCATTACCCACTAGAAAAACAAAATTAGCCAGCCCAATTAAACGAAAGACACGCCTACACTACAGTAGAGTAAGTACGCCATTGGGGTAAACAGCGAGGAAATGCAAAAGTATTCTGTGAATATTCTATTCTATTTCCTCTAGACATATTCAGCTCCTATATACACTCTACTTGTTTGACTCAGCAAAATGCAAATCTATCCAAAGCCTCAGCAACCCCCATTACTACCGCAAAAAAACGCCATTCGCTCTCTATATGCTGTGATTGATTGTCATGATAACCGTCCACGATTCACTTCCTCCTTCTATATATATGTATCGTTATTACTTTCTCGGTGCCCATGACTGTAACCAGTCTTGCATCCGGTCCAGCTGTCCCTTTTCTGCTTCCGATGCTGCAATGCACCACGGCAGACTCCATACTTGCTCTGATGCCAGCATCTCAGCCAGCTTCCTTTGTCGCTGGCTCGATTCATCCACACAAAACATGACGGGCTCTTGCAGATTCGGCAAAGCTGCCATCAGCGGTTTGACAGCAGCCAGAGCGTCCTTTGCTGATGATCCCAACGCCTCGAGCTTCGTATTCGCACGGCCAGACTTGCACCACTCGTTCTGGCAGTGACTTTTGCCGCAACCCGTCATGAGCTGGCCCAGGTAGCGACGCTCAATTCGCCGTCTAAGTGCTTTCCCTTCTGGATCGTGCATGCTGACGTACAGAGGCCCAAAGCAGATGGAACAGAGACCAATGTCGTTGGCTGGTGCGCTACTATCGACTGGTTGCTTGTGCACAAGACCTTTGCTGCCGACCCCGAACAAGGTTCGACCGCAATTGGCATTGCGGCATATCGCAGGGTCAGCTCTTCCCACTTTGTCCAATTCGTGATGCTTCAGGTGTGTCTCCATATCTCGCAATCGGACAATCTTCCCACAGAGGTGGCATTCTGTTGTACGTGCGCCATCCGCTAGCTCGTGGGCTGTAAGTCCTGACAACGCCACTTCTGGTGATACTTGGAACGGGTCGCCTTCTTGGGGGACCTCAAGGTGACAAAATTGGCAGAGAATAATCTTTTGTGGACACATTGTAGTTCGGTGTCTGGCCAAATCGGGAAGCGAGTTGGTGGCAAAGGGGCAGCCGGGGCATTGCCAGTCCTTATGAAACACATCGTCGTGCTTCTTCTTCGATATCGCCGAATTTCCAAATGCGTCGTCATGATCACAATGCCAGTGAGAATCCCACTCGGTAGAATTCTTTTGGAATACAGACCCGCAGCGAGTGCACAGAACGTTGTTGCGCCGACAAAACGCCTCATGTAGAACAAGCTTCTGTTTCGGTAACCACTTTTTGCAGTTTGTACACTGGGAATCTGTTTCATGATTCATAGTATCTTGTTGATCGTTCGCGTGTAGCGTGTTGTCTGGCGTCGATCCCATTCTCGCTCGAATTTTATATGGTACATTATACGCCGAATGTTTATCGGCCGAATAAGATCCTGTGTACACTGAGATCAAAATACTCTCTGCGTGTTCGAGCTGAATGTTGGTTGGTAGTATACTAATCGTTTTGCTATGTTGGGTCGCATCTTCAAAATTGCCAAACACGTGCTCTGTGCTCCTCGGAAGAGCTCGCTGTCTTGTCGATTTGGGTGTGACAAACAAGTCTATCAAGGCATCGTCGGGGAGATCGGAGACGCAAATGTGGAGTGTTTGGGTTCGATCCCAGGATGGTAGTACATAGTCGACGTAGGAGCCAGACTTGACTGTGCCTGTAGCATCCTTCCATATGCTAAGCTCTCCTCCTTGAGCTGCCGCATCATCTCCAGAACCGTTTGCCGAGTCGATTAGCTGCCGCATAGTCTCCCGCGCTTGCTCTTCGTTTAGAGCTTCGATATCGACCTCAAGATCCGTATCAACGACGCATACTCCAGGTCCATCGGGGAGAAGCTTGTCCACCAGCAGCTGGAATTTTTCACCACGCACGCCATTGACTACTAAATGGGTATCCTTTGTCAAGGACGTAAAATTGTTTCGCAACTGGCGCTCAAGGAGCGGGCGCCAGTCGTCGGGATTGTAGCCAGCTTCCAGCGGGCGCAGTCTTGCATAGGTTCCTTTTGGCAGCTCCTCTGCATGAACCTTGATTTCCAGGGCCTCCATCAATGTGTCTCCATCTTTCCCATCATCAATTCCCAAGGCATTGAGGAGGTATGGGCTGAGGATGATGGTGTCGTCTGGTGCGGAAAACTCGCGGATGCCAGCGTAGACATGTGATCCATTGGTCGGGTGGACAAGACGGAATACCAGCGGATTGGGAAGCTTCTGACTCGCATCCTCATACTGTGACGAAGAATGGAACAAACTGCTCGATTGTGTATAGGATCGGGCGTTGTCGCGGTTCGAGGTGGCGAGGCTCGCGGCGGTCAGAAGCTGTTCGAGGGCTGCTGACGGTAAAATTATTTTGTCACCGCTGGCAGTACTCTGCGCTGAATAGGAGTCCTCTGGTGCAAGTCTAAAGGAGCCCGACCATCGCAGCGGCCGGGCTTCGCCGTCGTCATTCATTGTTTAGCTCAAGCTCTTGTGACGTCAGTTGGGAAGCTGATGACAGCGATTGAGCAACGCGTCGGCCGCAATATATGAATTAAGCGGCGCGTAAGACTATACAATCATGTACAGCTTGTCGTCTTTTTTTAATTGTTGTAGAGAAGAAAGGACTGCGCCAGAACCCAGAGCGACAAAGAAAATTCCAGGCAGCGTCGTGACGATGATGCGATGGCGGCCGCTACGATCTGCTGCTCTGTCAGCAAAAGCAGGGTCCCCGCCCCCGCCGAAAACGTTCCCTGGGCTTCGATGCTGCTTCCATTGTTCGCCTCTGCTTCTGCCACTGCTACCAACATCCAAGCTCACGTACTGGATAACACGGCGGGCTTGTTGATGATTCTGTTCTTTTTTTTTTTTTTTTTTTTTTGTTTTTTAAGATGCCCTTTTTAACCCGTGTTTCATTAGCGATAACGAAAACAGCACTGTGCATACGACGCCGAAATGGCAGGTCTTTGACGTACGTGTCAGGGCCAAAACTCTATCCGCTACGCACCATCACCAGCACTGGCCTGATCGCGAATAAAGTAGGATAAGCAGTTAATTCGCCATCAAGTCCGAATCATAGTTTCGACTTGACAAAACACACCCTGATTTGCCTTAACAAGTCGCCAAACTTGAAAGCCAACAGTGACCTACCCGGCACATGCTCAATGCTAGGCTGCATCAACATGCAAAGTAATACTGCATATCCGGCTACTAACTGTTGGTACGGAATTGGGGAAGGTTATTGCGTCTGTGCAAAACGAAGCAACTTGTACCGCTGCTAGCAAAAAGAGAAACAAGCAACAACATGTAAGCTTAGCAGCTGCAAATCATCTTCCACTATGTGCAACGGAGGTAACGGCGGGCCGCAGCTTTGCTTGGCGTCTAGCGCTGTTCTAGCTCCTGCCAAGGCGGTTGATACACTTTGAGTAATATGACCCCGACAACGTAATACCACTTGGGGCGGCCTTACTACTAGCGCAGAATACACTGCCCAAGAGCAGCACAGCACCAACTCGACCTCTATTCCACCAGAGTCGAGCGAGCCCAAGAAGCGAGATTGTGCCAAGCCAGGCGTGAAGACTAACTCCCGAAACCCCTAGAATGTCGACCCTGCGCCAGCGAAAGGAGACGCACAAACGAAATAGGGTAAAGGTATCACATCTGCCTTGCTTAGAGCATGATCTCAACTGTTGAATCCACCCTGGCTTGCGGAGGGCACGTTTCGCTCTCACTATGGCATGGGGTCCCCTTGTAACATGGGAGCTACACTGCGCTAGCGTGCCCAGCCCTTGTGCCCAGCGCATCTGGCCCCCCCTGTGAGCGGCAGTCGCGGAGAGTCGCATCTCATAAGTTTATTACGACTAGGACATTCCTCTCTCCTGTGCGCAGTGTACAACCTGGGGGACCCTGCACCCCAGTTCCAGAGATAAGCCTAATGCGTAACCCATGCGTGATGCTGCATAGGGGTGTTGCTTGTACTTGGGGTTTCTGCAGCGGGTGCACACTAACAACTAACAGAGTACAAGCCGAACTTGGGAAAGTGTCGCAACGATAGAGATAGGCAAGCAACCCGCCGAGGTCGGTCAACGAGACATGCAGCCCAGTGGGAAGAGGATCAACAAGATGCCAAGGACCAATCCCAAGATCATCTCTGGCGGCCCAATATTGCCTAATAGTCTATGTCGCACCGCTAGAGAAAACAAGCGTCATCCTCGACTATACTAAAAGCAGGCTGGGTCTGGTCTGCTGATTTGGGACAGCTAATCCACTGTATATGAGATGCGTCCCCCCCGCCGCCAACGTCAGAAAAGGGGGGCCGCCTTGGACTATGACGAGGGACGACGCCCATCGTTTGCGCTTCCCTTATCTATGTCGTCTTACTGGTCGTCTCGCACTATCGCCTACATCTGGAGGAGCAGCGAGATGAGCACGCTGGCTCGTCTCAGCGCCACCCTTACCCAGCGGCGGCGGTCCGATGAGCGGCGGTGCCAACAATGCACGCACCATGTTGAGGAGTTGGTGGTGTTATCTGCGACAGCTTTGCTTTATCGCGACCGCCTCACCAAAGCCAGCCAATAACCAACTTTGGTCTCGGCCCTGCGGGCGTAGGGGGCTACTGCTGGTCTTGGAGGACCAAATGCGACTGGATCTGCCCGGTCCCAGCGCTCCGGAATGCGAGCTGGGAAACCTTGTCTCAGACCCATTAACTCTGTTTGCCGCTGTAACCAAACGTGGCCCATTGACGAGTGACAGCTCCATGCAATATGCTACATGTATGATTACGATTACCCTGGCCCTTGCTGCCCGGGTGCCACGGGTCGGACTTGGCGTGTAATAGCACCACCACGTTTCTCACCTCTGCTGAGTAGAGCAGAGGCACACACCACCACGCGCCGCCGTAAGGGAAGAAGGCATTGACTTTTCTCGGCGCTCTTCATAAATGCCACCGGGCCGACCGGTTCTCCTTCCTCCCGCCTGGCCTCCCTTCTGTTTCTTCCATTCTAAACCTTATTTATTCTTCTTGCAGCGGCTGTTTCCCTTTATAGTCAACCGCCTTGCATCACTCATTCACTTACTCACTTGCTTATACTCATACTCACCCGAAGTCGGTCTTCGTCCCATACCGCAGCAGCGCACTCTTATCGCAATACGCCACGATACACCTTACCCTTCCCACCTCCCAGCTCTTGATTTTCTTCGCTCTGCGTAATTGCTGAATATTTTGCGACCAGCCTGACATGAGCTTTGTTATTGACAATATTCCATCACGCGCAGTGGCTACAGCTTGTGCGAACCAGGACCATACAGGACTGACCCTTGAAGACCTCCTACACAACTCACTGGTGTTGGCGCATATCGTTCCTTATCTGCCTGCATCTAGTATTCTTAATCTTGCTGCCACAAACTCGTCGTTCCGTTCGCTTCTTAGCCACTCGCCCGGCGTATTTCGCCATCTAAATCTCAGCACTGTCAAGGCAGCGCAATTCAACATTGATCAGATTGATCACGGCGGCGAGGTTTGGAGAAATGTCCAGCTCGACGAGAATCTAACAGAGGACGAGTAAGTTGGTCGCTATTTCTTATTTATAGATGAGAAGTACCTTTTTGTAGTTAAACAATAGAGCTAACACTCTGACGCAGCTTCTATTCGGGCCCTCTGCGAGGGATCGTTTCCACCTTGCGCCGGCGCAACATCCTGGGTGATGTGCAGACTCTAGTTCTTGACGGGTTATCCGTCACCTCGGACTTTGTTCACGATGTGATTAACGATCCATCGTACAACATTCGCATCCTTTCTCTGAGAGAGACCAAGAATCTCAACCACGGGAAGCTGCGCAACGCTTTGCAGTATGCTTGCAGGCCAAGCCGAGCAGAGGGAATGCCCCGCCTCAAGGGAGTCTACATCTTTGGTAAGAAAGATTACCAGAGCGCATCTTCGTCGTCAAGGCATGCGCATAACCACAGCGCCTGGGGACACCAGGCGGCGGCTGCCCAAGAGGACGCGGCAATGACACAGGCCCAGCAGTTCGGCGATGAGTGGTGGAACACGCGTGGGCGCATCTACCCGCGCGGCATGCCGGACGCCTGGGCGCAATGTCTCATTGCCTGCCAGGGCATTATTGCCTTTGACGCTGTTCTGTGCCAAGGACCACGACATTCCAACTCGGCTGAATTTGGCAAGCATCGCTTGCACGCCGATTCACGGCCAGCAGTGGCCACGTACTCTGTGCCAGGCTGCGCAGGATGCGGCAAAGCACCTGAGGGCGTCTTGCACCCGGATACATGTGCGCCGGCTTCGCTGCCTCTCCTGGCGCCGCTGCCCATCATGTCATCGTCACTGCGTGCTGCGACAGTGCCTAGCAATCCCGGTGATGGCCTCATTGCTCGATGCACAGACTGCCTGAGGGAGCGCTACTGCTCGGGCTGCCACAAGTGGTGGTGTGAGGCTTGCTACTTGCTACCGGAGCAGGCGGCGGATTCCCAGCCTCAGATTCAGATCCTCGATGACGACCACTCAGCTGAGACGCTGGCATTCAACGACTTTGCCGAGTTGGATGAAGTATTTACGACGGCAACGAAATTCAAGGTACGTGATGGCTACTGTCGGCGGTGTACGATAGAGATGCGCCGAGCAGCCACTGGTTCGTAACCGCTGTGGCTGCTGCACATGTATCTCTCTGTGCCCGCTGCCTGTGGGAGACGACGATCCGAACTTATCATGCAAGATGAGTTTGTTGTGTTTGTTTGCACCTGCTTTCTCGCGTAGGCGGTAAGCTTGTGGTTCCCACGATGGCTGCCACTATTGTAGAGTAATATGATCTAACCAATCTCTAGTCACGACTGACCAAGAGTTGCTGGGAGTGCGGCACCAACGTAAGTGTACTATTTGTAACAGTCTTAGCGAGTGACAGCTAACATGCCTAGTGCAACGACTGCATTGAGCGGACACAGCGAATTTGCACCAAGTGCTGCGCAGGATACTGCATTAAGCATAATGAAGGTTCATCACCTACTCACGTATGTACTTGTACCATCTATCTATCAGAATAACAAGCTAACTAGTCACAGTGCGATTGTAAGATTTATCCCTTTAGTCTGATCTTGTCTATAGCCGTACTAACAAACATCCCAGGGTGTGTATCGCGCGGTAGAAGCCTTGCACGCAAGAAGGCATCGGGATACTCGTCCTCGCCACCAGACCGATTTGCCTCATCGCCCAACCACCACAAGGGCTTTCTCATGAACATTGCTAGCGAGCGCGGAGTTACAGCTGCGGCGGCATTTGCTGCCCGACAGGGGCGTTTTTGATTTTCTTGTCATATGTCACGCACAAAAAGGACCATGATTTGACGCATTTTTGAAGGTTACCGGATACCAATTTGATCTTTTTTCCCTTTCTTTTCACACATCTCCTCTCAGCCTGCATTTCTAGTTTATAGCCTATTATTTCCCCTCATATACTTTTTAGCCTGGTATACATAATACTCTTCCAAATCCAATTCGTACAAAACATTCAGAGCCTCACCCGCCATAATGTGCTTTTGATATCAAGTGCCTACCAGTAGTAGTGCTAAACGCCTTCCCCCCGTCCTAAAACGCCGATAACCATGCAAATAAATGTGTGTTGTGTAATGTTGTGCATTTCATCAAATATCCCAGCCAGATGCAAACTTCTTAGCGACCCATGCCGCGCCATGCTCCTCGTACTGGGCCTTTGTGACGACGGCCTTTTCCACATCCGCATGTCCCGCAAAGTTGGCAGCGCCGGCCCATGTACAAGCTATGGGGTCAGGTGGTCTTGCTACGCGGACTACGCAGTCGTCAGGGACTCGCTGGACAACTTCACGCTGTAAGCGCTGCACGAAGCCGTCAAAGTAGGCATTGCCGCCGACAACGACAATGTTGGCAAGTAGGCCGGGCCACAATCCAACGGGTAAACTGTGCAGAGACTGCTGGATCAAGTCGGGAATGCCGGGCTCGCGCAGCCCGCAGTCGGACGGGTTGAAGAGAAGTTCTGGAATGGCGAAGCGCTCGTTTCGTAGCGTCAGGATGTCGTCTTCGTTGGGCAGCCGCGGGGCCTGGTGCTTCGATTTGACGTGGAGGGCCGGATCGTAGTCTCTTAGGATACCCTTGTGTTTCGTGTGGAAGTCGGGAAGAACATAATCCTTGACAATGCCGCCGCCCGTGGCATAGTCGGGACGCTTCTCGCCGCGCGTGCCCTTCCATGTCTTTTCCAGATCGTCTTTAAAGTCAAGGGACACAAAGCATGCTGCCTCTTTCATCTCGTTGACAATATAGTAGTCGTTTCGCATGTCAAAGTGGCGCATGGAGATGAGGCGCGCCAGGTAGTTGGTCAAAAACTTGCCGCCCACATCCAGCCGGCGCACGCCAGCATGCAGCGTCTGGCCACGAAAGACGGGTGTAATGGTAGTATGCGAGTATCCCGAGTCGACAACGAGGCAAATTTCAGCAGGTGCCGGCGCCGCCGTCGCAGCATCCTTGGGTGTGCGGAAGAGGCTCTGGAGATCGTGGTAGGCGTTAAACGCGGGCCCAACACCGCGGAAGTAGCTGGCAAATCCATACTCTTCAAAGACAATCTGGTCGCAATTTGTCTGGAGGACCGGCAGGCCATTCGGCGCTTCGGCCAGGATCAGCCGGGCATCCTTGGGGTCGCAATGGAGCGGCGCATCGTCGTCAAAGAGCTCGCGCTCCCAAATGTCCTTTTGGACCTCCCAGTTGACAACGAAGCCCTTTTCGACGGGGCGGCGGAACTGGATCTCGCCAAAGTCGCGGCACTTGGAGATGTCGCTGCCGACGTAGACGTGACGCGCGCGGTCGCGGGCAATCGAGTTGGGAATCACGCGCGGTGCCGATGAGGATGCGAGGAAGCCGGCCTTGATGGTGTCGGCGCCATTGTCGAGGATGAGAGTTGTCGGTGGGCGCGAGGGCTGCACGTGCTTGGGCTTGCGACCGCCCGGCATGATTGGGATGGTCGCGTTTGCTGTTTTTGGGAGAAAGTGGTTGGAGAATTGGTGATGGCGAGAGGTGGGATGCTGGAAGCTATCGCAGGATTGGCGCGGGGTCACGTGGGGTCTGCGAAGAAATGGCTAGAATACATGGCGACGCAGACAAGAGGAAAATATATAAAATTACATTTTACTACTGATAGGGGCTGAGCTATGCATTATTTGATAATTTTTTTTTATTTCATTATAAAGTTTTATTCTGGCGCCGGCCGCACCGAGCAAACCGCCGCATGCAAATAGTTGTATATCTCTCCCCATGTCCGGGGATTGTTTTTATATGTACATATGGATGCGAGACACGAGACCCCTTATTTACAAAAGGCCGTATTTTTTCGAAATCTCGTCATCGGGAATCTTTCCCATATCCGCAGCAGGGCGCTGGTTAACAAAGTCGCTGCCGCCACTTGTCCAGGTCTGGTCCTTGAAGTCGCCCAGCGCAGGCCACATCTTGGTCTCGACAAGCTGTGTAATCTCGTCGTTCTTGGCGCTCTTTGTCGTGGCATCCTTCCAAAGCTTGGCTGTCTCATCGAGTTCGCCGACACTGGACACGCCCATGACACTAATACCAATCTTGTTGCCGCCGTCCACACCAACGTGGGTGCCAAACGCAGCGCCAACCTTGCCCCAGCTATGCAAGGCCCAGCGCAGGGCTACGGCCTCGAGAGTCTCATCACCCGTCATAGGAGACAGCTTGGCACAGGCGGTACGCAGACCAGCCGACGCCGGGTGCCAAGACGACATTTGGGTGTTATCGACGCCGTGGCTCTTAAGCAGGCCCATGGACAGCATGCTGGCGTTGAGCAGGCATCCAACACGGGCTCTAGCAAAGCTAGCCATGTTATCTTCGAGCGCCAGGCGCGTATTTTGGATATTGTAGTTGCTATAAGAGAGGACAGCGTCCAGCGGCTCGCCCGTCTCGCGCAGGATCATCTCGGCCAGCGAGGCCAAGTGGTCGACGGGGTATCCGCTGATACCAACATATCGGATAAGGCCCTTGTCACGCAGAGCACGGAGCTCCTTGACAGCAGCGAGGACCTCTTCCGGGGAGACAAACTCCACGTCGTGGGTATATACAAGATCGAGGTAATCTGTGCCGAGGCGCTCGAGACTGCGATGGACGCTGTAGCGGACCCAGTCCGGGGAATAATCGAACTCGTCGCCGCGAATACGGCCGCACTTTGTAATGAGGAAGTAGTCGGCGCGGGCCGGGGCAGGTTGGAGCTGGCGGAGAGCGTCGCCGAGGAGGATCTCGGAGGGGCCGTAGTAGGGCGAAGTGTCGAAGGCGCGGACGCCGGACTCGAGGGCGTGGCGGACAATGTCGGTGTAGGGCATGCGCGCGGGATCGGGATGGTACTGGACGTTGAAGGTGGCCGTGCCGAGGATCAGCGGAGGCAGCACCTCGGCGAGGGATGTTCTAGGAGCCGAGCCCATCGTTTTCTTCTGTGTGGTGTGCGTGTGTGGCGCAAGATGGTGGGAGAGGGAGGGACGGAAGACGGCGAGACGGAGGAAGGGGGTTTATTTAAAAGGAAAGAGAACCAAAGAATAGCATCGTCACATCGGGGGCGGGCTTGCGGGAGGATGGGATGCAAGCACGTATTTTAAGAAAGCGAGCCAAAGGTGAAAAACTTCGGCTCAACGATAAGCACCCACCACCAGAAAAAACAAATAGGCGACGGCACAAACCCGAAGGCGGGGCTCTGCGCTCAGCAGGCAGGTTGGGTGGAGTGAGTAACAGCCGCAACAGTAGTGGTGGTTACAGTGGCCAGTAAGTGAGCCCGCTAAAAATAAAACCGACGGGACAAATCCACCAACGAGGTGGGCTTTGTGCAAACAATGGGACCCTGGGGCCGCAGCGGGAAGCCAGATATACGCGCTCCCGTCGCTTGTTTCGATAAGAGGCCGCAGGGAGAAGTACAGATGCGATCGACAGTTGCAGAGTGTAGCAGTGCTAGTGTTAGTTGCAGTAATTTAGCGGTATCTTTGTAGGCTTCGACTGGATAGCGAATGAAGGATCGTCAGTATTCGGCCTTTTGTTTAGTAATAGCGCTGCCTCGCTTCTGTGAAGGCAGGTGGACAGCGTACATACATCGCACTAGTAAATTTGCCATGGGAAACCCGCGCGGGTATGCCTACTATAATGTATTAGTGGTGGAATAGCGCTTGAGTGGCCTTATCAACGCGCCACCAGTAGTAGTACTATCTAGGACGCCAGTTTCCCCATGTGGTTTCTCCAATTGTTAAAGACGTGGGGCTAGCGGCGTTTCCCATCATCGCATGACATCACAGGCACATTAACAAGAGCAAAGTCAAGACGAATTGGAATGGTATCTCATTAAATAAAAGCAGTACGGGCATGTATACATCCAAGCATGATTACAAAATAGTGGCTTTGTGCATGTAGTACTAAGTCGCCTCCGTTCTTTATACAACAACCCATCGATTGACAAGCATCGCTTCTGAAAAGACGACACCCCTAAAAACAACAGAAGAAAAGAGAAATTTAAACGGCAGAGCCGCGACGCTCGGCATCCTGGATGGCCTTCTCGTCGAGGTAGTTGGCGTTGGCAAAGGTGGTGGTGGGCTTCCACTTGGCCGAGGTACGGGGAGTAGTCTCCTCCATCATCTTGTCGACCTGCTCCAGAGACAGACCCTTGGTCTCGGGAACGAGGAAGTAGGTGTAGACGAAAGCGCAGGTGCAGAGCGTGCCCCAGATGAAGAAGACCTTGGACTTGAGGTTACCCTTGTCCTCACCAACCATGTAGGGGGTGATGACGGCAATGATGGTGTTCCAGAGCCAGTTGGAGGCAGTGGATAGACCAACACCACGGGAGCGGATGGGGAGAGGGAAGATCTCGCCAATGACGACCCAGGCGCCGGGACCCCAGGTAGAGGCGAACCAGAAGATGAAGATGGAAATGAAGGCGATCTGGGCGTTGACGGCACCCAAGTTATCAGGAGCGGTAGCGTCGGGGTTCTCGGCAGTGGGCTCCTTATGTGTCTTGTCGAAACCGGCCGTGACACCAACAATGGCGACGATGAACTGGCAGATAAGCATACCAAAGGCACCGACAAGGAGGATGCTGCGGCGACCGAAGCGCTCGACGGTCCAGAAGGAGAGAGGGGTGGAGCAGACGTTGATGATGGTGAAGATCATGGAGGTGAGGAATTCGTTCTTGACGGCACCAGTAGACTTGAGGAAGGTAGAAGAGAAGTAGAAGATGAAGTTTACACCGGTCCACTGCTGCATCATCTGGAGCGAGGTACCGAGGATGGTGCGGCGGAGGTTAGACTTGGAGACCCAGAGGCTGCCCTTGAAGCAGTTGGCCCAAGAGCCGAACCAGGTGGTGGAGGGAATAAGAGCACGCTCGTACTCTTCGTTGGCGACAATCTCAGCGACTTCGGCCTGGACATACTCGGAGCTCTCAGGCTGACCACGGAGCCTGGCAATGGACTTGACGGCCTCCTGAATGCGGCCCTTCTTGACGAAGTAGCGGGGAGAGTCGGGGAGGAAGAGGAGACCACCACCGAGGATAAGGGCCCAGGGGAACTGGATGGCAATGGGGATGCGGTAGGCACCGGTGTCGGGGCGTTCCTTGGTAGCGTAGACGACAATGGACGCCAACATGATACCAATGGTGATGCAGAACTGGTAGCCAGAGACAAGAGCACCGCGAACCTTGCGGGGGCAAATCTCAGACATGTAGAGAATGACAATGGCCGAGACGAAACCGACACCAAAGCCGGCAATCAGACGACCAGCGACAATGGGGCCCATGGCGTGCTCAGCAGAAGTAACCATCTGGATAACACAACCAATCATGTAGATGAGACAGCCAAGAATGACAGTCCACTTGCGGCCCATGAAGTCGGCAAGATCACCAGCAATGATGGCACCAAAGAAGGTACCGCAGGACAGAATGGAGACAATGAGCGAAGAGTTGGAGGAGGAAATAGCCCACTTGTCGGGCTTGACATCGTCAGGGCGGGGGTAGCCATTGACAGCGGTAATGAAGATGTCGTTGCCCAAGACACCGTTGATGTAACCGGAGTCATAACCGAAGAAGATACCACCAAAGGAGGCAAAGGCGCAGAGAAGGTAGGCCTTCCAGGTGACGGGAGCCTCAATGTGCTCGACGTCCTGGGTGGCGCGAAGACCAATGTTGGCCATGTCGTTGTGGCCGTCGCCGTCGACGGCGACCTTGGTGTTGTCGTCAGACATGATGGCGCAAGTTTAACTAGAGTTGTTGGCTAGTTGCGTCTGAAGGGGAGGAATGAGCGCGATTGGCTGCTGGAGAGAGCTTTGAGTGAGACAATCCACCCAATTGGCGACGGGAGCCTGCAACAGCAAGAGAAGGGATTGAAAAGAAGGAGTTGAGACAAAACTGTCAAGATCGCGTGGAGAGAAAAAAGAAGGCCAAGGGAAGGGAAGTGAGGGGGAGGGGGGGAAGATGGAGTCCTTATAACAAAGAACGGAGGAGAGGAGGACAAGGAAGGGAGCGACTTGCCAACGTTTGCGGGCACGAGACACGCGACGGCCGACAGCTCTCTCTTTTTTTTCTTTGGTCCAGGCACAGTGTAGGCTGACAAGGATGGGGCCCCGCTGGTGGCTTTTTTCTCTTCATTTTACTTGTTTTGCCTCCATGCAGCTAGCCCCCCGGATGCGCTTAACCGCAAAGGGTAATATTCTGGGTCAGCCTACTTTTGTAGAGGGTCGCTGTAGAGCCCTGGAGCAGCGAAAAGTTGGGGTTTGCAGTGCTGACCCCAAGGGGACCCCGACGCTAACGCATGAGCTAATTCATGGGTTTCCTCCACCACTGGGCCCTGAGGTCGCAGTGGACACTGCTACAGAAGGAAAACAGAAAGGAAAAAAAGTCAATTCCCCCACAAGGTATGTCACTCCCCTTGGTTTATGCTTTGTTTTTGTTTTTTTTTTGGCCTGCTGGTCACAGGATGACTCTCTTGTTTATGCGTGGCAGCAAATGTACGCCCATTTGTTTTGAATCTATTGTTTCGTCGCTTGCCGTGTGTAGTGTACGTTTGCGGGTTGCCAGGTTGTCGCATTGGGCTGTTTTGTCGCAGTTGGCTGTTGGCAGCTGTCGTCGGCTGGGCGGTGGTGATAAGCAGCGGGCGCCACCCCTGGAAAGCTGCTGTTCTAGGTGCTCTTCACAGGCTAGCTAGTGGTGGTGCGGGTAGTGAACGAGGCGAGGCTAGAACCACAGCAGCATGGCATAGGCGCGCGTGAGAGGCAGAAAAAAAATGAAAAAAAAAAAAAAAAAAAATGAAAATGAGAATGAACACGGGCACAAACCAACCAGGCAGTGAGGCCCAAGCACCAGCGACAGCCATAGGCGGTTTAGCGGCGTAATATGGGGGAGATTGAGGGGACGGACGGATGCGGGGGCCCTGCAGGCACTAACAAAGACGCACTCGCTGCCAACAGAGAGCCAGCCCAGCAGGCAAGCAAAGCAGAAAAGGGCCGACGATGGTGGGGAAACGCCTCTGGAGCGAGGTCCCAGAATACCGCCGAGTAGGGCCGGTCGCCACAATGTTCCATTTCTTCCATAGAACTGGGCTGGGGGGGCCACCGGGCCTTGTCTCCTTTGTATTTCTTTTTTTTTTTCCAAACCGTTGAGAAAGACTCTGGTTGTCCATTAAGCCGTGTTTGCATGAGGGCGAAGGATTCCACACCACCACCCATCCACCAATAAAGGGCCTCTTCTGCTCTAATGTTCGTTCCGTTTTGTCTAGCGGCCGCCCAGAACACGGCTCGGAGCCTCCTGTTTGCTCTAGAGAGCATCTACAGAAGGGTCAAGTCGCCCCCACTGTCTTAGTTCCCAATTGCCTGTGAACACTGGTATTCTGTCAGTCCTGCGTTGCCATTGGAGCAACCGCCGTGCCGGCCATCGCTCTAGCCGTGCGTCGAGACCCTGTAGTAGAACTAACGGAGACAGCACAGCCCGTAGCGCCAGCCAGCCTTAGCCTATTAGCAGGCACTACCGCCTAAAAGTCGCCAGCGCCAGCACCAAAAGAGAGTTTGCTCGCCTTTGGCCGTGGCGGTGGCCACAGGTCAGCTGGTGCTGTTTCGTTCACGCCGAACAGCAGCCAAGCCAGAAGTCACTGTACAGTGTAGACGGCAAATAAAATTAAAAAGAAAAGATTCCATTTAGGCAAGAAGAGTGAAAAGTCAAAATGAAAGGGAAAAAAGTCACGTCATGGGCATGCCAGCGAAGGAAGGCCAAGACTACCAGCGCCTGTGCAGTACTCTCAGAGTGTATCACCCCACCTATAGCTTACAGTGCTCACAGCTCACCTGTAAATCATTCACTGCACACTGTACAGTGCACACAGTCACTGCTGCTATTACTGCACGCTGGGAATACGGGGGCCCGCTTGGCCAACGCCATCATCGAACCACAACGCGTCCCCGGCGGTCCTCTCGGCCATTCTCTACGCACTATGAGATTTGGGCTTGGTGAGGCTTGCCCCAGCTCTCCACTCTGCCTTGCCTCCGTGCTCCAGTGGACAGCTCCAGCAGGTAGTATTAGCAGCAAATGGGCGCTCGGCCAATTTGACGCCGTTGTGGCTGGCTTGCTTCTGCCAAAATCTGCGATGCAAAGTGGGCAGAGAGAGGCCAGGCAAAGCAAGGCATCCACCGCCCGCTGCTGGGCCACTACTGTACAGTTTCGCGACTGTAATTGTCACTGTTACGGCCGCTCTGCGAAATGACTCGCCCCAAGGCAAACGCCGAGCCTCGCTGCCACTGGCCAGCCGCAAAGCAATAAAATTAAAAAACTAAAAATTAAAGACTAAAGACTAAAATTAAAGACTAGAAAAAGGCAACGAGAAGCGGTCATGGATGGGCTATGAACCGGCACATAGTGGATAATTCACTTCCTGCGGCGCCTAAATGAGAAACTGTAAACGAAGCATCTCCCCACTGGTCACCTTGCCACATGGCTTTTTTCGTACAGTGGATGATGATGTGCTAAGTGTGCATAGGGCATCTTCAACTGTAATAAATGGGGAATCATAGGGGCTAAAGCGAACAATAGGTGACAGTCTCACCGTGTGCCCAACTCGTATTTCCTTTTTTCTTTGTTTCTTCCTTGTAGCAAAAAGCTTGTCCGGCATGTCTAAGACAAGTTCGTATACAGTGCCCGTATGCTGCTATTCTTGGCCATCACTCACTAGAGTAGCCTCTTCGTGATATGCCCTAACATAGCTGCTAGCCGTAGCAGCCAGCCACTTGCGGTGAGAGTTACCGTTATGTGTATAGACATAGACATGGTATAGTATTGCCAAAAGTATTTTTATTTTATTTAGTACATCGTTCCTCGGGACCGAACCAGCCTAGCCAACGGCACTAGTACAGGCTATTCGCTGACAGGAACCAGGGTCACCAAACCACATGGCCACGGAAATACAATACCGCAGCGTCATCAGCACCACCAACAGTAGCCGTGATAGCAGCTGTAACGTTTTGCGGCGACATACCGCGATGTACAATTCAAGCCCATATGCAGTATTTCCCCGGCGGCGCTTCAACCTGGCATTTCCGGAAGCCCTTCCATTCTGAGCCGCTGCGTATACAGTGCAGTAAGTTGAACTGCTAGCCCAGTGGACAACAGCGGGCCCCTAGAGGGGCGCTGGAGGATTGCAGCCCTGTCGCAACAATCTGTGGCATCGCTCTTATCACGGCCCTATTCCTGCGGCGGCTCCTCCTGCTTCTCCTCCATCAAGAGACGAGAGATAACGCACGTTGCAGATACACAGGAAAACACGTTCAGAATCTGGGGATGATAACGACGCAACCCCGGATTTCTCCTCCTTTCGCAATCGCTACCCCGTATTGTCTTGTCGACCATGAGATTTCAGATGGATTTAGAGTTCAGGGCTGTCCGAACGAACCAGACGAGGCGAACAAAGTGCAAAAGGCTTTGTGCCGAAGGATTCTCCGTTCAACGGGCATACTGGCCAAAAGGAGAAGAGCACCGGCGAAAAAAAAAAAGATAGAAAAAAATTAAAATGAACGAGAAAAAAAAAGGGCACTTACTCGCCTGGGGGCCAACATGCACGATTTTCACACGCGGGTGCTCTTCTGTACTGTGCTGTAGCCCCCCTGTCTGGCCAACAGGCGCGGCGCGCCACCCGGGCAGTAAGCGGGTCCTGCCATCTGACTGGCTCCAGCAGTGCAAGCCCAGGCTTACAGGTGCTAGCGGGTGTCCACCTGGAAATTTGGAGAAGTGGAAAAAAAACAGAACAAAGCGACAAGAAAGAAGAAAAAAACGGCAGCCGTCACATGGACTATTCTGCCGTTCAAGGGTTATTTTCCTGGTCGAGGAATAGTCTCTGGGATACTAGTTTAGGCATAGCGACATCTCAAAGTCGCCGAATCTAGAGCGTAAGCGCGAACCATCACGAGCACTGTACGCATTGTACAGTACATCCCCCGTTGGGTCGTGATGCCATGCCGTATACAGAGAGAGCCCAGCCGCGAGTAAGTTGACAGCGGCGCCATTCACACCCATTCTCGGATTTTCAGGCAAGCAAGGGGGTCGATGTTCTACCGGTCAGGCTGGGCTAGTGAGTGTCACCGCTTTTGCACCGTATAGACGAATTAAAACGAGGAAAAAGAAAATGCCAATTAGACAAAAGTCGGCTCGCTAGCCGCCGTGTGTGTCGTGGAAGCCTCGCCGCTACAGCTGCGTGGCGTCACCTGCCACCATCGCCCATCCAGCGTTATCCAATAGTCTGCTCAATGGACGTAAGCCACGGGCCGGCGCAACGACGTGGAGGTTGTATTCCGCCGAAAATAGCTTTCCCAAGGGATGATGGATGGATGCAATGCGTGATGTTTGCCCCAGCCTGGCCTGACTTGCGAAAAGAAAACTCCAACGGAGACACCAGCAGCAAGCAACAGCCCATAACAACAGCCACATTATTGCCCTTAAATTACCCAGGTGTGCAAATCTGTCACAAGCATCGCACAGGTCCAAGCCCCCCGGTCCACCTTCGACAAAAGCCGCCGCCGCCGCAGTAACAGGACCGTTTCGTCTAATAATACGGGGAGCAAGCAACAACGCAGGCAGCTAAGCTGCTGGCGTTCGCCGGCCGGCCGAGTTTTCGGTCCAATTTAGCGGCCGTGGCAAAATGGCAAACGCATGGCTTGCAACGCGGACAAGCTCCCTCTGTCGTAGGGGTTTCGGTCACCCAATAATTGTTGATGGTGCCGAGAGCTCCGGTTCCTTATCAACGGCCCGATCTCTGATTGTTGAGTGCGACATTATTGGTTCTTTGTCCTTTGTTCCTTTCTCGTCTGCGTGTTCGGCGGTTTGCTGTTGCGCAATCCTCGCTACCCGGCATGGCTTATTGCGCTCGATGGTACAACGCGCCGGAGGCCCCCCGCAACATTGACTGGCGGAGAATTCCAATTCACAAAATAAAATCAATTTAGTAAGGGAAACCCTTTGCTATAGTGAATTTTCCCGGTCCGATTTCGGGCACTGGTGGTTGATTGGGCGGATGTCGGGTTCAAGTTATTGTTTGAGAGCAGCTTGCGGGAGAGTTGAGCTCCACGCTTGACAACAGTGCCAGGTGCTGCCAGCTGGCAGGACACACCATTACACCCAGTCTTTGGCGGTAAATCCATCCTCATTCGACAAAAGACCACTTGGAGATCTTCATCGACGACCAATACATCCCATCTCTGCACGCATCGTCGCCAGATCGGTTGTTGAGCATCCTGCTGTGTCATTCGCGGAATGTCGGCCATCGCAATGTCACCCTACCTGCGCTCCGCCTCCGCTTCCACCTTACAGAAGCCGGACAAGCAGCTGTAGCTAGCTCATTGGACAAAAGTGCAGATCCGGGTAATAGGTCTGTAATTTCATTTGCCATGGGCCTAGCAATCGGCTATTGCTTAGCTGAATTGCTTAGCTTCTCCTATACCGTGGTGCCGTCGGCAGTAGCACAGCAGTTGCTAGCAGATCAGCAAGGTTTGGGTAGCACCTAGCTCCAAAAGGCCAAAAGGCGGGGAAATCGAACCACTGTCAGATTTCCCAACAATAAAACTTGGTCTAAATCATCACTTTGCAAAAGGAGTCGATAAACACCAAGACTCTGCCAAGAATGAAGCTCGCTGCTACAACATCCATCGCTGTCGGCGCCGGTATGGCTGTCGCCGACGCCATCCAGCTCCAGCTCCCGGCTAGCTCTGGCGCCGCAGGACAGCCATTTGACGGCTACGTCAGTTACTCAATCGAGTTTTCGTCGTTTCCTGATTTTGCAGGTAAGTAACCCATTTCCATCAATTGGATCGTTAAGAAACCGTAGGCAGTGAACTAACGTTATGTCTCATAGGCAATGCTTCCAACCCAAATCTGTTCTCCTACAATCTCATCAACAACCTCGGCAAGGTAATGGGCACCAACCCCTACATTCGTGTTGGCGGTAACACCCAAGACTATGCCCTATACGACGCCAATCAAAAAGAAGCTCTTGTCGGCATTTACAACATCAGCCGATCTCCCGATTACCCCACAACCATCACCATCGGTAAGGCGTACTTCGAGTCGTACCGCACCTGGCCAGGCGTCAAGTTGTCCCATGGCTTCAATCTGGGTCTTGGCGCTACCAAACCAGAAGGCTGGACCACTCTCCAGCAGACCGCACCGATAGCCTGCGAGGCCCTGTCTCATGATAACCTCTACACGTGGGAGTATGGCAACGAGCCAGACCTCTACTCGACTTCCTCGCAGGGTCCGGTCCGTCCTAAGGATTGGAACGAGGCCACCTATGTTGAGCAGTGGCAAAACGGAACAAACAAGATTCGTGAGCTTGTCCAAAAGGCCTGCCCTAAGCTGGCTGACCCAACCTTTATGGCCCCGTCATTTGCTGGCGTTGGCAGCCATCTCAATGGGCCCAAGACGTTTAAGGCTGGCCTCGACGACAACAATGATATTGCATTGTTCTCGACTCACAAGTACGTCCCAAAATAAATAGAAACAACTGAGTTACCTGCTGACTTCCTGCGTAGCTACATTAGCGGCGCCGGCTCACCTGGTGTCACCTTACAGGGAACCCTCATGAACCACACACGCACCAAGGCATCTGTCAATGTCCATGTCAACGAGTACAACCAAATCCACGCCATCACCGGTGACAAGACACCGCCCCTGATGTTTGGCGAATGCAACTCGCTCTACAACCAGGGCCGCCCTGGTCTGTCCAACACCTTTGGCGCCGCGCTCTGGGGCATCGACTTCAACCTGTACTCTGCGTCGGTCGGATTCAAGAGAGTACACATGCACATGGGAACCAACTACCGAGTACGTATTATATAAACCATACTCCCTGTAGAAGTCTTTACTAACCTTGCTCTAGTACCAAGCATGGCAGCCCGTGGAGACGGATCTGGCCTCTATTGGCACCAAGGCCCCCTACTACGGAAGCATGGCTGTTGCTGCTATGCTGCGCAACTCTGCCTCGCATCCCGTGTCCATTGGCACGCTGGCCCTGCCCAACGATGCCGAATCTGGATACACTGCCCACTTCACGTCGGGCTCCAAGACTGGCAAGCTTGCACGTGTCATGATCATCAACATGAGGGGTTATAACAGCACGGTGGATGGCGCTGGCTTAGATCCGCTGCCCAAGCCGCCCACCAGACAGGTTCGCACGTACTCCTTCCAAGTGCACGATGCCGCCGCCGAGGGCCAGGTTGTGCAGATCCAGCGCCTCTTGGCCAACGGCAGCGACGCCATTACCGGTATCACGTACGATGGCTGGAGCTACAACCGCGAGTTAGACATGGGTAAGCCCGTGCGCTTGCACAATGTCACTATTGGAGAGACTACAACGGTCAAGAATGGCTGGGTGACGGTCGATGTGGTGGATTCGTCTGCTGCTCTGTTGAGCTTTACCAAGAAGTGCACTTGAGCTTACTGGGTTCTATTATGATGCAAAATGAAAATGAAATAAGTAGTAATTGTCATGTAATCTACTCAGTAATTAAACTAATACGGAACTTCGTTATTCATGGCCATGCGCACAGCTTCCTTGGTGGCCTCATCGAGGTCTTCGACGGGGAGACTTAGAATATCATTAGCCAAGCCAACTGTGTTTTGCAGGTCACTGCCGCCGTTAGGGAACCAGCCTCGCGTGTACATGAGGCGACCAAAAGCACGCATATCGCCCGTCTGGACCTTCTCCAGAGCACCTTGCCATCGCTCCTTGGAGACATCATGGGTAACTGTCCAGTCCGCATCCGTGGTGCCCGTGACTCTCTTGAGCGACTCAAACATGTCGTTTTGGCTCAAAAAGAAACTCGAGACGTAGACAGGCTTGTTAGTGAACTGTGCTAGAGTAGGTGTCTCATCATCTGCATCGTCTGGAAGCTCTTTGAGGCTGAGCAGGGCGGCCACGGCGCGACCACACTGCGGCCAAGTGGTAGTATTGACCTTGACATCGCCGCTATCAACGACGGTGTATTTGCGGTTGGGGATGTCGAAGCCGTAGCGGTCCATACCGCCGGCAAGACTGAACTCGTACCAAAAGTTGCACCCGAGGAAGAAGTATTTGATATTGGCCTCGGCGAGCGCGGCAAAGACACCGTCGCGCATGGTGCCAAAGCCCATACCGTCAATGAGATCTTTGTTGGTGGGATCCTGGCCGAACCAGTTGGGCAAGATGTACTTGACAGCAGCCTCGTTTGCTGCGCGGATGAACTTGGAAACGGTTCCAGGTGGTGCGCGAACATTGAGGGTGACGAGAAGGACCTCTTGGCCGCGCAGGGCGGTGACTAGATCAGCCAAGTCGTCGCCAGAGTAGTCTACGCGGATGGTGGTGACGCCATTTGGAAACACGGCCTCGCTTTCGGGGCGTGTTATCACGGTCACCTGGTGTTTGCCAGTTGCGAGGAGGGCCTTGGTGAATTGACGACCCATCTGGCCCGAGGCCTGCGGAAGCCTGTTAGTACGTGGTATAGTGATTATACGGCTGGGAACAGGGATGAGAGAGGGAGTCACTTACACCAACAATAGCAACCTTTTCGATGCGGTTGGTGAAGCCGGCTGGCTGATCTTTGGCGTATTGGGTAATAGTAGTCATGGTGAAGTAAGTGGATATGAATGCAGGCTTGAAGAAGTAGTTGTTGTGAGTAGCCTAGCACAAATGAGAAATTCCGTCCCAGTGCCTTTTATATACATTTTGAAGCTTTATATTCATGAACCATCTGTATTAGCTAGTAAACGTCTATAAGACGCCGTATGTGTAGCAAATTGCCCTGTTTGACCTTAAGTCCGGATATGTCCGCACCGGCGCCGGTAGGTCCGCATGTCGATTGGTCAGGCTCGCGCTTGAAAGAATCCGTACGGAAACCGGATGCGAGTCAATAAGACAACTGTCGCTGCTATTTGCTTTGCGGAAAGCGGAATTCGCTTCAGCCGTTGGCCAAGTATTCCGCCGGTTGCTGCGGGATGTGGCCGTGTCACCATGGTGTAAGTGCGATGCTGCGCCGTGGCGCTGAACAAACGACTAACCCGGCTGACGCATGAAGTGAAGCCAGTTCATTATTAAGCTTTAAATGGAATGATATAGAACAAAGCGAATGCTACAGACTGTAGTCCGCCAGGCTACGGAGGATCGCTGGGTTGATATTTGCTGACGGCAAGGCTGGACGAGGCCAACGCCCATCAAAACACCACTTACACACCACAGAACTGCAGCCTGCCCAACCGAGACTACAAAGAAAATATCAACACTCTCGCCATCTTTTACGTGCTATTATATTTGTATATATCGAATACAACTTCCCTCTGCTGTTACCTTCTGCTCCGGTTACGGGAGGCTTAAAAGCGGCACGCCCCACCACCCACCAGTAACCGAGTATCGCGACCCAGTGTTCATGGCTATCGAGCTTCTATTATTGGACGGACAATGGAGCGGTGGTCCGAAAGAGGCAGCGAGCTGTGCTTGATGAGGGGCAACGGCCAATCTTTGTTGAGAGCTCTGGGGAGGGAGGGAGAGTTTGATATAAAAGCGCGCAACCACCACCCCTCCCGCCCACCTTGGTGGTTTTCTAATATCTACGCTTCTTGCAACATTCAACCAACCAAAACACACACAAAACTTTTGGTACGGCCTGCCGCTAATACAATGGAGCCTGCAGCGCTGGAAACACGTCTAGATCGAGGTAACGTAACGTCAGTATGCGACCGGGTGTTCATCGTCTTATCGCCTGTTGCTCCCCTCTGCGGCTTTCTCTTTGACAGGGAAACCGCAGAATGACAACAGAGGTGGCGCTTGTTCTGAGAAATACCGGCGAACTTGATCTGGATAATACCAGCGAAAGGATCTGCATCTGCTACATTCCCCCCCTTTGCCTTCTACTTTACTGTGGAAGCAAGCCATGCCGTGAATACTAACCATAGTAGCTTCTCGCTCCATCGACCGACACCACCGTCAAAATGGCCACTGATAAGATCACCTTTCTTGCCAACTGGTCGGTGCTGTCCTGAAAATAGCGAGAAGTAAAACAAGACGGCTAATGTTTGGGTTGTATTCTACAGGCACGCCACCGCTTACCACGCTCCTGTCTACCTGGCCCAGGCCAAGGGTTTCTTTGCTGAGCAGGGCATCAAGGTTGCTCTTTTGGAGCCCAACGATCCTAGCGTGCGTAGCCATCGTATGTCTACTATGAGATGGGCGCTAACATACAGCTGTTGTAGGATGTCACCGAGATCATCGGCTCCGGCAAGGTTGACATGGGCTTCAAGGCTATGATCCACACTCTGGCCGTAAGCTTCTATTCCCCTTCTCTACAAAAATTGGCGATTCTTTTACTAACCTTCCACCTCTCACCAGGCCAAAGCCCGCAACTTCCCCGTCGTCTCCGTCGGCTCGCTTCTCGACGAGCCCTTCACCGGCGTCGTCTACCTCAAGGACTCCGGCATCACCGAGGATTTCCGCTCGCTCAAGGGCAAGAAGATTGGCTACGTCGGTGAGTTTGGCAAGATCCAGATCGACGAGCTAAAATAAAAAAAAAAAAAAACCACCGAGAACTACACCGCTGTCCGCTGCGGCATGAACGTATCCAAGGCCATCAAGAACGGCTCCATCGACGCCGGCATTGGTCTGGAGAACGTCCAGATGGTCGAGCTCGAGGAGTGGCTTGCCGAGCAGGGCCGCCCCAAGACGGATGTGCAGATGCTGCGCATCGACAAGCTTGCCGAGCTTGGCTGCTGCTGCTTCTGCTCCATTCTCTACATTGGCAACGAGTCCTTCATCCAGGCTAACCCTGACAAGGTCCGCGCCTTTATGCGCGCCGTCAAGAAGGCCACCGACTACGTCCTTGCGTCTCCAGATGCTGCCTGGGCCGAGTACGTCGACTTCAAGCCCGTGCTCAACACCCAGCTGGACCGCAAGATCTTTGAGCGCAGCTTTGCCTACTTCTCGCGCGACTTGAAGAACGTCTCGCGTGACTGGAGCAAGGTCACCAAGTACGGCCAGCGCCTTGGTGTCTTGGGTGCCGATTTCACTCCCAACTACACCAACGAGTTCCTCGAGTGGGCTCTTGACGAGGAGTCCAAGGACCCCCTCGGCGACCAGAAGCGCATGGCTGAGCTGCAGCAGGACATTGCTTGCAACGGAGGCTTCAAGCGTCTCGGAGCTACTCCTGTCGCTGCTTAAAGTTGGATATGTGTTTTGAATTAGCTAGTCAGGGCCTATGCATGTGTATGCCGCTGTAAATGCGTTTCCTGTGTAGAGGTCCCTTGATTGATGAATGAAACTACTATACAACTTATACATGTACTAAACGATAACGTGCTAGATGCTAATACCAGTGTGTAAACTACGGAAATAAACGACGGAAGGTTTGTAATCGATCCTTCGAGTCACTGCCGGTGGCGAAATGCGGAACACGGTGCCGTGGTACTATTGTTCGGTCTGTATTGTATTACGCCGTAGTTGGAGGTCCTTTTGCTAGTTAGCGGTCCTTTTGCGGAATACGACTCCTTCACGCATACAAATCCTGCAAACCGTGGGTGCTTACGCATTATGGAGCTGTGCCTAGCTGAGCTCCCTCAGCCTCGTTTCCTAGTTACCTGCCATATGGGGAAATGTGCGCGACATGCAGCCTTGGGTATTTTTGGTTTCGGCCCGGCAGTTGGACACATGACTCCATAAACAAAAAATATATAAATCGCCGAACATCTCTTTATTGTTGCAGAAGTACAAAGCAGCGTCTCATTGACTGGGAGCATCATGAACTTCCTCACGTTGCTAGCCCATCTTGCGGGACTGGCCTCGTCTGCCGCCGCTACGAATCCCTCCTGTCGATATATTCCAGGTGATGCAGGATGGCCAGATGACAGCAAATGGACATCATTGAACCGTACTGTCCACGGCCAGCTTATCCGAACACTGCCTGCTGGCCACGTTTGCCACGATCCCACTTACAACGAAGCGTTGTGCAAGGACCTCCAGGCCAAATGGGGCGACCCCTTCTTCAAAACTAGCTTGGTAGAAGGTGTCCTGACGCCCTCATTTGTCAACAATTCCTGCGACCCATTTGGTCACCGCGACGACCCATGTGAGATTGGCGGTTATACTCAGTACAGCATTAACGTGACGAGCCCTGAAGATGTCGCCGCTGGTATTGCGTTTGCGCGGCGCCACAATGTCCGCATCGTTGTCAAGAATACTGGTCATGAGTACGTATATACAGATTGTCTATAACAGTGAAAAGAATTGATTGATTGTTGGTAGCTTTCTTGGACGATCATCAGCATTCGGCAGCTTGTCGCTCTGGACACACAACCTCAAGAGCAAACACGTCATTGACAACTACAAAAGCAAGGGATACAACGGTCCGGCTCTTAAAGTCGGAGCTGGTGTCCAGGTTCGCGAGGCAAACGAGTTCATCGACAAGCATGGCTACATGATGGTTGGTGGCGAATGCCCTTCGGTTGGTCTATCGGGAGGATACACTGCCGGTGGTGGCCACGGACCACTGAGCAGCGAAGTTGGTCTGGCTGCCGACCAGACACTCGAGTTTGAAGCCATTACAGCGGATGGCAAGCTGATCCGTGCTGCACCGGATGAGAATGAGGACCTCTACTGGGCGCTGAGTGGCGGCGGCCCGGGCTATGCTGTGGTATGGTCGGCTACGTACCGCATCTTCCCTGACAGAAAAATGGTTGGCACAAACCTCATCTTTGACAAGAGTGACAGGAAGACGGCGGACCAAGACTACTGGGATGTGATTGAATTCTGGCACAGCATGGCTCCCAACATCACGGATACTGGCGGCTACACTTATACGGGCTACAACGACAGCCACTTTGAAATGACGCCGCTATTTTCGCCCAAACAGACCCGTGAGCAAGTTTTGGCTCTTCTTAAGCCACTACACGACAAGCTGGATTCTCTGGGCATGAAGTACACCTCCAACACTACTGAATGGAGCGGTTATCTGCCGGCATGGAGGGAGTACTTCAACTGGAACGAGGGTGGCGTGCAGGATAACCATGGTGGTAGCCGTTTGATCCCTCGCAAGGTCATTCTAGAGAAGCCCAAGGAACTCAATGCCGTCATTCGCAAACTCACTGTAGAAATCGGCGCTGTACAGGAGATGACGATTGGCGTCAAGTCGCCTAGCAACAACAACAATGCGGTCAACCCGGCCTGGAGAGACGCCGACATCTTTTTCCTCATTTCTGAGCTGTTGCCTGAATACACTGCTGCTGGCATTGATGATCGCTTGACACATGGCTGGGCTGACTTGCTGCGTGAGGTGGCACCGAACAGTGGCACGTACATGAATGAGGCCGATGTCTACGAAGTCAACTGGCAGCAGTCCTTTTACGGTGACCACTACCCAAGACTTTTGCAGATTAAGCACAAGTATGATCCCCATGCTGTGTTTTATGGCACCACCATGGTGGGAAGTGAGGCCTGGCAGCGAAAGGATGATGGAAGACTCTGCCGAACATGAGGTTGGATTTGACTATAAAGGAAGTTTCTGTATATACGCCAGTCACTACATATTTGCTGGTAGAATAGATTTACAATAGTAGATTTAGACACGCATCCGACTATAACTACATATGAATGTATCCTGAAGCCTTCTAAGTGCAGCCGGAACCACGGTTGGAAAGGCAGACATCGCCACCCGAGTTATCACTCTTGCCCTCACAGGACGCCGAGTTGTCATGCTCATTCTCAACCTCAGCATCGCAGTTTGTCCATGTGCGGGAGAAGAATCCAGCCTGTACCTTGTAAGTCGACCAGGAGATGCAGCAGTTCTGGCCGCCCTGGTTCTGGCACTTGGAGCGAGGGGCTTTTCCAACATCAATCGAGAACTGACAGCTCGCACCTGAGACACAGGAAAAGAAGGCCGAGCAGGCGTGCCACACAACGACGTGGGCGTGGGAGATGATGTACTGGCTGTAGCGGCGGTCCAGAGGGTGGTCTTCACCACGAGGCATCGACATGCCCTTGACGGCGGCAACAAGGTGGTCACGGTCGTAGACCATGTCGTCGTCTGTCTCGGAGAACTTCTTGGCGTAGGCGGCCTCGACGAGGATAGCTGCCTTTTCACGGTCGTCTTTGCCTGAGGACGGGTCCAGGGACTGCAGCCAGGACTCGGTCTCGGCATCGTAGCCGGTGTAGTGAGTGAAGACGTCCCATTTGGTGAGATCAGCCGTCTTGGAGTCTGGGAAATAGTGCGAAGCAGCGTGCTGGAGGATGACGCCGCCGTCCGAGGGGTACATGTCCTCGGCTGAGGGCATGGTAGCAGCAAGGCCAGCGAGGCTGACAAGAAGAGTAGTAAAGAGCATAGTGAAAGGAGTTGGTCTGGAGATAGAGTGTTCGAATAGAGTGAGAAATAACAACCTATGAGATGTATCAAGGGAGTAGGTATGTCATATATATACGTGAAGGTCCATACACCTTGGATGATCCAGGTATGTGGTCCGCGATGTGTAAGTGATCGGTTTTTTTTTTGCTTGTGACTGGTCTCCACGTCTGACACACACCAACTATTGCTTTGAGACAATCGCAAAACATCCACGAATCATATTGCTCCATATCGAGTCTGTCGTTTGCTCCATGGTACGATTGAACCTGTACGGACAGCAAAACCAGGCAGCCTCATCATCGAGTATGCCCATAGAGAGTGTCTGCCAGATTCTAGCGGCCTTTCTAGCGCATCTCTTGACTTGCAAAGCATCTCGCTTATGTCTTGTCCACAGTACAGCTCCCGATAGGGCGATAATCCACTGTGAGCCGTGTCTCAGAGACTTTCGGGGCGTTGAATCTCCGCAAAACGTCAGACCCCGGGAATTGTAGGGCGCCGCCAAAAAGAGGCGCTAGCCCTGCCGGATATCCGGACTATAGGGCGTTTTGTTTGGCTGCTTGCTGTATCCCATTGTAGGCTGGCTTTAGAGAGAGTTGAAACAGTCAAAGGCCTGTACGATCTTACCAATACTGGGAAATTGTTGATTAGAACCATTGAAATAAACTCTCAGGAGTACTAAGTTTGTTAAAGCGGATAGAAGAACGATGAATGATAAAGTAGCAATGGTGCGTTTTGCAGATGGAGACCATTTCTTGTGACTGTCGACCTTTTTACAAGCATCGATCCCGAGTAAAGCTTCATGAGAGAGGTGTGAAGAAGATGAACCTCGGCTTTTCGAATCAGCAAACATTACGGGAAGGAAGCCTTTTGTAGTTAGCCATGGCCAGGATGATGTGTGGGAGAGCTGACTGGATAAGCGGTATGCGAATGTAAGGCAGGATAGAAGCGCGCTTAAATAAACTTCAAGTCATTCTTGTAGAACGCAAATATCAGTGGTGTCAATTATAGCTTTACTATATACAAGTATGGATTGAAGTGAGTTCCAAGCTTCGCAGCTGCGCCAGCAAACGACTTGGATAAGAGTTTCCTCGTATCTAATAAGCGTGAGTATATCGAGGAACATTATATTTATTTCCTTTGCTTTCATTACGTTCAAAAACTAATTCTTTTGGTAGACAACGGTGGTGATGATTATGACCCCATCACTGGTACAGTTGGCTAAGGATTTCGAGTTCATACGACTTTTGCAGTGTCAACGCTTTGGTAGAGACCACCTACTATGCCACACAAGGGTCTCTGTCTATCCATAACCGTCATCTATAACTAGTGTAGATAGGCTTGATTGCCATTATATATAGACTATTCTATTCGTTCAATCTACATGTCCAATTGGCCGTCCCATATAAGGAATCCTAAACAGGCCCGCTAAGTTAAATGGTTTACTACTTCAGTGACATTTACGTAGGGTTTGCAGGGAATATATAACGAACGCTTCTTTTTCTAGTCTTCAATATATCTATTATTTTTCAAGTATAAACATCTCTACAAACAACAAGCGTTGTGTAATCTACATGATGAGTCCGATCGTCAGGAAGGCTGGCTCCCTTTCCACACGCGCCTCGAGTGCCACAAGTTCGTCCACATCCCAATTGGCCCAGACAAAGCGACCGTTTAGAAAACTGCTCTGCGGCCCAGCCAGCCACCGGGCAAAATGCGCGGGCAGCTTGTCATCATCCCAGGCAATCATGTGCTTTGGTATGTTTTGCGCTACACCCGGTGTGTAGATGGACCCCGGGTGGTAGGAGAATAACCGCACATCGTTGTTGGCCTGCTCGGCAGCAAACTGTTGAATCATTTGCGCCGCCGCAGCCTTGCTTGGGCCGTAGCCAATGCGGTACGGGCTTCCGAGGTAGGCGGCAAAGGCAGAGACGCTGATCACTGTCTTTCCATCGACCAGATCCATTGATGTCTTGAGATAGGTCGATATGATGTGGAAAGCGGCGACTGTGTTGATGTCAAAGGCGTCTTGGATTTCAGAGACGTCAATTTCAGACGCTGTGGCTCGACGATGGGCTACAGCAGCATTAAGAACAACAACATCTACTTGGCCCAGTTCATGAAATATGGCAGTCATTTTGCTCGTATCGGTTATTGAGGCGCAGTAGGTCAAGACTTGGGTTTGCGGATAGGCTCCTTCTAGTGTCTTCTTCGCTTCGTCTAGAGCGTCGGCAGATCGGGCGATAATGGCGATGCGGGCCACATTGGCCTGTGCAAATGCTTCTGCGGTGTGGTAACCGATGCCACCTGCACCGCCCGTAATAAAGACAGTTTTTCCCTGCCCGTTGAATCCGTGATCGCAAGATAGGCGCTCGTATGTGTTTGTGTGATAGGTTGCGGTAGGCCGAGGGAGATCTGCAGCAGAGAGCATATTCGGTGTAGGGAGAGAAGTAGGGAAAGGGAATAAGGTATCAGTATTGTGCAAGAGGATGACTTTCGAAAAGAAAAACAGAATATTGAGACCGGTAATCTGTGTTTCTTTATACAATTTCTCGGCTGGCGACTTCTCCGTGCTTCTCGGGTCCTAGACTTGCCCGAGTCGGCTCCGGCGCCACAGCGCTTGCTTCGGGCGCTCTAAGCCCCCCGGCCGCGGGTTCTTGGGCGGGTGCTCTACCCGGAGAACCGGGCGGTCATGATGGATGCCCCTAACTATATGTGTCTCTATATTCGAGGCGACTGTTAGACAACACGGCCTTATATAGGACATGCCAAGTACACCTTACAAATACTATAGTATACTGCTTCTTTTACAGGTAGACTGTCGTCCCATTTCCATTATACTATCAGCTTCAGGAACTCCCGCCAGGCGTACCGGTCTGCTCTGTTTATGCGCCACCCATTCTATGCACAGGTTGTAATGCCTCAGGGTTATCTACTCGATTAGTTACACCGTCCTTATCACGCTGTAGTTCCGATTCCTCGTAACACAACTTTGGACGGTTCCCACGATTAATCCAAGACGCGACGGCTACAACCCTCTTGAGTGTAACCCTACCGAATTAGAGAGAGGGGCTGCCACTAACCACACCAGGCGATCATCGCCCAGGGCCTCTGTTTTTGAAATGATGGTGGTATTACTCAGAGCCCATAGTCTAGCCTGATTTCCAGTTGCATCCCCATGCTATTTTACCATCCGGTCGCCGTTTGGAGATTGTGACGCTGGCCTCGTCAACCTACTACTTGGCTCTCATTGCCGTCTTTCCACGATGAAGGAAGCAGATGTTGATCTTGCCACTGGCGAGATTCACAACGCGAGCGCCGACGACTCGCGCGACATGCGCCGCCTCGGACGCAAGCAGGAACTCGTGCGCAATTTCCGCACAATCTCCATCGTCTCCTTTGTCGCCCTCGCCACGTCTGCATGGGAAACCAACATCTTTGTATTTACACAGGGCCTCAAGGATGGCGGTCGCCTCAATGTCATGTACTCCCTGCTCTGGTGCTTTGTCGGGTTTATCCCCATATACCTGAGCATGGCTGAGATGGCCAGCATGGCGCCTATCGCTGGAGCTCAGTACCACTGGGTCAGTGAGTTTGCGCCACGCCGATACCAAAAGATTCTTAGTTATGTCACTGGGTAAGCCTTCCATCCCTGTGTGTCATATTGACACCTCTACGGTGCGCATACTGACACATATATGAATGTTAGATGGATGTCCACACTCGCCTTTCAAGCGGGCAATGCAAGCGGCATGTTTGAGGTTGGTATCGTCATACAGGCCATCATCACAGTCAACATCCCTGATTACGAGGCGCCCAACTGGCATGCAGCCGTCATCAATATTGCCTTTACGCTTCTTGCTCTAGCAATCAACGTGTTGGGCTCGCGGATGCTGCATCACTGGCAAACAGGAGCCTTTATCCTTCACATTGCTGCCTTTATTGCCTTTTTGGTGCCCATTTGGGCTACCATTCCTCGTATAGACCACGACTTGGTATGGAACCAGTTTGAGAACCGTGGTGGCTGGTCTAGTCTGCCACTGGCCATTCTTGTCGGGCAAATGCCTGGCATCTCGGCCCATGTTGGCATTGATGCCGTGAGTTTCACTAGCAAAGGGATGTATACTCGTGCTAACAACTATAAATAATAGGCTACGCACATGTCGGAGGAAGTAAAGGACGCGTCCCGCATCATTCCCATGACGATGCTCGTCAACTTTGTCATCAACATGGGCTTCATCTTCCTCACTCTCCTCTCGTTTTGCTATCATATTCCGGACGTCGAAGTGGCACTGAATGACTCTACTGGGTATCCTGGTCTATGGGTCATCCGACAGTCCATCACTTCATTACCGTGGCTGAATGTGTTGCTGGCTGTCATTCTCCTCTTGGAAGTACTCGGTGAGCTCGCTTATTTCGCCGCCGTCTCCCGAGATTTGTATGCCTTTGCGCGTGATGACGGCCTCCCCTTTTCACAATGGCTGCGCAAGGTCGACCCCAGACGCCGTATCCCCACGAATGCATACATTCTATCGGCAGCCTGTAGCATCCTGATGAGCCTTATTTACGTTGGCAACTCAGCCGCGTTTTATGCTATCGTTTCTCTTTGCACAGTCGCACTCCTTCAGTGCTATCTGTTTAGCATTGGTTGCATCCTCTGGCGTCGCATTCATTTCCCAGAGACTCTTCCACCGGCCAAGTTCTCTCTTGGCAAATGGGGTATTCCTGTCAATACCTCCGCCGTGGTGTTTTGTCTGTGGAGTTTCTTTTGGACATTTTGGCCAGAAGAAAGCCCTGTTACGCTAGACAATATGAACTGGGCCGTTCTTCTCTTTGTTGCAACAGTGTTGGTGTCATTGGCTTATTATTTCTTGGGCGGAAACAAAAAGTACAATGGGCCGGTAGCTCTAGTGGAGGATAGAAAGTCAGAATAGGTCCATGTGTATACTAATACAATGATTCTGCTACAAAAGGCGTAATAAAGCATTGTTGGGTTGCTGGTCCTAGCTTTGCGGCTCAAAGGAAGCGAGAAGGGTCAACAGACAGCCCACGTGTGATGTTTCTCTACGGATTGGCCTCAAAATCTCACTGCCGCAACCTTAAATCCCACAACAGCCTGAATTTATTTTCTCTTACCCAATCAGGATAAATTTTCATTCACAAAGGGGCATTTTTGTGTGGGGAAAGGAAGAATTTATACTAGGTCCGGCGTTATAATCTCACCGGCTGCCATAATTTCCTCCAATAGCGTCAAGCTGTCAGCTCGCTTCGGGAACAAGGTTAAAATGCACTACCGCCAAGCTGTAAAATTGGCGTACAGAGTAAACGAGACTGTCGTGGTATAAGAAGATGGCCCTGTACTGCCCAAGCAACTAGGCTGCTGCTAGAAGAAGCTGTGTTGATCTTCTCTCTCTCTCACAGTAAAATCCAACATCCATCTACATCCTCAATATGACTGTAACCAAGTCTGTATACGCTACCGCCGCCTTGGCACTCGTTGCACCCGCCATTGCTGCGCTAGACAAGCCGCTCATCTCGCCTGCCATCCCGCCCCTGGATAGTGGCCTATTCAAGAACTTGAAGCCAACTCAATCGACTCACGACCAATGGGAATGGGGCTGGATCCCCGATCGTTGCCGCGATGTCGCCAACGCTCACAACCTGAGCCCGTATGACATTGAAGTCTTCAACGTGCACTATACTGACTGCAGCGACTCCTGGATCATGTGCCGCCACCACAAGGCAGAGGTTAGCCAGGACCAGATGATTGACGTCTTTGGTCGTCTTCCCGTTCGCATGCGCAGCTGGGTGCGAACCACCATTGGTAATTGCGAATGCATCTAGCCTATCTCAGTAACATGCTAACACGCTATCCAGCTTTGCCCGGTGCTCGCAGCGCCTATACATTGTATGTGGACGAAAACCAACCGATGTTATACAAATACTAATGCACTATAATGTAGCTCTGATCTCGGCGACAACATTTACTTTGGCGACATCCAAAACTATCCCACGCTCTGGGCCCACGAAATTGGCCACACCATGGACAACAACGCCGTGGCCAAGGGTTCCGACTTTTCCAAATCCCAAAAGTGGCTCGACAACTACAACATGGACACTGCCATCTCTGACAGCTACGCCCAGACTAGTAAGTTAACAACGGTATATTTGGATAGATCATTAACAGCTAACCCACCGTTCCACAGACCAGGCCGAGAACTTTGCCCAGGAAACCGTCATTGCTCTCTTTGACAAGGTCGTCCCTGGTGGTATTGGTACTGTCGAGCCCAACTGGAAGGCCATCTTCCATCAATATGCTACCGTCCAGGCCGCTCTCGGCGACAGCATCATTCCTGGTGGTACTTGCCGCAACCGTTTTGCCAATGCGTACGTATATTTCTTCTCTTCCATTGCTCTCAAGATACTAACTTTATTTCTTTAGTGGCATCGTTTGCATGGGCCCTGCTGCTCCTTGTGGAAAGAAGCGCGGTGTCACGGTGCCTCCCTTTAACGTTACCCTTAGCGCTAATGTCAAGGAGATTCCTGTCAGGGTTGGATCAGACAGAAAGGTTTGCTCTTTAGGTCAGATGCACTAAAGCTAGATGCGGCTATAAGTGCTATCATGTTGAAAGACGTGTAGCCAGGTGCTGAACTGTGCCTTGGTTAAAGGTAGATAATGAAGATGACGAACGTTGATGAAGAAAGCAGCATTGTATTAACCTGTATATAAAACACGTTAAACAGAAGTACTTAAATATTGTGTACATACATAATTTATGTTTAACTGCTTTAAAAAAGAAGTGCTAGTAGTTGGTGATGTGGGAAGAGAGATTATAAATTCGGATGATCTTTTAGGTAGAATAAAAACTTATATAGAGAAAATTGTAAATACGAAACGGCATCTCATCTGTAAAGGACTGAAGCTGCGACAACGGAACAAGGCGCCGTTACCAAGAAGTGAATGTAGATCATAGCCATGTGTCAAATTATTTGCAAACCATCCGCGCCGTCTAGTAGTACTTGGGGTGGTCGGGGTCCGAGAGATCGAAAATGACGGCAGAGTGAGGGCGCTAGCGGATGAGGTTAGTATATATATTTGAGCTTTTTCATAGTTGCACTTACAGCACCACCGCGAGTACGGGTAAAGATGGTCTCAAAATCGATAGTGCGGTTGAAGCTGAGAGAACCGTCGGGGAGAATGTCGATCCAGTGTCCCTTGTAGTCTCCGGGAGTGTTGAGAACAGAAATCTGGCACTCCGTGTTAGTCTTTGGCTCTTGAGTATTGCGTTGTAGTGGTTGCTTACGTCGCCAGCCTGGACAAAGTAGCCGGTAACCAAGAGGTTCTTCTTGTCAGGAGACACCTTGATGTAGTGAGGGCCAATGATGGGCTGCTGGATGCTGGGGTCGTCGAGACGCTTGACGTTGTTGAGGTCGGAGATGTCGAGAGCAGCGACGTGGTTGCCGAGAGTGAGGGTGAAGTAGGCAAACTTGCCGTCGTCGGTCAAGTCGGAGTAGATGGCAACGGAGTCCTTGGCCTTCTCACCGAGATCGTAGAGAAGCTCAGCGACACCCTGCTTACCGTTGGCATCCTTGCGGAAGGGGTAGATGATCCACACTTGTCCGGGGTGGACAGCACTGCGCTGGGTTAGACATTTTCATCTTTTTTGTTATTTATATGTACTTACGTGGCAAGAGCAGCGCTCTCCTCGTTACCGGGAATGAACTTGACATCTTGAATACCACCACCCTGGACACAATGTTAGAAAGGTATTGGGATAGATACGACAGGATAAAGGGACTCACGGAAGGAATCTCAATGGTAGATATTATGGTGCGAGCAGCAAGGTTCCAGAGGCGCAGAGTGTTGGCCTTCTTGATACCAAAGGCAGAGACGGGCTTGAGAATGCTCAGGGGGACGACAAAGTCGGAGGTGAGCATAATGTCCTTTTCAAAGTTGACAGACAGACCGTGGGGGCTGAACTGCTCCTCAAGGATGTTGAGCTTGGGTATTGTTAGTTTGCTTTTCTAGTAATTTAGTTTGCTAAGAAGCACTTACAACACCGGGGACATCCTCGGGCCACTCGTGGATGATGTTACCGCCAGCATCAGTCTCGACGAGACGTCCGGGAGAGGTGCCAAGGGCGCTGCCCATGTAGGTGATGAAGAAACCACTGAGTTTTTGTTAGTCAAATCGGACTTTCGGACAAAAGCAAATTCGTAAGAACACACCCTTCAGGCTTAGCACGGATCTCATCAGTGATGGAGCTGAGAATAGCACGGTTGCTGTGAGAAAACTTGGGGTGGTAAGGGTCGCTAGTGTCCCAGTAGAAGGCGGTATCCTGGGTCTTCAGCAGAGACAGCAGGCCACCGCCTACGAGGGTCTTGCCATCGAGGGAAGTACCCAAGTGGTGAGGGCTGTTTCCGCTGGTGGGCACATCAGAAAGGTGAATGATGGTACCAAAGGTGTCCTAGAAACACGTGTAAGTGGAGGCCCCGGCAGAAGATGTAATAAATGGAAAAAAAGTGGCCACATACATCATCAAGACTAACGGTAGCCAAGAAATCCTTGTGGTGGTTGTCACCAGCACCAGTCCAGAAGTAACCAATCTTCTTGGGGCGAATCTCGGTAACCTCAAAGGGGGGGCTGTCGAGAGGTGGCGTGGGGATCTGGAGAATGGGCAGTGGTGGCGCGGCATCCACAAGAGGCACGGTGACGCCGGGAATAGAGGGGATCAGGGGCGGTAGGCTGATGCCCAGAGGGGATCTCTTGGAGTATCCTTCAGCAACAGGGCCGACTTGGGGAGTGGCAGCGACGAGTCCAGCCAATTGGCCGACGGTGAGCAGCTTGATGACGTGGGGATGCATGGTGGGCGTGAGCGAGTTTCAATAAGCGAGTGGACGAGCTGCTTTTGCTGTCAGGCTGGGCTTGCTTCCTATGGATGGGTCTGGGGAAGATGGATGCGAGAGTTTGAGCAGGTTTCCCGAATGTATTTATATTCTAGCAGCTGCCCATCGGCGGCATCCCTTTTTGCGATTCTTCTTCACATCGCGACTCGAATTGCGCCATCTTGGCCTCGATTACATTCTGAACAATGTTAAATAGCTTCACGCATGTCTCAAATCGCCTTTTCTTCTTTTGGCCAGCGTGATCGGCGCGACCTTGTTAGCGACAAATGGCAGATACCACACGGCAGTTGACGAGCCAGCGGTGTCGCACACATCATCACCGGCGTTGTGCTGGATGAAAAGCAGCACTAATGCAACAGGACATGGTTTATTGACGGTTCTCGACTTCGGAAGATGGCCATGCCGCGAATGGTTGGGGAGTATCACCGCTGCTCCTCTACGCATTTGGTTAGATCAACCAACGCCAACATGCTCAGGCAATCACAGCAATGCCCATCAGTTTATCCGAATTTACCAGTCTGATTACCTCGGATGACGAAATAAGCTTCCTGCAAATACGCCATTTGTGGCGCTGGGCCAGCTGCGGTATGTGATGCTGCGTGCGGTTGCATCGAGGAACATGCCGCATGTGGGGAAATTGGCCAGCGACAGGAACAAGAAAAAAGGTTGATCAAGAAGCTTATCGGAGCGTTGATGCTTATTTGACAAGTGATGTGTCGGGTGCTATGCAGGGGACGAGATGGCCAATTGCCTGATGAGGAATCGCGATACATCATTGGCGTGGGCGATGGCGTGACGGATGGACAGGGACGGATGCAAGGCGCCCGCAACAGAGCCGCCACAAGGCTGCAAACTAAGATTCCTTGCCGAGATTGGAGTGTTTCAGCGCTCCCTTTTGCGTCAAGAAGAAGTTGAAAGGCGTTATTTCAGGAGGGTGTCGCCTGTTAGTGTGTGAGCGCGCTACCCTACACAGAATTGTGCTTTTTGCTCAGTGTACAGATTGGCAGGCGTTTGGTATAACTGTGATTATTTTGCCATTAGAATAACTTCTAGATACTGTAGAAGTTAGAACGCATATTTTTTTACAAGGTTCTGAGCCTTAGTGACGGTTCTATTTTGGGAATGACCGTTTGACAGCTGGCAACTGACAAGTCTCAATCGAACGGAGATCAGATGTTGTATGACGTGGGGATATTCGACCGCTTTGAATAAGAGACAACTAGACTAAAACAATGAATCAGCGTCTTCCCAAGCACAATAAAATAATATTTACAATATCCCACTCTTTTACAGACAGTACGCAGCTTTGTATTCCTCTGCCGAACCCGTTTACCATCGGCAATGCACCACGCACAAACCCCACCCCCACCTGGCGTCGCTGGCCCCCACGTTCACCCACTTACAACCCCCACGGTCAATATCGCGGGGTTGTTCGCCAATGAGAAGCGCGGCGTCTCTTGTGCCGCTGCTGGTCCTGCTCGGTTTAATCGCGCTGAATGTGCCTTCTTTTGCAGTCTTCATCATACAAAGCTGAGCTGCGGAAAGATAATCAAATCATGACACAGGACATCCTCTTCTCTAATGCCACCATTGTCACCGGCGATGAGGGGCAGGCGCCCTCTGCTGGCGATGTGCTAGTGTCTAATGGACTGATTGCCCGCATTGCTGAGCCCGGCACCATCGAAGGCCAAGATGCAACACGACGTATTGATGCTACGGGCCTGTTCCTTTCCCCTGGATTTATCGATATGCATGCGCACTCGGACTTGTACCTGCTGAGCAATCCAGACCACGAGGCGAAGATCACACAGGGTTGCACTGTGAGTTTCTGCGATGGCGTGATGCAGGCACCGAGTTGACTAACGAAAGCGTCCTTTCTGTGTAGACGGAACTGATAGGACAAGATGGTATTGCCTACTCGCCGGTCCGATCTACGGAGGAGCTCAAGTCCATTCGTGCACAGATTGCAGGATGGAACGGCAACCCCTCTGACGAAGAATGCCAGACGACGCTCAAGCATGTTGGCATGTTTGAATGGCGCACCGTGGGCGAGTACCTGGACTGTCTCGAACGCAACAAGACGGCCACCAATGTCGCCATGCTGGTTCCCCAGGGCAATCTCCGGCTCCTTGCATGCGGGCCGTACGATAACGTAGCTACTGCCGATGAAATTCAGGACCAGATTCAGCTGCTCAAGGAGGCCATGAGTCAGGGTGCTGTCGGCATGTCTAGGTATGTATCTCTGTCTTCTTTTGTAGTATGTTTGCTTACGTATCTAGTGGGTTGACCTATACGCCTGGCATGTACGCGTCCACTGAGGAACTTGCTGCGCTGTGCCAGGCGTTGCGCGATGACTTCCCAGGCGCATTCTACTCTCCTCACCATCGTAGCTACGGGCACAATGCCTTGGGTGCGTATGAGGAGATGATTGAATTGGGCAAGTCCACGGGCTGCCCTATTCGTAAGTTGTCTACCTAACTGCCTTGCTTTAGTGGAGTGCGTTTCTGACCAGACAAGACCTCACACATGCCACGATGAACTTTGCCGAAAATAAGGGAAAAGCAGGTGTCCTACTAGACATGATAGACGATGCTTTGAAGCAGGAAATTGACGTCACGCTTGATACGTACCCCTATCTCCCCGGCAGCACGACACTCGCTGCTTTGCTACCAAGCTGGGCCTCTTCCGGCGGACCATCAGAGACCCTCAAGCGTCTAGAAGACGACGATACGCGAGAACTAATACGCGTAGCCGTAGAAGAGACTGGCTGTGACGGTGGCCATGGCATCCCCACCAACTGGGACGAAATCCAGGTATGAAACAAAAAGACGGCCATTCTCTAACGCATTATGTACTGTAACATCAACTAATACCACAGCGCTGCAGGTTGGCACAGCCAAGCACCCCGACTTGGAGGCATACTCTGGGCGCCGGATCAGCGAGATTGCCTCGGCAAGTGGCAAGACAGCAGCCGAAGTGTACTTTGAGATTCTACGCAAGGACAAGCTGGCGACAAGCTGCTTGATGCACGTGGGCCACGAGGAGAACGTACAGCAGATTATGCAGCACCGCATGCACATGAGCGGGAGTGACGGAATCCTGCACGGAAAGTCGCTGCATCCACGAGCTTACGGCACCTTTACCCGATACCTAGGTACGTTCAAAAAAAGCCGACAGAATGTGCTCTATCTGTGCTACGCTACAAGGCGGCTGAACAGAAAGATGGAAAGAACTGACCATTGTTTATAGGCCACTATGCTCGCGACTTGGGCTTGTTTTCCATCCCAGAGATTGTTGCACACATGACATCTCGACCAGCTAAGCGGCTGGGCATCTACCCGTTCCGAGGCAAGATTACACAAGGTTCGGCAGCGGACTTGGTGCTCTTTGACCCCGAGACGGTCAAGGACCTTGCCACCTTCGAGCAGCCCAAGACGCCGAGCCGGGGCATCTCGTACGTGCTGGTCAACGGCGAGATTGCTGTCGATCAGGGCAAGATGACGGGGGCTAGAGGCGGCAAGATCATCCGCAGACGGGCTGACGGAAGTGTAGGAACGGCGTAGATGGAGCGAGCGGGCGGGTTAAGCCAGTGATCCCACGTGCCATGCCTTCGTAGAGACAAAGACAGAGACACACTTACAGGATAGAGAAGAACCTCCGCAGTATCTGAATGGTCATAGCGTAACGGGCTTTGTGCCTTATCCCCGTGATGGCTGGATTGTGGGATGAAGAAGAAAGGGGTATCCGTGCGAGATAGATCTTTCTTCCCGCCTCAGTGAACTCGGGCCAGCGGGGATATCTGTTCCCTGGAAGTGGGAGGGGCCAGGAGGCAGTCGGCACCGATCTGTCGGCTGTCGTCAGCGTTCGGGCAGACTCGAGGGGCGTGTACCGGGATTTGGTGGCGGCAAGGGTGTTCTTGTTCTAGTTATTGCTATTGTCGGTCCTGGAGGGGGGTGTGGTTGCAACGTATCAGCAGCGGCAGTCAGCGTAAAAGGCGGAGCAGCCATCGTTTGGGGCGTTTCCTTTACAAGCGATGAGCTAGATGGGACTGGGTTAGCGTGTAAGAGAGGAGGCTTTGCGGGGTTTCTCTTTTTCTGGGCAGTGTGTATAACGCAACGTGTGTTTTGGTGGAGGAGTGTTGATGGCGTCGTTGGGGGGTTGGTTGCTCTCGGATACATTTTGGTCTCTAGCAAACATCTTTGTAGTTGGTTAGCCTGAAATTTCACACGATCCATTGCTGTTCTGGACCATCAGACTTCGCCAAGGCAGTAATACTCTGTACATTTTGTATTCTTCCCATCTGACGCCTGCTGTATAAAGTATCCGAAGGCAAGCCACGTTCCGCACCAACCACCCGAGACATTTGGCAAACTTTAATCTAGCGGTAGAATGGCTCTGCGGTTAATCTGGAGATGGTGAGATTTGTGGAGGCAATTAAAAGATCTTGGCGCATGTCCGGAGATGGGCGTATTTGGGGGTCCAATGCGTATTTACACGCGTGTCATTGCTTTTGAGCTTGTTATACTAATCAAATAGGTATTCTATACATGATACATTATTTCCAAAAAAAATGTCATCCTTTTTCCATCGCTTCCTATTGCGCCGAAATGAGCCCGTTACTTAAAATCATGCTGTATTAAAAAGTAGATGTTGCAAGGTGGTGGCCGTACAGGCTATCCTCAGGCATCTTGCTCCCGGCCACGGCCGATGTGAATTCTGAGACTGGAGCAAAGTTCGACTGGACCTGAGAGGAGCCCCAAATGCTTCCCAGACCGGAGGCGTTGGCGAGAGCAGGATGGCTCTGCATAAAGCGAGGCATTGCCATGCGAGTCGAGCAGTTGTTCATGGCAGTCTTCAGGCGCTGTACCGTCTGCGCCACGACATGAAGATTGACCTCTGTAATGGCCTTTTGTGGCATAGAGAGGCCGACTGAGCCAACAGTGACACTGGGCATCATGTTCGGGAACAAAAAGTGCTGGGGCTGCATGCCTGTCATGGACTCGGAGCCAGACGACTTTTGCAAGTCGGCACGGAGTGTTGTGGCCACAGATTCGTAGGCTTGGATAAGACTGACGTAGCAGCTGGAAAGGAGCAACACGACAACACCGTTTCCAGAGGAGAGAACAGGCGCAATCTGCTGCCCGGTGCGCTCATCGTAGCCGTCCAAGATGCTGATGAGCGTCTCGGTGGTGCGGTGGATATCGTCAATGTCGGTAGTAGTGTTTCCAGAGCGTGCCAGGTGCTTGTTGATTTTGGCTAAGCGGGTTTGCATGTCCAGAAGAGTGTGCAGAAGATCGTCCTCGCCCGTATATGGGTTAGATGGAGCACTGTACGCCGACTTTGGCTCGGGATACTGGAACTGGTTGCCACCCATTAAAGAGTATGTCTCTGGTGGCGAAGATGCACTCTGTGAGTGTGCAAATTGGTCGTTGAGCTCAGGAATATAGTCATCCATAAAAAACAGGTTCATAGACTCTTCCTCTGGCACCGAGGGAGGCGTGTTGAAGAAGTCCACGTCGGCAAAGTCTCGAGCAGAAGTGACGGCATTTAGGCCTCCGACAGAGCTGACAGAGGAGGCCGAGGATACCAAACTGGCTATGTCGTCCTGCTGGTGAAGCGATTGCTGGCGGCGCGGCTTGCGGCACGGCACAGGACGAGTATGAGGAGAAGAGCGAGGCGTAGAAGTAGTAGTGGTGGTGGCTATTGGAGTACAGTTAGTATATGCGCTAGTTAGAATGGCACGGTGTCGTGAATACATACCAGAAGACTTTTCAGAGCGCTTTTCTGTTACTGAGGGCTTTCTCTTGGAACCGGGAGGACGGCCAGTCTTTCCCGGAGGCGAGTAGTGGCAGTCGAATCCAAGTCTCGTACACCGAACACAGGCGTGGACGGACGAAGCTCGGACGCATCGCGTCTTCATGGCGTGACAACGGTCACAGGCTTCACGGCTAGGGCCCATAGTCATGAGATGTGAAAGGTAGAAGGGTAGGCGAGATGATGATGATGTCAAAGGCTAAAGTGGCGTCACTGGCAGTTGGCGATGTGGCTGCGAATGCAAGATGCAAGTAGAGAAGTGGATGATAGTAGTAGCAGTAGTAGCCCGGAGGGTTAAGAGGAGGGAGCAAGTGATGTTCTGTTTTGTGGCTTGATGGGATCTTGAGAAAGAAGGGTTGAGATGGGAGGCGCAAAGGAAGATATATGTAGATGTCTACTTGGCAAGGCGGACGGTTGGGATGGGAAGCAAGGATTCTCCTCTAGATGGGGGTTTTCGGGGATATATCACTTAGACCATGGAAAAGAAGAGGGGACCGGACCCATGATTTGCTTTCCAGATTAGATGGTTGGGGCTGCTGGAGCTGCTAGCGATGCATGGGCCGCCCCCTCCTCCCGAAAGGCAAAAAGAAGAAGAAGAAACCGCATTTGGGTGGCCCACGTCGCAGATGCGTGTGTGCTGCTGCTGCTTATTGTCCTTGGCTGCAAGCAAATAGCAGTAATAACAAGACGACCCCGGGGGTGGACGCTGTAAGAGGGGGACCCCCCTGCTGCCAGCGGGTAGTGGTGGTTTGTCTTCCCACTAAGAAAATGGATTACCGTTTTACGCTCTCTTTAGCTTAGCGCCTCATGCACATTCGTTCAGGCACTGTCTCGGTCCCGGGCTGCAAGCCTCTGGCGTGGCTTGTCTACCGCGCGGTTACCTATTCGTACCCGAAAGAGTGGGAACGCTTTGCCCCAAGGAACGCTCAGACCACCCGCTGACACTGGCTGGGCATTAGTAGCAAAGAGGATTACAGGTAACTTACAAGGCGCAGTGGTACTGTAAGGTACTAGACGTCGAGGAGTGCTTCGGGACATGGGGGCCAGTAGCCCGCCCGTACCACACCACCACCTTTCAAACAGATCGTTTTCATTCATCCAGAGTGCTGGTGTTTTTGACTGCTGCCTTGCGCCACAGAAGCTTCGATAGAACAAGGCCAGAGGTGAGCACGGATCGTGGATTGTGGCAAATGATGACCGTTATTTCGGCATCCCACGATGGCCTCTCCCTCTTCACGTGTAAAGGGGTAAAATGCTCTTTACTGGCAATAGGATACGTACTGTAGTCTTATCTGATACTTTAAGCCGAGATAACCTTTTTCTCAGCAGTTTTGTTGTGTTTTTTTTCATCGTCGGTCTCGAGGTGGCAAAAGACACGGACATCGCCTGCGCCATTTGTTCTTGTTTTTTTTTCTTTCTGCAGCACGTAAGTTAGTTCGCTTCCCCAACTTGGATTAGCTGCTACGATGCCCTGTCTTTTCCGGTAAACCAGTAATTTACAGCACCACCCACCACAAAAGAGTATGCATCTTCATCGCTAGTTGAGCTTCTGGGCGGGCCAACCAGCAAGCCACACTGGTTGCTCCAATCAATAGTTTAGCACTCGCAGGGCTAGATGCTGCAAACATCAAACAGTGTGGGCGGACCTAGGGGCTTCATCTCGGCCTCGCGTTTAGGGCCCCTTGCTGCTCTGTAAGTCGTGCTGCAGATTGTAGCACAGAATTTAGAAGCCAATTCTGATGCTGGTGTTTGGTATTGCTTTGCTACAAGGCTACTGCTTCTGTTGTTACCCATGGAACATGTCTGAGGAGAAACGGGATGATGCAGCGTGCATCAGGTGCGAGACGCCGCAGCGATGCGCAGTGCGATGCGTAGTGCGATGGACGGCGATGCGCCCCCCCCCCCCC